TATCTATCAATCAATCAAGGTTCTCAATTGCAATATAATCCAGATGAATATTTTACTCTCAGAAACGATGATGATGCTTTTTCTCATCCGCAGAACTTGATCCTACGAACTTTTTCCGCGCCAAGTCAGGCCTGCGCAACGGAATAGCTGGCAGAAAAATAGTGACGCCACCAGAAAAGAGCCAACAAAAGTTGTGAAACACGCACGCCGGACCATCCTACAACCGTAATATTCCCTCCCAAAAGTGGAGTTGAAAAAAAAAAAGATCTCGTTGCCATCTGGCAATAATCTGCAGAAGGCATCCAATCAATATCGATCCGATGAGATCAGTTCTCGTACTGTAGCGTACTCAGTACATGTACTGTAGGAGGCGCTTCTACCAGCTGTAATACTTTTCAGTTATTATATCCTATTGCATTGTTATCTACGCAATTTTTGTCCTAAACTTAGGAGTACCCCTCCTCGCTCCTTCTATACTGTAGTATTCCTCATCTTCACATAGTATTCACATAGTATGCACAGACATATCTACTCCCCATCTTTGTCATCTTCACTCTTAGCTGGATCCTTATAGACTTCTTCTACATCGTCGTCACTGTCATTTTCATCATCATCACCATCATCGTCACCTCCTCCTTCATTTTCATGGTCGTCTTGAAAGGCCGAAGATGGGTAGGGTGTCATTTCTGCTTGGACCACGGCAATGCCCCGTTCATCCAATCGTCGTTGTTGTTTACCCTTGAGCATCATCATCATGACATAGCCAACACCACCCAAGAAAACGAGAGGAATTAGTACCGCCTCTACAAATCCATTGACCATATGGCCGATTGTATTATTGTTTCCCAAGGCTTGGTCCATGGTGATTCCATCACGAAGGTCGTGTGGATTGTCTTTGCATTCCAATTGGGACAAAAATGCATTGAAGAGGACTTCGGTAGCACCGACCAAGCTGGTGTAATACGATTGACGACCGCTTTCGCATGATTTCCATAGCGTATCTTGGTATTCGATTTCCATCTGTCCATTGTCAATCCACTTTTTGAGGGAATGCTGGTATCCACAATCACGATTCTGAAACAATTGTTCCATCTTGCCGGATTCTTCGTCATTCAATTCGTCAAATGGTTTTTCCACTGCATTTTCCCGCGGCAGTTCGTCCCCCAAGGATCCCAAAAAGCCGTCGATACAACCGGCCAACAAGACGCGGCAGCCAATGACGTGTGAAATATCCTTATCATCATTTTCGACACCACCCATATCAATGAGTTTGACCTTCCATCCTTCTTCCAAAAAGATTTGGGCCGCACCGAGGGGATTCATTTGGGCTCCCAGCATATCAAATCGTCGTCTCCTTTCGGCAGGATCGTTGTGAGACATGCACAAGAAATCTTCGTAGGTAGAATCCATAAAGTCACCTTCCTCATGCTTCCAAATACTGACCCATTGATCCAGTCGGGGCGACCGATAGTTCAACACAAAGGTAACATCCTCATTGTTGAGATTCAAATGCCGGATGAGTTTTTTAATGGCCGGAATTGCATTGTTCAATGCATCCGGTCCGACTTGATCAAATTCTTCCGTACCGACAATCACTCCATTTGGCGCTTCGTTCATGCTTTGCGCAATGGTATCCATAATGGAGCGGTGCAAAATATCATTGTTCGGTTCGGTTACCAGTCGACCAAAGACTTTGGTGCCATGCGTTCCGTAGGTTCCCATGACTCTCGGCCATCTCCAATATTCCAGACTGTTTTGTGTACATGTTTGTTGTTGTTGTTGTTGTTGTTGTTGTTGTTGTTGTTGTTGTTGTTGTTGTTGTTGTTGTTGTTGTTGTTGTTTGTGTAGCGTGTTTGTGTGCATTGCAAATTTTTAAATTCCACAACAAAGATAGATGATTATAAAATAGGAGGAAGAACGAAAGGTGAGAAAATGCAATCAAAATGGAACCACAACGACCAAAAAGAGATGTCAGGATTGGGTGATGCTGCGTCCGATCCCATCGCAACAAATACATAATCTTGGTATACAAATGACAACCATCATCGTTTCACATATATATTCGTACGCACGCTTTGGTATGGGGATGCCCACGTTTCCAACCAGATTCCGCCCACTGCGCCATGAATTCTTCCACGGACGTCGATGCCGAATTGTGAGGACCCGCAAACAAGACTAACTGTTTGCGATTGAACAAAATGGGTTGATGATTGTCCTTGTCATGAATGGGAGTGTTGGGATCCTGTGGTACGGCTTGTTTGGATTGATTGGATTGATTGGATTGATTGTTTTGATTGCTTTGATTGCTTTGATTGCTTTGATTGTCGTTTACTTCTTCTTCTTCTTCGTCTCCTGCATCACCGTCATCATCTCCTTCCAGAATTCTATGATTCGTGGATACTGACGATACCGATGATGATGTTGATGATTCAACAACAACAGAACGTCCTGAATTTATCTTTGCTGCTTGCACCATGCTTCTTGGCGATAGCAAGAATAAACAGAAGGAAATGGCGATAGCACTTGACAGTTTCATCTTGCAATTATTCTGTTCTTCTTTTTTTGTATTGCGCTATTGTTGGATGGATGTGTTTGGTCCAAATATTTCGTTCGTTCGTTCGTTCGTTCGTTGAGTTTGCTTTTGTCTCCTCGTTCGTGTTCAAGATTGATTGATTGATTGATTGATTGATTGATTGATTGATTGATTCACTTAAAATCAGAATCCCTTTTGGTTGCTGCAAGAAATTGAATTGATAATGCGTACTGTACTGTATGCTGTATGGTATTATTGTGCACCGCGATGAAGCTATTACGCAATGCTTGTGAATGAAAATCAGAAATCAGGGCCACGCGGTCATCGCATGTGATGACTGAAAAATGCAGGATGGAGTTTCATGTGATCGAACCAGTCTAATCGACTAGCTGGAATGCAATTAACGAAACCGTCCGTAGTATAGAATGATGCATGTGAATGTTGTCAGTTGCATTCGATTATTAGGTATGTTCGATTCTAATTCAGTGTTGAAGAAACAAAAAGGCGCATAGCTTTTGGTATCAGCACAGTAGGCAACTGTCCACTTCTATGCTTGCTTGAAATTTGAGACGAGGTTCGGGAACTGTCCGATTAAAATTCGGACGTTCGGACAAGGTCGTTACGCACCAGACTGTTCGAGTTTAACAACAAAACTGATCATTGCACGCACGCTGATCCTAAAATTACTCTTGGGATGATCTCACAATAATCATTTTCCAAGAAATGTGTTGCATTCATTCATTGATTCACATGATCTTATCTTTCATATCACACACCGTCACACACCGTCACACACCGTCACACACCGTCACACACCACGAGAATGAATGAGCTTACTACTTAGTACCGTACAGTATAATATTGGAAGCAAATCAACAACGTTGCAGCAAAAGAACAGCAAAAGGTGCCCAAGAGCGACACCAGAAGAACGTAACCAGCTCAGGTGTTCTTGTTCGAAACGATGACTGCCGGCTTGTCTGTTGCTGTAACGTTGTTGATTTGTTTCCAATAATAATAAGATCATGCTCAAGTCGAGTAACCTGGAATCAATGAATGAATGAATCGATCGGATGGATGGATGGTGACGATCGACATGGATGGAAGGCGATGGCCGATCGATCGACAATCGAATCACAGCAAATTAACACTCCGACTTTTACCATGTCGAGAACTTGTCGGAAGATGGCCTCTCGAAAGAGAGATGCCCAAGACACGCACATCATATAAACTCATATCAGAACAAGTTGTCAAAGATGGCCTCCTCTTGAAAGATAGAGAGAGACGGCCATGACAAGCATGATATTTGCTGCCGTATCGGTGACAGGCGATTCAATGGTTCTATAAAAAAGAAGCAAACGCCCCTGATCCGCATATCATTGTCAACAGACGAATCGACACAACAATCCAAGCAACATGTAAACTACTACCATGTCGCAAGCATCGAAGAATTGTCAACGGTGGCCTCCTCTTGAAAGATAGAGAGACGCCCATGACACGCATGATATATGCTACTGGATCGGCGACTGGCGAGTGAGTCTATCAACAAAGAAGCAAACGCCCCTGATCCGAATATTATCCTCGACAGATGAATCAACAATTTGAATAAGGCACAACATGAGTACCAACATTCGAACTATTGCAATGTCGCAATCATCGAAGAAATGTCAAAGATGGCCTCCTCTTGAAAGATAGAGAGAGAGACGCCCATGACACGCATGATATCTGCTGCTGTATTGGCGACTGGCGATTCAAGTGTTCTATCAACAGCGAAGCAAACGCCCCTGAATCGCATATCATCCTCGACAGACGAATCGACAATATGAACAACAAAAGTCCAAACAGCATTCCAACTATTACAATGTCGCAATCAATCGCCAGATGTCTCCCAGTAATCATTTCCCATGAAATATTATGCATCCATTCACAACAGCCATGACACACATCGTCGCACACAAGAATGAATGATCTTATTATTGGAAGCAAATCAACAATATTGCAGCAACAGAGGAGCCGACCGTCATACTATCGAACAAAAGCGCCAAAGGGCGAAACCAGAAAAACTTAACAGGCACTCATTTGTTCAAAAGTATGACGGCCGGTTTCTCTGTTGCTGTAAAGTTGTTGATTGCTTCCAAGATCATGAGATGCAAATTGACTACGACAATATGGCAGTTCGATCTCCCTGCGAAATCAACTGGATGGATGTCGCTGGTGACGATATGGAAGTCGATGGTCCATCAATTGGCAATAAAATCACAGTATACCAACGTGTCTGCTTTTACAGTGCCGAGAACTTGTCGAAGATGGCCTCTCGAAAGAGAGATGCCCACGGCACCCATATCATCCTGAACAGATCGACCATATGATTAACAGCATGTGTACCAACATTCCAACGAATACCGTGACGCAATCATTCGCAAATTGTCAAAGATGGCCGCTCTTGAAAGAGAGAGACGCCCATGACAGGCATGGTATCTGCTGCTTTATCGGCGACTGGCGAGTCTCAAATTGAGACTGAGGCGCCCCCTGATCCGCAGACATGTGGGCAGCTTGATTGAATCAATGAATCAAACTGCCTAACCACCAACAAGTCTCTGCATGCTGCGACACTACAACCCACCGGTCAAAATCCCCAGTAAATGTATGTAACAGCCATATATGCAAAATAGGACTACGTCAATATCAGACATTCCTTATATACGTATGTAGTGTTTACTGGTATTATAGTGTATCCATGCATTGTGGTGAGATTGAAACCAGTTTGGTTTGATATCGATCTGTGCGACCACAGTACCACAGAAAGCAATGGCTGTATCCAATGAAAGATTGGCGCCGAAGGCACACTAGTCTTTTAAAACTTACTACATCCACTGGGTACTCTACACTTTCCGACTAGTACGATGTGTCAACGCTGTATGTAATGATAGTGTACTTAAAATAATGCAAGCACATGGTGCGCTAACACCATAACAAACTCAAGCACTAGCTCTTGATGATACTATGCCAACAAATGCAATGAAAGATCCTCCAACACCAGCCACCACATAAAATGTTAGCCGCTAGTGCTACAGTACCTTTCGATTTGCAGCCTCTCATGTGCACAAAGTCAGCTAGTCCTGCTGCTTGCTGGTATGGTTCGACTCTTGACCAGCAGTCCTGCTGTCCCAAATCGCCTAGTACCTGGTACTACTACCTCGCTGTGCACTTTTATCATTACTCGCATGGTGGTGTACTGCCGTACAAGTATAGTAGCGTCTAACACAGATCGATGGTCAATTTGATCACTCTGTGGCTTTCCGGGTGTCGTCTCTTTTGTTCCTTGAGGGCGAAAAAGACTTTATAATTTCAAAGTCTACCTAAAACCGGATACAAGGTGATCCAAAAGGCGTTTGACTTTCAAGTGGGAAAGCAGTGTTCCGTTTTTGACATCCCAAAACATTTATTTTAAAAACTTCATACGGTATGCTCACCGGTAGTCGACCTTTTTCAAGATGGTATCGTACCGGTGGTACCTGGTACCTGGTACTAGGAGGTACGTGTACGTGTGTGATTGATTCAATGACAAAGTTGAATTCCGCGAATATCTGGGTCACCGGCGGTTTTACTTTTCCTACTGCCATTATCGTCGCATTTGTTCCTTGAGGGCGAAAAACACTGATCCAACAGGCGTTTGGCTTTCAAGAGGGAATGCAGTGTCCCGTTTTTTTCATGCTGAATGCTCACCGGTAGTCGACCATTTTCAAGGCGTAATGCAGTATTCCACTTAACATCACCAATTAAAACGTGATCGGTTTCGCTCTTCCAGCATCTGTATTGCACCTGTACATTATCTGGTATCGTGCCGCTGGTACACGTGTACTAGAAGCCACGTGTGCCATTCAATGACAATTTGAATACCGCGAATCTCTAGGTCACCGGCGGTCTGGACCTCAGTAGCGCGCGATAAGAATGCGATTGCTGGGAACCGGAATTGATGACACTTTTTATATAAGACGATCATGAAGTCGTAGGATCGCTCTTATTTATATGGCATGGTGGCGAGCAGTAGTGCATTTAACGTCACTCTATGCTAGATTCAAATTCATCTTTGACCCAGTTCGCCGTAGCAGTGAAACGTTAGGACTTTTCGTTTCGCACAAAACTAATAAAAAAGCCCTGGTATGACCCTCCTCCTTCCGGCAAAGAGTTAAATAATCTGTCGATGGATGCGGGTTCGTTGAATAAAATATTGATTAGGAGGAGGCCACCCACACTTAACGATTCGTGATTGCACCTGATGGAAAATATACAAGGCGTTAAGTGACTTTTATGTGGATAGTTCCACGAATTCGACCTGATGTGACCTGTTTAAGGGCTAGGTCGAATTCGTGATTCCGCATAACGTTAACGCATTTCTAACAATCTCGCAAAGCGGTATCCGAAGTGAGAAACTTCCGTTCGCAAAGTTTCGCACTTTAGCAGCTCAAAAGCTCAACTCAGTTGCTCTCTCACAAAATTATTTGGACTTCATACTTTTTCATTCCGAACAAATTGAAACCATGAAGCTTTTCTGTTCGATTTTGTTGGTTGCCCTCGCCACAGTCAGTGCTGCCCCAGTAGACACCTGTGATGAACAAAAGAGTTGCGTTGACTTTGAACTCAAAACCATGACTAGTAGTAGCTGTGTTGACGGTGACTGTCCCGTCGAAGTTTGCATGATTATCGATGGAAACATGTCCAACGAGCATGGAAACTGTCAAAAGAAGGATGATAACTTTAGTCACATGTGTGCTCAGTCCGACACTGAGACTGGCTGCGCCAAGTTCGATGAGCTTACCGGTCTCCCTCAATTGGGGCAAAGCGGTCCTGACGGCCAATGCGATCTCGATGGAGAGAACAATGGTAAAATCTTTGGTGGAAAGTGCGGAGGAGTCAACACAGCCAAGATGTGCCAAGAGGGCAAGCCCGGTGACACTCTTTACTGGATTCTCAAGGATGGAAATGACGCGGTTATTGAAGACCCCAACCCAAAACGGTTCGACTTTACTTTTCACCCTACTGTGGGGTGTGAAGCTGAGGTCCATTGCTTCAACCATGAGTACAGATGTGGTGGAGGCAAACCTGATGATGAACAATCCAAAAAGGAGCGTACCTGGGCATTCACGATCCCTCCGGCTGGTGGAACTTGCGATGTTTGCGATCTCAGTCAACCCCCAATTCTCTCCCCTCCTTCCGGACCACCTCCCACTGCCCCCATTGCCCCAACTCCGGCACCAGTTGGCGACAACAACCCTCCACCAACTCCTGGTGGCGGTGGCGATCCTCACTTCAAGACCTGGAAGGACGAACACATCCAGTACCATGGACAGTGCGACCTTGTCCTTGCCAAGGATGAAGAATTTGCCAATGGACTTGGAATTGATGTTCACATCCGTACCAAGCTTGTCCGTTACTGGAGTTACATCAAGACTGCTGTGATTCGTATCGGAAATGACATTCTTGAGATTGAAGGATCTGCTACCGAGTTTGATGTCGAGACTCACTACTGGGTCAACTACGAGTACCAAGCCGAACTTACCGAATTCGCTGGTTTCCCCGTGAAGATGTTCTCTCAACGAGGAACTTCCATCACTAAGAACCGCATCGAAATCGACTTGAGTTCCAAGTACCCAGGACAAAAGATTGCCCTTTCCACCTTCAAGGAATTCGTCAAGGTTGACTTTGTCAAGCCCACCGTTGAATCCTTTGGAAACGCTGTTGGTATGTTGGGAGACTTCAAGACTGGAAAGACCCTTGCCCGTGATGGAATCACCGAGTTGAATGACTTTACCGATTTCGGACGCGAGTGGCAAGTACTTCCATCCGACAAGAAGTACTTCCGCACCTCTTCCACTCCCGAATTCCCAGAATTGTGCATTGAGCCCGAAGATCCTCGTGGAGACCGTCAACGTCGTTTGAACGAGTCCAACATTACCGAGGAACAAGCGGAAGCCGCCTGTGCCGGACTCAAGGATGCCTTGGACCGCAAGGATTGTGTCTATGATATCTTGGCCACCCAAGATATGGACATGGCTGGTGCCTTCTAAGCAACTTCTTTTTTGCTCTTGTATTACAGTACCACTACAGAGTATTCATAATATGTAACAGCAGTGCATTCTGAATATAACCATTTTTGTTTAGGGAAGTTTTCATTCTATATATATATAATACTGTGGGTGTATGTAATATTGGTTTCTTCTTGTTTGTGCATTGCTCATGATCATACCATTTTGATCCCGTACATCTTGCTTCAATCATTGGTGTGCGGTGTCTCATCAACGTTTGCCAGCGACCAGGAACGCACGCACTCGATCGATCGTTGCGACAAACGTTCTAGTTCACAGGCGAATGTAGTAGTAGTATAACACGTTCGACCTACTTTTGAACATAATGAAGTCTTTGAGCTTGCCTAGTACTCCTGTTTGGTTATTATATTATTATTATATCCATTAGTATATATACAAAATGATCTAGTCTCTTGGGTTTGGAGGTGGTGACGAGTCATCCTTTCGTGTATGTCATTGCTATCTAGTATCCCGTCACTTTACCCTCATCCTCTCCCTCTCTCTTTTGTAGAATTTGTAGTAGTTCTTGTTCTGTTCTTGAATCAATCATCCGTTTCTGGGATTTTGTAGCGTCTGCTCCTGTGCTGTCTTATTGAGTGGTCTCAGTTCAGGTGCATAGACCCTTGTCTACTGCTGTAGCAACAATGCTTTTTTCAAATTCCAAAGTTCTTCCAATCCATCTCTTCACCATCATCATCATCTTCCTTCACTTTGCATTCCCATTCTGGATTGCCTCGATGGGACGCTCCTTCGGCACATTCGAAAAAGTCGAGGGCAAGCGTCGGCATCTTATCGGTAGGGATCAAATCGTCGACGTCCCATCCATGGTACCAGGCAAATTCTTCCTTGTCGGAGGTGCAATAGACTTCTGGGATGGCGCCCTCATTTTGGACGGCATCATAATTGACTAGGTAACATTGAATGTCACTGTTCTTGTTGCTTTTGTCTTTCTGATCTTCTACTTGTTGTTGCGGCCGCTGTCTTCGGGGTCGTTGTTGCTGTTGCTGTTGCTGTTGCTGTTGTTGTTGCTGCTGCTGCTGCTGTTGTAGCTGTTGTTCTTTTTGCTGTATTTCTTGTTGGTTCATCTTTTGACTTTCTTGTCGTTTGGTGAGACCCTTGGAAAAGGACCGAAACTTGGAAAACAACGGTTTCTTCTTATTGTCATTGTTCTTCTGTTCGTCTTTGTAATAGTCACCGACGTAAAGTTCCAAAGAAGGTCCCTCCTCCACAGTGCCAGCATCAGTACCGGTATGATAGTAGTCTTGCCCATTATTGTCAAATGGCACGGGGAAGAAAAAGTCGATGGATGAGCTGCTGAAAAGACGACTTGTTGTGGATGAGGGTGAGAATTCTTGGCGTTGCTGCAGCACCAGTGAAGAAGAAGATGATGGATGATTCATTTGAAAGGCCTCGGTAGTATGGATCATAATGATCAGAAAAGCCCAGGTCATTAGCATAATGAAAGGCTTGGAAGCTCTGGAAAGGAAACTCATCCTTTGTATTATGTTCGAAAAAGATACGATTGATTGATTCGTTGGTATCTTTCTTATTCTTTGAAGCCAAGTTGGTCGGTGAGCGAAGTGAGCGAGTCCTGCCTTGTTCTGTCAAGGGTGTTATGCTAGCTGTTGTGCTGATGTTGCTTGGTGAATCCTAAAGTATTACAAATGTGATACTTTGACATGATGAGAACATTCGGGCAGCTGTCGTTGATGGGATTGTTCGATGAGAGCGAATCGAAATGAAGAATGAATCCATCGAATCCTATATACCGTACCGGTATGATTGGTGTGTTTCAGTCGAAGGAATCCAAAATTGTTGCTCTGTTGATAAAATACATTTCACTCTGCGATGCGTTCCGAGAGCTGCTGGTCAACCAGATCAATTGCTGCTCAGACACTTCATTAGAGAAACACAGATGACGTAGCTGACCCGACAGCTGATCTAATTCTTTGATTCCAGCAAGAACAAGATAAATCGTTGCATTGTCTATCCCAAGCTTTTTCGGAACAGACAGCTGATCTACCAGACCAATTACTTCTCAGAGACTTCATCAGAGAAGCATAGCAGGTAGCGGATGAGGTAGCTGATCCGACAGCTGATCTAATACATTTATTCCAGTACGAACAAGATGAATCGTTGCTTTGTTTTCCGAACAGACAGCTGGTCTGCCAGACCAATTGGTCTACCAGACCAATTACTTCTCAGAGACTTCATCAGAGAAGCATATGAGGTAGCTGATCCGACAGCTGATCTAATACATTGATTCCAGCAAGAACAAGATATATCGTTGCTTTCTGTCCCACCAATTCTGTAGATCGCACAAGTACCTGGTTCTTTGTATCGTGTTGTATCGTATCGTAGCGTATCGTGTCGGATCGTATCGTATCGTACTGTATCGTGTCGGATCGTATCGCATTGGTGATCTACTAGACTAGACATTTGATCAAACAACCGAGCAGATAGATGATCAGATAGGCAGCCTATAATACTAGTAGGAGAGTGAGTACCATGATTCGTTTGTTTCGCAACTTGTGTGGGAAGAACGAGTGCAGTGATTGATTGATTGATTGATTGATTGATTGATTGATTGATTGATTGATTGATTGATTGATTGATTGATTGATTGATTGATTGATTGATTGATTGATTGATTGATTGATTGATTGATTGATTCAATCTATCATAGAAAAGCCATTTTTCAAGCACTTTTGCCGCCCCGGCAAACGCTTTTGACTCATTCGTATCCCACCCAGTAGTACTGATTAGACTACTGATCTACCAATGTTTTGTCACCGCATGTAGCGTTTTTCATACCATCCTTGCTCAGTGAGTTGGTGATCAGATATAAGCATGCACATATGCAAATACTGTGCAGGACCTTATACCTACTACTACTACCACTGCTACTACTACGATTACTACTAGGTACTAGCTGAAGATACCAACAACTGAAAGGGTAAGAGGACCACCACTGATCTAATCTTTGTTTTTTGACCCGACAGCCGATCCAGACCTGCAATTACTATTGGGTTAGATCGAAGTAATACTGCTGTCCTTGTTCTTACTTTCGTCGTTGTATTATGATGTTACCTGGTACTACTACTCTAGTGTACCATATACCGGTACAACTCCAGTAGAGACCATAAGGTCAAGCAACAGATAGCTGATCAGATCAGATCAGACAACTGACAGATCCTGGCTGATCAGACAGATAAAGAAAAGTTGACGCGTCCTTCGTTTTCTACTCTAAAAATGTGCGCAAATTGATTATCATAGTTTTTTAAAATTGTAGTGGTAGCATATGAAACAGATTGATTCATTCTTTGTCCCGCCAAGGAACGTCTATTGGTACGCTCCTTAAAATACACGACAGCAGCTCATCAGACAGGTATATAATATACTGTATATATATTGTAGTTGATCAGATAGCTGATAAGACAGTGATGAACTGACCAGACACTATTGTCACTTTTGTTTACTGACCCGGCAGACCTATGTACATTCCAGGTACAGCGAGCGATAGCTGCTGATCAGACAGGCAGCATAGTCCGGTACCCGAGCACGAATATAATATAAAAGAGTGAGTGTGAGGTTCTTTGTTTCGAAACTTGAACTGTACCAGCGGTACCAGGTACCCACAGAACAGAAATTCATTGGAGAATCATTCGAGTTCGAGTATGCAATACCGGTATATATGTATTTTTTATATGTGTAATATATATCCAAGCATTATTTTTGCCGCTCACAATTTTGTGCATTATAGTCGCTGATCAGATGCTGATCAGACAGCTGATCAGACAGCTGATCTAAATCGTTTACCTGATATATACCTCTATATTATTTGGTTTGATCACACCGCAAGTTCTGTCCTGGTTCTTACTGTCCTCGTCCTCATACCGTGTCCTACTGTATCGTTGTACCGTACCAGCAGCAGTTACCTGGTCATAAGCAGCAGCAGATAGCTGATCAGCTGATCGATCAGATGATCAAATCAGACAACTGATCTAATCCTTTTTGTTTTCCGGTGATCCGCCGACAGCTGACCTATTACGGTACTAGACCTACCAGGAAGAACGGTACCATAGGTACGATTGTCGTTATTCTTGTATCCTTATTTCGAATGTCGCCGTATCATATCATATCGTATCATACTACTACCCAGCATACCGGGCAGCATACCACTCGACACCACGGTCAAGCTGATAGTAGTCGTGTAGCTGATCAGATCATCAGCAGACAAGAATAAGAACTCATCTACATTATTGTTTGTAGCTGCATCATGATCAGACAATTCATATCAGTCAGACAAGCATACATGTAGTGGGTAGCTGATTAGGTAGCGCCGATGAGACAGCTGATCTACTATAGTATTCTATCTGTTGTTGTGACGCTAGGACCTATAATGTTGCCGTATGCTATATGTATTTATTTTATTTTGCATTATTATTTTTGTTTTGTTTTGCTTTGTTGTAGGTCCTATCGATATTTTTTTGTTCCTTATTCATTCGGATTATGAAGCATATTGCATACTGTAGGCAGTCGTCATTGAGTTCTAGTCATTCTTTCAGCAGGCATATATAAGAATCTTTCATCCAGCAAGCCAACAACAGCTTTATACTTCTACTTTTTGCTGCCCATGGCACTAATCACTTCGGGCGGTGCTTGTACCAATTCAATCAAGACACCATTTCCAGAAATTGGAAATTCATCATTGCCCTTTGGATGAATAAAGGTAATGTCATGTCCTGCCGCACCGGGTCGAATCCCACCGGGTGTGAAACGGACACCTTGTGATTTCATCCATTCGACTGCTTGGGGCAAGTCGTCTACCCACAATCCAATATGATTGAGCGGAGGGACATGAACCTATGATGAGAAGTTGAGAATGTGAGTGAGTATAATGATGATAGAAGACACAAAAACATCCATCAGCATGACCATCACCATAATGGCAATAACGGAAGAAGAAGAACAAGACGTACCTTGGGACTCTTGTTTTCATCAATGGGCACCATGAGATCCACTTCCACCTCAAAAGGCGCAGTACCAACCTTCAAGATGTCCTCCACGACATTCTCTGCCTCCATGCGCATGGTAGCGACTGGCTGATCAAATCCAAAGATGCCCTTCCACAAGGCATCCAAACCTGATTTATTGGCAGATCCAATGGCTATTTGTTGAATGCCCAGAATTTCAAAGGGACGCTGGGTGGATGATGATGATGATGATGATGATGATGATAGGAAACGTGCATTCTGACGCAAGGAGGAAGACGAGGAGGATACTAGCAATGCGAATGGTCTGCTGCATGATTGTTGGACTGCTGCCGAGGAAGAACGTAGAAATAAGGCCTTGGTGGCAGTCTTGGAAAGTGAGGAAGCAGCAAACATGATGGAATGATATTGGGCTGTTTTTCTTGCTGTTGGAAGAAAGTATTGATTTTGAATGTTGTGTGCCGGTACCGGTATGTATATGAGAGATTGCGACACGACGGGGCGGCTTCTCGTCGTCGAGACGATGATGCGTTTCGCATTGATTGATTGATCGATTAAAATATTGATGTGGAGTTCGCGTTCCTCTAACGTCTGGCCTGCCATCGCATCACAAGTGACAATTTTGAGGGAAGGGAAATATAAATGTTGGCATTCTCATATTTCAGTCCCCCAGGAATACCGGTAGATGTCCCACCGGATGATGACTTGGCGAATGTTTCAAATCCCCAGTGGAATTCTTTAACCTATATATGGAAGGCGATCTTACATTATCACGTACAAAGTTACTTATACCGGTATTATTACACTGATCGTAATTATGCGATCCGCCATAATAGGTTTTCAAACTTCCGGTAGATTATAAGAAGATGGTTCCATTGGAGGAAAGGCGGAACACTGGTTTTTTTTGACTATACTGCCGCTGCAATTGCAAATCACCTACAGTACCGGTACAAGTGTCGGTGCAGTAGCATATTTGATAAGAATAGTTCCGAAGAGTCGCTGGTTGGTAAGTTTGTTTGGTTGTGATATGAGACCCTTTCACTTTTGTCTGTGAAAGTTCAAAGTTTGTTTGTTTGTTTGTTTGTTTGTCTATTTTATAGAAATACATTTTGTCGTATCTAGAATTATAATCCTACCGTGAACCGTGCCTAATGCCATTATCATTGATGATGTACAGCTTTACCAGTGAATCTGCTTCCTCCTCAATGACCAGAATGTCACCATTCCTCGTGGACTACTCGGGTCAAGTCATTGACCTAGGAAGACTCTCGGGTGACGAATCGATTGATGAGTCTCATGTCATGGAAATTGCCACGAGCGGTACAGATTCCGAGACGGATGTTCTGCTGCATGATGATGACGAGGATCATGACCATGACCATGACCATCATCATGACCACGATCATGACCACGATGGCATGGAAGGTCCGCAACAACATCCCAAGTCACCAGTAGCGGACAATACGATGCGCACCGAATTGGAGAGTCTCTCCTCGTCCGTTTCTTCTGAAAAATCTGAAACTGAGGGCAAACCTCGGCAGCAACAACAGCAGCAACAAACGCAGCAAAACTCTACAACGACCGACTTGTCATCGACAACACCACTCTCACCACCAAGAAAGATAGTGGTCAAGTTTTCACAAATTCAAATACGAGAGTATCCCATGATTGTGGGAGACAATCCTTCCGCACTCACCGGAGTTCCCGTGACCATTGATTGGGAACATGTGGACGAGCTGGAATTCCAATTGGAAGATTACGAATCGGGTCGACCACAACCACCCCGCAGCATGGTCCAATTGCGAATGCCCGCCTCTCATCGCGATGGTATTTTAAAATCGCAAGGGTTTTCGCTCGCAGAACGCAATCATGGCAAGAAAATGGCCAATGTGACCAAGGGCCGCCGAAGACGGACCAGCGAAACCATGAAGTTGAGTCATGTCGCCGAAACGGCGGAGATTTGGAAACGAGCCACCAAGAATGCTACCTGGGGACGGAAGCAAAAACAAAAGGAACGAGAATATTTGCATCCCTATGTAGAACATTGAAACATTGAATTGATTCTGAATTGATTCTGAATTGATTTGATTTGATTCAAGATCTGAATTGAATTGGATCTGATACCTATAATATGCTATTGTGGAAGAAGAAATAGAAGAAGAGGAAGATCCGTATTCAAGCTTCTGCAGACCGATCAAAATGGAGGGCATTGACAGTACCCATCCATCCAAGTATCCATGTATCCATGTATTCGTCCATCCATCCATCCTCCTCCTACTATTGAAGTGTGGGTACATATATATATATACATGACAACAGTTGAGAAGCAAATGGCAATTCATTGATGGTGTTGCAACTCATGGATTGGGATGCTGACGAGGCTACCTATACATTGAAGCAAATCTTTTGCACAGTTGTTCAATTGGACGGATTGGTCAAAATATGATTGGCAATTCATTCATTCATTCATTGAATTGATTATAATTGAATTGGGATTCCCAACACGCGGCACTGGCAAAAAATTCATGAGCGCTCCACATCCACGTCTTCCAGTCGATATATTCAGAATATATTATTATAGGTATAGTAATCTGCTAATAGCTATACGGTAGGACTACCGGTATATTATACACATACTACATACAGTACTGCCTTTGGCTTCACATTGTATGATATATATACGGTACTCGAGACAGCTATTAGGAAAGCATTGTCAATAATTTAGAGCCTATTTTTTTAAAATATTATTATTATTATTATTATTATTATATCCTACCGGTATGCCATTGCAAATGTTGCAATTATAGTTTATTTTTTCTCTGAAATGTATATCTAGTAGGCCCCCACCATGCCCAAGTCTTGAGTAGCTACTATGTCGTAGACACAACCCTTGCGATCAAAGTCATCCGAAAGTCCCGAGCATGCCACTTCGGCTTGATCTTCGGTAATGCTAGACTCGTCCAAACGACGTTGACGTTGTCCTTGAGGATCTTCTGGAAGGTAGCAATGTTCTGGGAATTGTGGAGCTGCCATGGCATGAAATAATCTGCCATCACTGGGCAAGACTTGCCATTCCTGGCCCAGCTGATTGAAATCATGAAGAATGGTGGATTGATCACGTGCGTAGGTATGACCAGTCTTGTAGTCTCCAGTGATACCCACGGCATTGCCAAAGGAGGCTTGTGTGGCACCGATAATCTTGACACCGACAAATTCCTTGTAGGTTTTGATTTCAATCCTTTGTCCAGGAAAAATGGCGTCCAAATGAATGGTGTACTTGTCATTGTTTTCATTAATGGACACTGGGAATCCTGCTAGATTCGTCAACTCGCCCTTGTGTTCAAAGTTGATCCAATAGCTGAGAGAGAAATCAGGCATTCCTTCGACTTCTAAAATATCATTGCCAATGCGAATGGCAGCCTTTTCAATGTAACTCCAGTAACGCACCATTTTGGTACGAAGGTGAATGTCAAGGTCCAAGGTTATTGTTTCGTGATTGCTGTTGGCGGAAGCAACAAAGTTCTTGACCGAGGTCATGACGACATCGCATTGTCCGTGGAATTCGAAATGTTCGTTCTTCCAGGTGCGGACTGTGTTGAAAGTGAAGTGTGTTACAAGTAAAGTGAAGTGTGAGTAAAACACATCCACAAATGTACGTACAATACTCAAACACTCAAATATTTCAATACAATGACAATACAATGACAATACAATGACAATACAAGACAACTACTATACTCACAATGAGGATCTCCATTGCTCTCAGAACCGGGAAAGGCATTGTAAGCGTAACAATAAGCCTCCGAATGAGACTCATACGAATCCACAGGACCTTTTCCATTGTTGGTGACCTTGCAATTGCCAGGTGTAAGGTCACGGGTGTAAGCTGGTGGACAAGTTCCTCCTTCGCCCGGAGACAGACCATCCTCAAAGTAACAAATGCAATGATCGAACTCGGCATCTAAAACAAAGCCTCGCAGACCTTTGTTGGGATCATTTGTTCTACAAAGCAGGTCGCAGGCTTGGACTGTATAAATGTCCTTGGCAGCCGCCCAATCATGATAGCCATCCAACTCGGCGCGACAAGCACCTTCACCAAAGAATGTCATATCGGCAGGAGCCTCTGGAGCTGTTGCAGCATCGGCTGCTGCTGCTGCTGCTACTACTACTACTACCAGCACTAATACTAATGGGAGCAGGTTAACTACTTTCATCATCATCATCATCATCATCGATCGTTGTATTTTATTCTTGTTATTTTTTCACGTGACAAAATTTCAAACATCTTGCACACCCTGACTTGGCCTTAAATATATTATGCATAATATGTATGTAGCAAAAACACACTTTTATTTAATGATGATTTCGAATTCGTGACTGTAGTTAAGGACGATGTCCGTCGTACACGTGTCGCATTTCCAGAAAGCGAGATTTCAATAAAAGTTGGGATTTCTGACCATACCAGTAGGTACCGTACCGGTTATAGGTACGATGGCATCTTCTTCATTTTATTCAAAATTATCAATGTTTTTTACTAACTACGAAGCCTGACCCGCCCATATACGGTACACCGCCTACTGTACCAGGTCCTGCTACATTTATGCGTTCTCTGCAAAGTTGAAAGCGGCAAATTCAAAAACGGGCGGAGGCTGGTGTATGGTTGTTGAGGGGACGCAAGGTTGGAGTAAAGTGTTTGGTACTATACTGTATATTGCAGCCTTTTTTTGTATTTTAATGGTGAGGAAGGAGGAATGAATGAATCATCGCTGAGAGATATCATCAGCTGATATCGCCAGCTGATTTCGTCTGCAAAAAGCGTGAGGAGAGAGGGTTCATAATGCACCTACCGAAAAGACAACGGGCAACGACTTTGCTAAAGTGCTTTGAACAACATGGCACTGCAAGCATAATATACATAGTCCTTTGTCGACTTTATGCAAACGTTGGAATTAAACCGCTGATGATAATCCTGCTCACAAGGAAGTCGCCATCGTCACCGCTTCGAAGTTCTGGACCATGTGATTTATTTTGGATGACTTGGAAATGAATAAGCCATATATCTTTGGAGTCTACTGCTAATTTCAAATTGAAATGCTTTTGAGCAATCTGTTGCTGTACTTCCTCTCGTTCCAATATCTTGCCATACCCAATACCTCCCTCCCTTGCCTTTTTGCCAGCATCCTCCAATGATGCATAGGCTCGTCAATGATTGTGACTCGGTAAGAAGAGTCGGAATGTTGCTAGTATGTACGCATCTTCTCGTGATTCATTCATCCCTATAGTGGATTCATTCGTCTGTCGAGGATGATGATATGCGGATCAGGGGCGTTTGGATCTGTGCTCTGTTGTTGAGACTCACTCACAATTGCCAGTCGCCGATGCTGCAGCAGATATCATTCATGTGCTATTGTTCATATTGTCGATCTGTCGAAGATGTTATGAGGATCAGGGGCGTTTGCTTCTCTGTTGATGAACTCGCCAGTCGCCGATACGGCAGCAAATATCATGCGTGTCATGGGCGTTTCTGTCTCTTTCAAGAGGCCATCTTTGACAATTCTTTGATGATTGCGACATTGCACGAGTTGGAATGTTGTTTGGACTTTTGTTGTTCCTATTGTCGATTCGTCTGTCGAGGATGATATGCGGTTCAGGGATGTTTGCTTCTCTGTGGAGAAAATCACTCGCCAGTCGCCGATAATACAGCAGCAGATATCATGCTTGTCATGGGCGTCTCTTTCTTTCAAGAGGCCATCTTTGACAATTCGTCGATTGATTGCGTTAAGGTAATCGTTGGAATGTTGGTACTCGCTCATGTTGTGACTTATTCATGTTGTCGATCTGATGAGGATGATGTGCGGATCAGGGGCGTTTTCGAGTTTGGTTCTCTGCTGAACGAATGAATCAATCAATCACCGCTCCCCGATACGGCAGCAAATATCATGCTTGTCATGGCCGTCTCTCTCTATCTTTCAAGAGGAGGCCATCTTTGACAACTTGCCAATGATTGCGACATGGTGACTGTTGTTGATATTCATATTGTCCATCTGAGGAGTATATATGATGTGCGTGTCGTGGGCATCTCTCTTTCGAGAGGCCATCTTCCGACAGGTTCTCGACACGGTAAAAGTCGGAGTGTTAATTTGCTGTGATTCAATTGTCGATCGATGGACCATTGCCTTCCATCCATGTCGATCGTCACCGTCGACATCCATCCATCTATCCGATCGATTCATTCTGAGCATGATCTTATTATTATTGGAAACAAATCAACAACGTTACAGCAACAGACAAGCCGGCAGTCACCGTTTCGAACAAGACCACCTGAGCTGGTTACGTTCTTCTTTTGTCGCCCTTGGACACTTCTGTTCGACAATATGACGGTCGGCTCCTCGTTTGCTGCAATAACGTTGTTGATTTGCTTCCAATATTGTACTGTAGTAGTGTGATCATTCATTCTTGTGGTGTGTGACGGTGTGTGATATGAAAGATAAGGTCATGTGAATGAATGCAATAGACCAAAAACCTCTTGGAAAATGATTTTTGTGAGACGTTTCCAAGCGTCAACTCGTCACGAAGCGTGCAAAATGTTGGAAGTTTGCAAATATATGATCGTGGATCCAAACACGGCCTCGCTGAATATATAAAGTTTGGTTCCGAAATAGGCTGAAATACTCAACGAAATAACGATGGATCGACGGTTTTCTTTGACCAATTGGTCTTCCTTGAGTCTAACTAAATAAGGTGATGAAACATCCATCCATGATGGATGCGCAACAACGTTTCCGCTATGGTTTTTTAATTGTGAAGATTGATCACCATGATGATTTTATCATTGATGATGGATTTTTTCCCGTGTGTGCCACAGACGTGGTGGTACACGAACTGTAGGTACGAAGAACATTTGTTCGAAAGTCCGATAATCAAGGCAATCACGGACACCCGCGGTCCGCATTTGACACGATACAAATAATTATCGCAGCTTCCGAGAAATTGCATGAAACCTGATGAATCTTATTGCATCTGCTGGTTATATGCCAAGGCCGAATTTATCGCAATAAGGTACAGCGCTGATTATCCAATCCCCTTTACATCCTCATTGGCCACTACGAAGATGAGCAGTCACCATCACCATCAGCCTTTTGACCAATACTATCATCATCGTCGTCGTCGACGAGAAGATGATGCTGCTGATGAAGAACAAGCTAGTAGTAGTACCAACAGTAGTGCTGTCTTTCGACCATCCTTGCGCATGTCAGAGTTTCAACTTCCTTCGTGGGCGGTTTCCTCGGATGAGGATTCAGCTTCAGCTTATACTTTGGATACTGGTAGTGATAGCAATAACGGAAATTTCATTTCGCCACAGATGATTTACGAACAACGACGCATATTGATGGAAATTGAAGAACGACAACGACGACAAGAAGAAGAAGAAGAAGACAAACAACAACTATCAGCATCATCATCATCACTGAAACCTTACGAATCGAATCCACCAAATTTCCCTCGTGACAATCAAGGCTTATTTCTTCCAACTCATAAGAACAGTGTGAGCAGTCGTGATGGTAGTATCACAACCGCCGAAGACAGAAGCATGATCCTGAACCAAAGCATTCAAGTGTTCACAGCCACAGACGAGGAGGGTGAACAAGAATCTACGAATGATGGTGGTGGAGGAGGCAGTGTAGCGGCCTTGACTTTTTACGATGAGGATGATGATGATGATGATGATGACGAAGATCATCTAGTACCAACGCATGCTCATCACAATATGGAACCTTTTCTAGACGAGTTGGAATATAGCTATCGGCAACATCACCAGATACCCTTTACTCCAGGAGCTCGTCAACGTCAACATGATGAGGATGATCATGCTTCAGGAGCAAATGATATCACCAGATCGACACACAACGCCAGACCAAGACCGATACCGTCACCCTATCCGCAGCAGTACTCCCAACCAACAACCTATCCTCAGTACTCCCATCCATCTATACTCGATAAAACAAGAGGCAACGACAATGATGATGTGCTGGAAGCTCTTCGATCATCACAAAGGAGACAACAACAGGACCAAGAACGGTCTGAAAAGGTTCGGAAAAGTCTGGAGGAGGAAACGGAACGGCTTCGAAAGAATCGGATCAGCGAAAACACGGAACGACAACCTAAACGGGGTTGCTGTTGTGGTGGGAAGCGATGGCGTTGCTGTTTCGTTTGGACGTTTATTTTGATAGCTGGAGTGGTAGCTGCCTGGTTTGTGTTGCGAAACAAAGTAGACTGGCTTCCTTTTGGAAACAGCAAAGCATCCTCTCCTGCCTCGACTGGAAATAGTTCAACGCTGACTCCTCCTCCTCCTCCATCCTTGCCACCCACCACACCCGATTCGATTGCCCTCACTACGGCTCCAACAAACTGCCTAAGCCCCGAGGTTATGTCGACCTTCTTTGGTGGCGAGACCTACCGAACCAAGACTGGAAGAATCGATGGGCGCTACAATGTAAATTGTAAGAGAGGCAGTGGTGAAATGTTGATTGCTCTTTCCGTATCGGTAACATCCTCCTGTGAGGTGAAGTGTGTGGGTTTTCTCACACAATTGGACTACAGCCAACAATGCCCAACCAGAAATCGATCAAGTAGTATATTGGAGGACAATCATGCTACTACGAACCTACGACCAATGGGCAGTGGTGGTGGAGGGAGTAGTTCTGTTCCGGATGTGAACTTTGTACTTCCAGGGGACTTTTCAAATGAAATTTTGTATTTGGGATACGCTTCGAGCAGTTTTGATCTACCTTGTTCCCAAAAGATGTTGCTATTGGTCTAGCTAGTAGTGTGATATGCCACGCGGGCGTGGGTATAGTTAATGAGTGATCATTTATAAATATTGTAAAGCCTAGTTGCATATCATCTGGATTGGCACGTCTATTGTTGGTGTTGTCTAATGTTGATTCCTAGTAGCGGCTGCCTGTTCCTGTACTTGACGGGCCAAAATTTCCAACCGGAGCTCCAAAGTGGAATGGTCCGAATATATTTCCATCGACGGGGCATTCTTATACAAGGCCTCCTCTATTCTCTTGACGATCATTGGAAGTTGCCTCTTGAGCAACTGGGGTGCATATGGCCTTCGTGTACGAATACTGCGAACTCTGAAGTATTAAGTAACAAGAGAAATTGGCATGTGAGATGATGTTGAGATGCGAAATTGATGATTCAATTCTTCGTTTCAGAAACCAATACGTACATTTTCTGGATGATTATTCTTCGTGCTGGCATGTCGGCCTCACTTCGCCAATTGCCATTGAAATCAAGGCAAAAGGGCTTCTTGTTGCTGGATGTCCTGGAATGATGCTGAATGGCACCAGCCGTACTAGTAGTCGTACTTTTGCGCTGCTTTTTCGCAATCTTTGAATCGCGGTTTCGTTTGGCAATAACGACCGATGCCGCTAGAGTCACAGCAGGTTGCCGAGGTCTATCAGCATGCAAGGGCCTGTTCTTGACCATAGGCAAACCGGTTGGGATGCTGGATGAGCCGTCCGAAATGGTGCGAAGGCGAGTTGCGTTGATAATGATTTTCATGACTAAAGGAAGTTTTGTTGGGTTTAAAAAATATGTGTGCTGCTGATGTTATTATTTTGCTTTTGTGAATGTATGTCTCGAGAGTGCGAGCTCTTGGTGATGATTTGTGATCAGATGATTTGTCGTATCGTATCAAATAATTGTTTTGTATACCGCCTCGATACGATGCGACACAATGATACGATACGATGGTTTTTTTATGTGGCAAAAGATGCCTGATGATTTCACCACAGCGGTCGGAGTGGCAACAAACCCGAATTTGAATGGAAGAAAGGAAAAACTCCCTCGTGTTTTCTGGTCTGATCTTGTGTGCCTTTAATTGTTTTGAAGTCGCGTCATTCTGATACTTCTGCTCAGGTGACTTTCCAGGAGGGAGGAGGGTATCGCGCATTCGCAGAATACCTCTTGGCCGCTGAAGGAAGCTGTAAAACGTCTGCTCATGAATATTTTTAAAAAATGTGACAGAGGAGGGGCAGGAGGAGTCGTCATCCTGTCCGGATTACAGTATGTGTGTCCAACCCTCCTCATTGAGACCAACTTGGAACTCATGTCCCAATCAAAATCAGACCGGACATCGTGGAAAATCCGTAGTGGTGGCACGAAACGTGGCGTTCGATTGAGTCGGATTAATAATTTGATTTATTCGACTTGAAAATGACCGAAATTCTGAAACTACATAGTCTAGAGGTGCGTGCACTTTCCATTGCAAATTTCGATCTATAAAATATGGAATTTCGAAACATTCATCCGAGCCACCTGAAATGTTCGGAAGGGGGCAGGAAATCAGAGAAAGGAATCTCATTTCTGCCTCGACATTGCAAAACAGCACACAAAGTCGATGCGTGTATGTATAATGATAACTTTTGTCGGGGTCCAACCGTGTGTGGATAGCGACACATTGACTGGGATAGATTCTTGGCCACTTCTGGATTGCATGCCGAATTAACCAGAAAGGTCAATCAGGTGCAGTTCAATCACTTTGACCTTGAAATATCCCATTCCAAGCCGCCAAACCTTGTTACAAATACCCATGGACGACAAATACGTGTTAGAATAAAGAAGATTGAGGAAACCAGGCTAGCAATTCGACAATTCCAGAATTTTCAACAAACGTACCTCTTTTCTGGCCCCATTCTGGCCCCTGTCTGCTTGATCTAGACCGAATCTTTGAATGGGTCCCAAAATTTATCGACTCTAGGTATCCAAGGGAGGTCCTGGTGTATTGTTGAATGGATAGCTGTCTCCATGGCGGCCACGGGGACCTTCATCTGATTTTGAGTAGTTTTGCCAAATGATGGACTCGGTTGATAATCTGCACAAAGGCACCATGATATCAGACACCACACGATCGCAAAGTCCTCAGTATACCTATAGAAGCAACCTCCACGAAAATTATGAAGCTCTTTGTGCCATGGGACTCTGTGGTGTCCCAAAACCCTTCGGAAACTTCTTTTTGGACGTTGAAGGTAGGCGCCAGCGGTCATTTTCGGGACCAAAGAAACAAATGAGACCAGATCACTTCATAGGAACAGGGTAGCAAGTATCCATATACAGGTGCTTTTAGCTACGCATCGACTTTCTTGTAGTGGGTGATGAATACAGGTGCCTCAGAACTTACCACCATGGTGAAATCAAATCCATCTGCCTTTTTGGTAGATTTTCACTATTTAAAATCATCGGGCATGTCGTTTTTTTTGACATTTTACTTCTTTGATATCTTTAGAAGAGTATTCTGCAAGAAAAGAGGGATGATCGATGTTTTCTTGATGTCAACAATGGGTTCGAAGGTTGATGATGGAAATGCCGATTTGTTGTTTTGATTATTTGGTACAAAATCAACGAAAATCTACGAAGGCGCGCAAAAAATGTGAAAGTACTTTGTTAGACCGATTGTGTGACATGGCCTACTAGTTCTACGTACATTCTAATTTTGATTCGGACTATATATATTGAAAATCATCTGCCTTCTCTCCTTCTCTTTGGGGCGATTGCCGCGCTGGCGAAATTCTCTCCTGTATTGGTACCGTAGTACTAGTCGAAGTCGTCTTTCCCTCTAAATTTCTTGATATTTTCGGACTACATTTTTTATCACGAAATTGCTTCAACAAATAAGACAAATTGAAAATAGCCAAGCTCTGGACTCTGATAGGCCGACTTTCCAGACTTGTTTGAATCTGGCACATTTTGCTGTGTTCCAAGTTAGTCTCAATGAGGGTGGGACACATAATCCGGGCCGGTGTCACATGTTTTTATCCACATCGACGACGGAACTGCTTGAAAGAAACCTACAGTATTACGTTTTTTCATTTTTTTCCATTGATTGGTTGATTGATCATCCATTGGAATGAATCGAAACGCTTCACAAATCTAACCATTGTACAATATGGTATAAAATCTATAAAATATAGCATAATATAAATACCACGCGTCTATATTTCGTCAGATATGATACACTGTCAGATTTCTAGTCACGCACGACCTGCAATACTAAACCACAGTGTTGCGATATCCTAGGGCTCTACCTGCGGTGCAATTTATTCCAAAACGAATCTATTGTATTATGACACCAACCGTTTTCAACAAACATGGCAAAAAGGACCGGGTGGATTTGAAGTAAAGCTGGGACCGGATATTGTTGGGCAGCTCGTTTCGCGAAATGCGGCGTCAACATTGACAGTGCTGGGAATGCGTGAGCCCCATGCACAAATACTGTAATTGAACGATGATGCCCCAAGGAGTAGACGGTTCATGGATGTTACGGAAGAAACATCCCATGATGATATGTCTTGATTGAAGGATTCTGCGCCAAGAAACATTCTCTCCAATACCATGACAGAAGAAACATCCCATGATGAAATATCCCCATTGAAATAAAGTGCCTCGTAAAACATTGATAGCATGGTGGTCACCGATGAAACATTCCATGTTGAAATATCTCCATTGAAAGCGCTTGCCCTTTGGAACATTTGTCGCATTGTTGTTACAGATGAAACATCCCATGATGAAATATCTCCATTGAAAGCGCTCGCCAGATAGAACATTTGTTTCATTGTTGTTACCGAAGAAACATCCCATGACAAGTTTTGATTGAAAGCCGATGCACCATGGAACATCAAGCGAGTCTCCGTGACAGAAGACACATCCCACGCTGAAATATCAGCATTGAAAGAGTGTGCCTCGGAAAACATTGCAGTCATGATATTGACGGCAGAAACATCCCATGATGAAATATCTCCATTGAAAGCGCTCGCCAATTGGAACATTTGTTGCATTGTTGTTACGGAGGAGACATCCCATGATGAAATATCTCCATTGAAAGCGCTCGCCAATTGGAACATTTGTTGCATTGTTGTTACGGATGAAACATTCCATGATGACAAATCTTGATTGAAAGCCGATGCACTATTGAACAGAGAGCCCATGTTCGTGACAGAAGACACATCCCATGATGAAACATCAGCATTGAACGAGCTTGCCTGGTAAAATATTGCATTCATGGAAGTCACAGCAGAAACATCCCATTTCGAAATGTCTTCATTGAAAGTCTCGCGATCCCTGAACAGATCCTCCATATTTGTCACACCTGCACCAAAACACCAATTACCTATTAGTCCGTACTTAGCCTCGACTGATGCCTTCAGTGATGGTTCAAACCAGTCGCCAACAATATTGATGAGTTCTCCTCTAGTTTGGAAGCATGACGTTGATGTTGGTGACAAAGAAGGTTGAACGGAAGGCTGAGTTGAAGGTGGCCGAGACTCCACAGCTGAAGGGGACAAAGAAGGTTGGCCAGAAGGTGTCTTAGAAGGATTTGCTGTTGGATGGATCGAAGGAGATATACTGGGTTGCATCGAAAGGGAGACTGACGGCCCCTCCGTTGGGAATGGCGTAGGCTTCAAAGTCGGACCAACCACAGGTTGTGTTGTTGGCATAGCAGTCGGTGTATTGGAAGGAATTTGCGATGGTGATAGACTGGCTTCAAACGTTGGAAGTGGCGTTAATTGCAAAGTGGGATGACCATCAACAGGTTGAAATGTTGGAACAGGAGCCGGCAGAGTCGTAAGAAGGCGCGTTGGAACAGAAGTCTGCCGTATCGTTGGCGAACTGGTTGGCTCAGCGGTAGTGAGGGGTCCGACTGGTGCCAAAGACGGAATTTTAAGATGATGATTGAGGAGGTTCGTCGATATTCAAAAGGTATGCAGACCTCTTTACTTTGATACTTACCAGATGGGGATGGACTTGCCGACATTGTCTCCTTTTGCAAAATGTTCACAATGTCGATTTGTTTAAAGGGTGGCAACAAATCCAACTTCTCAAGCAACGGCAGAGCCCGAAGGTCAGTGTTGATAGATTCTATCAAGTGAGTCGGCGATGCCATGTCATTCAAGTAGAGGTCAAGATCAGCAACATAGCGAGAGCATGGCCTTTCAGCAGCAGGCAAACATTCGTCAGTCGTCACAGCCTCAACATCAGCCAACGCATTGACAATGCCTTTGTTCCTATTTTCGTTGTTTACTTTGTCAGTACAGCCGGCTAATAAGGGCATCAAGATCCGTTGAATCTTTTCTTCCATTTCTGTGGCAAGCAGCGATTCTTCTTTAGTCTCTGAATCAAAAGTGACGTCCATGATGATTTCGTACTCTTGAACTAGGTCTTCGCGTCCGGAGACAGCAGTACCATTGCCAATTGCGGCGCAGGTTTCTCGGGAGGGCGAACCACTGTCATTGTCTTGGATGGATGGACTTGAACTCGGAGCATACGATGGAAGGATTTCATATGCCTTGATGAAGTCAATATTTTCCACAGGTGAAAGCAGCTCCAAGAGTTCCAATAGTCCTTTGTCTTGAAATACATCCTTGATGAGGTCTACCAGTACGTCGCTCGACACAGCTTCGTCCTTCGCAAAGATATTAAGCCCCAGATAGACAAAGGAACAAAGCCCGATTGAGTCGGAGCTGCAGGATATAGGGTCGTCAACGGAGGTCTCGTTCAGTACAGCGTTCTCCACAATGAAAATGTTATTTTCAATCGAAATGGAGCCTTCGGTGTCACACCCAGCAAGCAGTGGTAGAACCTTTCTCTGTATTCTCAGTCGAAGCTCGGCTTGAAGCAATTCCATTACAATGCCAGAAGCGACTGTTACGTCCATCTCGACTCCAAACAATTTGGATGTAGTTCCATTTTGGCGGACAGTCTCTAGTCCCAAGGAGATGGCAAGACAATCGTCCAATGTAGGTGGATCAAAGATGACTCTATTTTGAATGCTCGTATCATCTTTTTTTACCAACAGCCAGGTTATTACTCCTGTAGCAACCGCAAAGAGGAACAAAGCAGCAACATACTTCCGGCGCTTGTTGTTTTTTGGTGCAGGAGTAGCTACAACAATCTTCTGGTCGTCCTCTTCTCGCCTTGCAATTCGTTCTTCTTCTCTTCCCTGTTGACGAGCAGCTTCGATCTCCGCCGTCATATCAGGCGTAGTCGTGGCCTCGACTGCTTCCGCCAATTCATCCACGCGGCCTGTAGCCCCAGGATGCAAAGAAGGAAGAGGGATGTCGTCCTCGACCTTGGTTGGCTTGGTATCAAGTGATGCTTTCAATTTTGTGCTATCCCTGTCAGCTCTCTTCAATCTCTGAGCCCCAGGATTCCCTGACGGTTCCTGATGTCTCGTCCTACTAAACTTGGATGTTTTTCTTGCGCCGCCATCCTGAACAGAGCTCGTCACACGAGTAGCCCCAGGATTCGCTGACGCCCCCTTCTGCCTCGTCTTGCTATACTTGGATGACTTTCTTGTACCATCATCACGATCAGAGCTCGACACATTCGTAGCCCCAGGTCTCGCTGACGGCTCCGTCGGTCTCGTCTTGCTGCGATACTTGGATGATTTTCTTGCGCCATCATCCCCATCAGAGTTTGAAATTCTTTCAGCCCCGGGAGTTCCCATCGCTGCTTTTCTATCGGCCCGGCGATCAGAGCTTGAAACATACTGAGCCCCAGGATGAGAAGCTTTTTGCATTTCAGCTTTCTCTTTTGATTTCTGCTGTTTGGAATTTGCATCAACAGAAGTTTTAGACGATCTACTGCGATTAGATCGATGGTGGTCCGAGGAGTGAGGAGATCTATGACGATCGGAGCGTTCGCTCAGTACTAGATCGTCGTCAGGAGATTTGGAACGAGACTTTGAGCCGTATTTTGATTTGCGTTCGGAATGTTTGCTCCTTCCTTCACGCCTTTTTGATTTCCGTTGCGGTGCGGTTGCTGAATTGGAAAGTTCTCCAACAACGACGCCATCGTCTTCAACGGAAGGCATCATCTCGGAGATGATTGGCGAAGATCCTTCGTTTGTATCTACTGATGGCATGATGGTGGTTCTTATTCTGCTGCTCAATTCTTTCACGCAAAACTGCAATTGTATTTTACTGCTGTGTTGCCATCCGGTATTTGCAAAGAGAAGAATCTCAAGCTCCAATAATAGAATAACAGATCTGGTCGCGCTATATTTGTAGTTTTGTGTTCTTTGTGATAGAAAAGCGTGTCAATCTAATCGTGCTCGGGAATGATGTTCAAAATGCGATGTTCTTCGTGATACTCGGTAGAAACGAATTGGTGGCCTTTTGGCACCATAAATATATGTTACAAATAACGCGCGTTTCACTAATCACATCATGAAGTTGGAACGAAAACCTTTCATGAATCATTGTGTGACAAAATCACAACTTTTGTGGTAACAGAGGTACCAGTTTATCTACGCACAGTGTATGAATGAACGAATAGCTACGGCACTTACTACTTTTGTTACTTGATAGATCAATGGTTGTAAATGAAATACGCCTCGGTAGAATAAGTCACCCGCTTTCGATTGATGGCAATAGACAAATCCGAAAGCATTCCTTCAGGAACGAGCGACTAAAGTTGAAAGTGTTTAATCCTGCCGTAGCAAAACTCTCGCAAGCAATGGCAACCAATTCAACATATCCATGTCCTTGATTCGGTTGGAACCCAATAGCAGACCGAGAGAAAATAATGTGGATGACACTATACATCCACAGATGGCGGGTGTCTGATGCAACGAAGAAGGCGGAGGGAAAAAGAAAGAGTCCTCATCTCCAAAGATGATACTCTTCTCTCCAGCAATCGGAAGTAAACACGGAAAGAGCACCAGTGCCGACAGGGCAATGATGGAAAGTGCGCTCCAACACCTCGTTCTGTCGGATCCCAACTTGGTAGTAGCAATCAATCGTTTCAACACCCTTATTGTCTTTTGTCTTCTTGAAGAATATCATCGATATCGCATGCCGAACAATTTCCTAGAAAATACAAAACGGAACATGCTGGGAGTAAAGGCCTCGGTCGCTGCCCCCCGGAGCAAAGGCAAATGCCAATGGGACCCAGAAACACTTTCAATAGGGGACCTTCTTTTTGACAATTGGATACAAGACTAAGGCTCCGACAAAGACCATTAGGCAGACCCCAGTATTCGAGAATAAAGTTGCTGTCGTCTTGTACAAGATAAGCAGACAAACTGTCACCAATCCCTTCAATAAGTTGACAGTAGGATAATAGTGGGATCGTCCAAACGATTTGCGGCAAAGACCAGGACGTGTGTGGCATAGACCGATACAATATCATTTGTGGGCGTGATCATTGCTGCAATGGTTTCGTCTTTTCATCGAAGAAATGGCAATGACTTCGCGAGCGACACAGCCAGTAGAAAGATGCCAATGTTGGATGAAGGATTCGCGAGAATATTCGATAGAAGCAAGAAAAAAAGGTATAGCGGCGAACGATTGATTCATTCTTGTAAATCAATCTTGTCATATTGATGGTTCATGACGGGAGTAGTACTCGTCGTTGCTTTCACTTTCATCGTCTCCCGTGTTGCTATCGTTGTCGTTGGGTGCAACAAGAATGGTGAATCGTTGACTGCATCCACCATCCTTCTGTGGTGGTTCTTATTCTTGGTCCTATACCTTCACCGCTCTCATCCATTCTTATCGACATTACGGAATTGAATGGCAAGGGCGGGGGCTGTTGTGTGAGAAGGAAAGGAGGTTGTACATATACACACTATAAAAAATGAATACCATGCCAGCAGGCGATTAATGAAGAAGAAAGGATATTCAAATGATGAGGAGAGCATAATAATACCGCTAGGTAAATATATAGACGAGAATGAAGAATATAAAATATGATGATGAGTCAGATATGACGTGATCACAAAAGGGGAGACATATGTAAAGGGGATGGATACAAATAATTCATTCGTAAGAATAGTACAGGTATATCGTAGCATTGCATGCGTTGCGCCCCTATCGTACTCTTACTTTTAATACATAATATTGCTCTATCGTAATACCCAAAGCAGCAGTGCACATGTCGTCCCGATAGTAAAGAACTTGGTGTTCGGCGGTGCTCTTGGTATCTCAAGAAAGTACTATTCGTATCGTATAAACTTTTATTATTATAGGCTCTTGTCAAAGAAGAGGACCAGTCCTTATTCCTAATTAGATGGTGGATGCAATGTTAGCTGACTCCAACAATCGAATAGATAAGTGGTGGGTCTGTGGCGGTGCCCATTACTTTGAATGCTGCTGCTGTTTCATGACCGCTGCCTGTTGCTGCACTTTACGGGCCAATGTTTCCAAGCGTTGCTCCAAAGTGGAAAGATCCGCATAGACCTCCATCGACGGGGCATTCTTGTACAAGGCCTCCTCCAATCTCTGCACCATACTTGGAAGTTGCTTCTTGAACGACTGGGGGGCATTTGGTCTACGTCTGTGGATACTTTTGACACTGTAGTAGAAATATCGAACAAAAACAGGAAAGTGTCATGTGTGAGATCCATGAATTTATCCAATTGATGATATTCAACGTTATAATTTCACAAAAAAACTGTAGTCGAATACTATAGGTACGTACATTTCCTTGACAATGACTCTTCGTTGTGCCATGTCCGAGTTGCTACGCCAAGTGCCATTGAGACCACGAGGAGGAGACGAGACAGCTGCCATGTTTCGCTTGCCAAGTGCAGACACTGGAAGTGTCACAGCTGGCAGAAGTGTCTCATGCAAAGGTCTGTTATTGGAAACAGGCCGAGCGCTACTACTAGAAGAGGATTGGTCTTCGGACATGGTTCGAAGCTGAGTTGTGTTGACGATGATTTTCATGGCGTTGAAATTTGATGAAGTATGATCTTGTTCTTTTGATTGGGTTGTTGTGGTTGTGGTTGTGTTGTGGTGGTGTTGCGTAGTGTTGCTGTTGTTTTTTGTGGTTGTTGCGTCGTTGTGGTTATTGTGTTGTTCGTATTTTATGAACCCGCTCCAGTCGCGAATGAACAAAAATTTCCATCTCCCCCCAAGTGACAACAATCCCGAATCTGAATCCCATCTTCCCCGAAAGTGATAAAACAGTCCCGAATTTGATCCGTCACGACTTACCGTCTGTTCGCTTGTCGGGTTTCGACAAACCCGGTGCAACGGACATTTCCGACTCCACTGATTCCAATCCTCAAGCCATCCAACCAAGGTCCAACATCCAACGCCAAACTTCCGATTAAAAATAGGAACGAATGACCAGAACTGGATGAACGAATGGGAACACTATACGTAACATATTATATACATCAGATTACAGAACACCAAATTGGAAAGATATATTCCAATCATTACCACACACATCTACTGTAGACGATTGGTCTCTGAAAAGATCACTCTTCGCACAAAGGCTGCAGCATGTTTCAACAAGCCTCTCAAAGGGCTTCTAAACGAGCCACTGCTGCCATCGCCACGGGAATTGCTTCTGTAATCACTTGGGAACATCATCATCATCATCATCATCATGATCCTCAGGCAGATGCAAACGCGGAAGAAGGAGAGAATGGAGGAGCAGGAGGAGGAGGAGAACAACAAGATGTTGATGGAGACCGGCGATTGTTATTGTCTGTGTATTACAGAGATCCTCTTCATTTGCAGTCGCCCTATCATCATCAGTACTCCCGGTTTCCCTTGTTACCAACATCAACACTGAACAGCAGCAGCAGCAGCATGAATGTTGCTCAATGCGATGCCGCAACCTCCCAACCTTCTTCCTCATTGTTTTCCAAAGGCTTGTCTTCTATTTTGAGAAGAATGCATCAGTCAGAAACCAAGGATACTTCCTTGGAATCCATATACAAAATAAAGTCCAAAACACCCATTGGCGAAGGCGCCTTTGGTCAAGTCTTTTTAGGAAGCCACAAACAGACGGGAGAACAAGTGGCAATCAAGAAGATATGGAAGGAATTTACCAATCGTCAAGATTGTCAACGGGAAATGAGCGCCTTGCTTCACATCAAGGAACATGGGGGACATCCACACATTTGTTCCCTTCACGAAAATTTTGATGAAGCTCAGCATTATGCGCTCATATTGGATTTGATTAATGGAGGAGAACTATTTGATCGTCTCGTGGAAAATGGAGCGTATTCCGAATTGGATGCCAGCCGATTGATGCGAGAAGTAGTGTCGGCAATTAACTTTTTGCATGGCATTGGCTTGGTTCATGGAGATGTAAGTTTAACATTGTTGGCGAAGATCATGTTGGCATAGCTATTGTCATCGGTGGATGCGTCATTATCGAATGCATGAATATATAGGCACTAACACATGCATGCATCCATCCATCCACCCATCACATTATCATTTCATTGTCGCCACAATCATATTGCAGTTGAAACCCGAGAACTTAATGCTCAGTCAGACCCACAGAAGTTCCATCATCAAGGTGGTCGACTTTGGTTGTTCCGAACTTGTGGATCTACCATTGCCTCCGTCGACCCAAGAGCGCAATTCGACAGGAACTGTGGCCTATTATTCTCCCGAACGAGGTCTGGATACCAAGCAAGCACCCACCAAGGCACTGGACATGTGGGCACTGGGTATCATTTTGTTCATTATGCTGACGGGGTTGCATCCATTGGACCCAGAAGGAAATTCCACGGACGAACAACTCAAGGCCAAATTACGGCGGCTCTATGACAAAAAGATCAATCTTATGGAGTCCCGCAAACTCAAGCCCTTTATTTCGCATCTGAGTCCATCGGCCATCCAATTGTTGACGCTCTTGCTCGAACCGGATCCTACCAAACGCGTGGAAGCTTCCAAATTGATTCAACATCCGTGGATTCGAGGCCTCACGGCGACCGAGGGCAAGATTGAAAATTCCGACAAGCGCTTGTCCAAAATTCGCAAGTTCCGTTCCAAGATTGAAACCAAAGTCTTTCAACAATTGGTGTCGTTTGCGGATGCCGGCCATACCAAGACCAAGGGATCCTTGTTTCAAAAAGCATTTTCGTCAATGGACAAGGAAGACAAGGGATTTTTGACAGTGGACGATGTGTCGGGTGCCGCACTCTCCGGTCTTGTGGGGCCGCCTCCTGCGGATGGGGTTCCTGCCGATGACATGTCGCTCTCGGAATTTTCAACCCTATTGGGAGACAACATGGTCAGCAAGTACCTACCGACAGGTCATGTCTTGTACCGAGAAGGTGATATTGGTCACCACATGTACTTTATCAACTCGGGCAAGATTGATGTATCCACTAAGGATGGATTTAGAGCAGTCTTGCAACATGGGGATACCTGTGGAGAGGGTGGACTATTGAATGAAAATAGACAACGATCGGCCACCCTACGCACCATGACTCCAGTCCATGTCATTCAAATTGACCGTGAGCACTTTTTGAAGTATTTGATTGGATCCGATTCCGAATTGGGCATCAAGATGCGAGAAAAGATCAATGCCCGCAAATTTGGACGGGCCGAATATATTCTTGCCAATCATGCCAAGAATGAAGAAACGAAAGTGCCCAAGAATCATATTGTCTTTACGGATGGAGACGAAGTATCTGGCTTTCATTTGTTATGCGAAGGTATGATTGATGTCATGACCAAAAAAGGCAAGCGGTTGTATGATGTCAAGCCCGGCGAAGTCTTTGGAATTCAATCCTTCTTGATGGAAAAGAACAATCGCCGAGACTTGGCCAAATGCATTGCTGACGAAGGTTGTACCATCAAGACCATGCACCGCGATACGGCCCATGACTTGTTCCAAAAGAATCCAGGGATCAAGGAATCATTGAGTGAACTGGCTCTTCGAAGAGAATTTCGAAGGGCAATTGTCTTGAAGTTCAACAAGAGCTTTCCTCGTGACAAACAGGGACTCCGAAAGGTCTTTGATGCCATTGATTTGGATAAATCGGGTCTCTTGAAAAAGGAAGAACTCAAGGAACTCTTGTTGACTCATTTGGATGACTTGATTCTAACGGAAGACGATGTGGAAGCCTTGCTGGCTACAATGGACTTGCAACAGAATGGTGTTGTAGATTTTGAAGAGTTTTGTAGCATATTTCTCGGCAAACACCTATTGTAGGAGAGTGTACATAATAGTAGATGAATTAAATATTATTGTATCATATGTGCTATTATGTCTTCCATCTGTATTATCATTCCATCAGTATGTAGAACGGACCAGAGTGTGATCCAACAAAGTGGTTTGTTTCAAATGGAAGGTTTGATCGGATGTCCAAAGTCAGAATCCATCATTCTGAATTACAAATATACAGGATTAGGTACAAGTCTAGTTCAGTATAGGAAGTTACGATAAGCTATTGCTAAACAACGAAATTAACAGCTATATATCTTTATTGAATGTTAGTACATCATCACAATAATCATTCTAGTCCAGTCTAGTCCTATCTTGTCCTATCCAGCCAATTTATCAATGGTCTTTGCCAAGAGTTCCATGACCTCAGTAGGTGCTCTCTTCCGTAACGCAATTTCCAGTGGAAGTTCTCCCTTTTGTGTCTTGGCCACAACCGTATCCGGCGCACTGGCCACCAACAATTCAATGACTTCGTACGGAGCCAATCCCATGAGAGCCATGTGCAGCGGAGTATGGCCCAGCATATCTGTCATGCGGCAGGTATCTGGATCACCGTCGACTAATAGTGCCTTGATGACGGCAGGATCGGCATTTTGCGAACAAGCAAAGTGGATGGGTGTCATGTCGTATTGTGACTTGGCGAAACATGCCTTTTGGAATGTCTTCAATAGAAGCTTGACAACTTCCGCGGAAGCACCGTTCTCACAGGCCAAGTGGAGTGGAGTGTACCCTTCCTTGTCCTTGATTTGCGCTGCCTTGGGGAATTTGTCCGCAATCAGTTTCATCGAGTCAGCAGGTGCCTTGAACAAAGCTCCCATGTGGAGAGGAGTTCGGCCGTAGTAGTTTGTGGTTTCAACTCCTTGAGGTTCCTTGGCGATGAGGAACTCTACCGTTTCCGCAGGTGCTTTGTAGGCTGCAGCGTAGTGAAAGGGTGTTCCCACCCACAAATCAGTTTCCTTGATGCAGGGTTTGAATGCCTCATACGCCAATTCAGCAGCATCCTTGGACGCTTGCAAAGCACACAACATAGAAAGAGGATAGATACATCCCGAGAACCCTTCAAATTCGAATTTGACCGAGCAAGGTTCTGGATGATCAATTAGAACATCACAAGTATCATCATCATCGTACCTAGTTGCTTCATTCCAAGGATCAAGATTGAGCATCTTGAAGAGTTTCTTACAAGATTTCAGGAGATCCTCATCTGTGATATCCTGAAAACGTCTGGCATCTTCCGAAGGATGGATCGCTTCTGGAGCCTCGTACAGCTTGACGCTGACATTTTCCTTCTTCTTGAAGACTCCCTTACGGAATAGCCTTTCAGCTTTGGAGAGAGGATCATTTCCACCGCTTAGAGCTGGTGGAGGTTTCTCTCCAGCATTAATACTCTTCTTTCGCTCCTTCTTGGCTGCCTTTTTAGCTGCCTTGTCTTCCTCAGAGTCATCATCTTTGTCCTTTTTATCCTTCTTCTCTTTTTTCTCCTTTTTCTCTTTCTTTTCCTTCTTCTCTTCCTTGTCCTCTTTCTTGTCCTTCTTATCCTTTTTGTCCTTCTTTTCTTTCTTGTCTTTCTTATCCTTTTCACCCATGTTGAATAATCGACTTCACTTCAATAGCGTGCTTAACTGACTGATGAATGACTAATGTCTAATGACCAATGAAGGATAAAGATACTTCGAAGCGTTGTTTGTCGTCTGGATAGCAGAGCAAGGAACTACAATGCAAGCGATATACGATGAGATTTTAGATAGCAGGAAGACCTCTCCCCAATTTTGGCCGTGCGGTAGAAATCTTTCGTTCCATTTCACGCCGCGCGGGTTTGCTTCCGTACTTCCGTTGTGTATTTTCCTACGAAACGTGGTACGTCGCTGGTACGTCTCCCTTCCGTGTCAAAATGACTTTTTGATGGGATGACCCTTTTGGCCAAAGTGGGTCTCATGGAAGGTCATTCTGGAGGAATTGTGTGGATTGCTTCGACTAGAGCAATGGACAGACGATGTCAAACGATTTTGTATGAATGAATGAATGAAACACAAACATGTGGAAGAAAAAGAGGAGGAAGGCGGTCGAATCAATCCTCAAGAAATAGCAAATGTCGAAACAATTGTTTTAGAAAGTATCGAACCTCCAGGGTCAACCCTCCTACATTTCTGATTTCCATTCTAGCTCTTCAGCTTTATCCCTAGGACTACTGCATTTAATTTCACCCGAGGCAGAAGACAAGATCTACCGTAGGCAACACGCCTGGTGCTTTGACCATCTGGCTTGAATCTGGCTTCGGACCAGATTCCTTCATTATTTTTTATAATATATATCGTTTCGCATCATCGCGGTTTCGAGGGTCCAAAGCCTCGCAGGCCCGCCGCCTCGCCGGTTCCCAATTTTCTGGTGCGTCTCATATAAAATCCCGTATTTTCTTAAATCGAAAAATGTCAGTTGACTTGAAGAACATCCGTTGCAGTCTAAATCCTAAATATTTCTCTAACTAATTCGAGGAGGCAATCGGATGTCATGCAAGATTGAGATGGCTTCCACCTTTCTCATCTTGATGGATTGGAACACATATCCAAACAACACAGCTTGGTCTTACTTTTTTTTATCACAATATCATATTCCCAGCAGTGATAAGAGGGACTAACGTGAGATTATGACGACGGGGTCGAGTGAGTTTCAACCAGCAGCAGCTGGTGTCGACGCGCCAGCTGATGGTGGTGGAACTCCATCACCACTGGCAACTTCCACAACAACAGCAAACGCGTCTGATGCAGTAGCAGCAACAGAAAATGCTGGTGGAAAACCATATCCTCAAGAAAGACGCAGCAAGAGTCGGAGAGAAAGCCACCGTCATCCAAGAAAGTCTGGAACGGACGGAGGGGATGAGCAAAATCATCATCATCAACATCATCATCATTCTGGTGGCGATGGTAAGGAGGATCATATTGAAAACTCTGGTGAACTCACCCTTCCCACAAGAGGCGGCGAGGAGACGCGAAAGAGCTCTTCTTCGGCTCGTCCTAATTATTCCAAGAGTGGTAGTAGTAGACGGTCTAGTCGACGTCATCAGCACACCAAAGAGGAGGGAAATCCAAACACAGATGTCTTTCTTCCTCTCAAGGATGCTACCGATGGTGAAGATGCAGAAACCAAGCCACGAAGTCGGAGCCGCACACGTCACAAGTCACGATCCGATGATAACAACAACAGCGGTGAACTCAAGCTGCCATCGAACGATGGGAATACAAGTGGTGGTGACGAACGAACTCGTAGACGTAGTCGCAGTGGCTCCTCTCGCCATCGGAGAACTGTGGGAGAAGAAGATGAAGCTACACCAGCCACGACAATGGTACCTCTAAAGGACAAGAGTGGTGGCGGTGGCGATAATGAAGACTCTCGTCGGCGTAATCGCAGTCATACACGCCATCGCAGCAGAAGCAGACCCCCGGTGGACAATGACGATGGTCATGAAGCCGATAGAAGTGGTGAATTGGGCGATCGTCATTCTGGAAGACGTCGATCGAGAAGAGACAGTCGACGCCGCTCATCACCTCACGGGACACGCAAAAGGAGTAGTAGCAAACGGAGAAAAGATAGCAACAACAAGAGAAAGAGCAAGAGTCGCAAGTCCAAACGTCAACGAGCCAAGGACTTTATTTCCTCGTCAGCGTCCTTGTTTTCACGATCGGCCCGATCGGCCACCTCTCGTGAAAAACGAAGAACGGCTCCAATGACGGCTCCTGCACCATTATTTGGAGGAGTTCCCGACGAATACTATACGGACGATGATACGATTGCCAGCAATCAAAAGCAGGATGATAAACAACGCACTCGTGATGCTATGGCTCCTGCTCCCAAGCCTTCTTGTTGGGTTCAAGCATGGCAGAAACGATGGTTTCGTGTAGTGTTGGCATTGGTTGGAATCGGATTGGCCATTCTCATTACATATTTGGTCATGAAGTTCACTGGACTTGGCATGGAAGACGAAAGCACGGATAATGAAACGCAAGGCAACAATGGTGGAAAGGATATACAATCCATTCCAATTTCGCCCAGTCCAACTCCTGCCTTGACCGAGGCAGCATCCTTGGTTCCAACCGCAGAGGTGACACCGTTGTACAAGTATCCACCTCCGAATGATGCCATCTGCCGAGCCTTTATCACTGGTCGTCCTTCTGGATTGATACCGGGTGATGTTGGCTTTCTTGGTCCAGGCTCCATTACCCTCGATTTTGACTTTAACTTTGATGTGGTCCTATCAAGAATGACTTCTGCTCAAGAAGAAAAATGGCTCGAAGACTTTCAGGATCAAATCATGGTATCCTTACTGCCTCTTTTGGTCGGGTGTTTGGAAGATTCGACGTCTAATCGTCGTCTCAAGTTGGATGCCTTGCCTAGTCTGCTCCGGCGCTCCGAGGGAAAGAGTGACATGACGCTAGTTCAGAGTACTACGACTGGCCATTCTCGCGAGCTCCAAGACAGCAATCAGAGTGAAATTCGGTATGTGATTCAGAATGCCAAAGTGATTGACACTGTAGCATCCAAGTCACCATGCCCAAACAACCCAAGGCAGAATCCTGCCGACGATCCATCTTGCTACCTTGTTACTGTCATCATGGAACTCTCACTGAGGGGCGAAGAACGAATCTTCCCTGTGCTTTCCCTTCTGGCAAATATTCTTGGTGAGTTTGCCGAAGTCGACGAGGATGGGGCATCGGGAGGTGGTGGCAACACTTTATCGTCAACGCTTGTTGAAAAGGTTGGTCTTTCCACCTCTCTCTTTCAGTCGCTATCCGTGGTCGGTGTCCAGAATCGAGATCCAACCAACTCGCCGAGTATATCTCCAAGTTTGGCTCCTTCTGCGAGTCCAAGTTCCATGCCGACTCCCAAACCCTCTCAATCCCCTACCATCTCACCATCGGAAAGTCCATCTACCACCCCCTCGACATCCCCTACAGATCGACCGACTGGACGTCCTACTCCAGTACCTACGAGGACTCCAACAAAGAGTCCTACGGATCCTCCTTCAAGATTGCCATCATCATCTCCCAGTCGGCTTCCATCCAATGCTCCTAGTCGATTGCCTTCTGTGCTGCCATCAATGGTACCATCCGGTGCTCCAACCAAGAGCGTGCCGCCGACCAAGTCAATGGTACCATCTAGTGGTCCAACTGACTCCTTGGCACCATCCAGTGGCCCTTCTGCGACACCTGTTTAGTTTATCAAGCGATGACTTTGCCTGTATATAAAACATTTTTAATAGCTGTCATGGTGCAAGCCAACTGGAGGATCTATTGAAATATAGTTATCTATATATCGATTACTGGTACACGGACGGTACCAGGTACAGCAGGTTGTTCCAATGCCATCAGATGGGTCAAAGTGCGTAACCTCGAATCTAAAGATTCGATTCTGCACTCCTGTTCTGAAATCACCCGGGGAATCAATGTCGCCGAAAAAAAGGAATGGCTGACGATTTGCAAGCCGGCCCACCGTCATGAACAGCTTTTGACGCGATATTATTGGGACCCGTTCAGAAACTCACTTGTGTTGAAATTTTCGTATTTAACGATATCCTCCCGTTCACTTAATTGCGGACAGAACACAATCACCTTGGCTGCACTGGCACATTTCTATCGCCACGACTACCGGCACGCACCCTGTGATTTGGTTATTTATTCGACCAGATCCTTTTTTTATTGAACAAGTTATTGTTGAGAACACATTGATAGCTTTCAGATACTATCGCCAACGAGCACCAGCGTAAGCAACGCACTAGGATACCATCTTTCTTTATTCGTTGACAGGAGGATCATATACAAAAACCTGAATTCTACCTGAACGCATCTTCATCATCATCATGAACCAAGAGTCTTCATCTGAGGATCGTCGTTCCAACAATAAGCGACGGTCGTCCAATCGTCGCGTATCCACGCAAAGAGAACGGAATGATGACGATGAGTATGATCATCATGCCAACCATCATCGCAATCATAAAAGCCATGCCACTCATCATCATAATCAAGATGATGGAAGTAGCAAGAAAAGAAGCAGTCGAGCGAAAGTACGGCCACCGTCTCCAGAAACCGCCAGGCCTCCTTCTCGAAGCTACGCCACGGCAATTGTGGACGACGACAGTACTATTTCCGTTGACGATGAAAAGTGGCATAAAAAGACTTGGGTTAGAATAATGATGGGAGTCATTGTCATTGTGTTTACAGTGATGATTACCTTTTTCGTCTTGAGGGCGACTGGTCTTGGTCTGAACAAGAGCGCAGCCATCGCAAATGGAGATGCTTCCAACGCACCAAGTGCTGTGGAAAGTAGTGCACCCTCCTCGGCTCCCACGCCGGTACCATTCTTTACATATGCAGCACCCGACGAAGATAGCTGTGACGAAAAGAGTTTTGAAACAGGCGACACTAGCTTTGTCGATGGTGAGAATACTCGTGAATTTGATTTTACTTTCGATGTAACGATGTCCTTTGCAGATAGTAGTGGCTTGTGGTTGCAAGAATTTGAGTCCAAGGTCAATTCGGCATTAATTCCCATTTTGGTTGGATGCATCGACGACGATGATGATGATGACGAGGATGATAGAAGACTTCAATATCAGGAGAGAGCTTCTGTTGACATGGACGGTCAGCTGCGGGGTCTCCATAAAGCTAGTTCAAATGGAAGCAGGAGATTAGACAGTGACGAAATGAAGTTTCGATATGTCATTGCTGATGCAACAGTAATCGGGATGACGACTGCCGACTTGGTGTGTCCGCAAGTGTTAGACTCGGTCAGTACACAACAGGATCCAAGACAAGGTCTACCAGAAATATGTTTTCGCGTTTCTGTGAATGTTGATCTCTTGCTTAGAGGAGAGGAACGAGTATTCTCGTTGGTTCAGCTCATTACGACTATCTTGTCCGAGCTGAGTGATCCTGAGCAATCTTTAGACGAGTCGGCAGTCCCAGTGCCTACTTGTACCTCATTGTTGGACTGTATGGAACTTACCAGTCCATTCAAAAAGATTGCTGTGGTGGGGGTCACTAACCGCGATCCCACCAATTCTCCTAGTACCAGTCCGAGTCAAGTACCGACCAACCGACCTAGTACCATGCCCACCAATATTCCGTCTATGCCACCTTCGCTGTTCCCAACCGAGATGCCCTCGTTGAAACCATCTTTCAGCCCTACGTCACGTCCATCTCCGGGCCCAACGCTAGCTCCAAGTCGCATGCCATCCATTGAACCATCTTTTACACCAACCGATGCACCATCGACCCCTCGTCCAACCTTTACCCCCCAGCCGTCTTCCAGTTTTGGACCATCAATGAGACCGACTCAAATGCCTTCGTGCGCCGACTTTTGGGAACCACAGGATACCGATAATCAGGTGATCGATCCAAATGATCCACCCGATACCAATTGCGAGTCGGAAGATGAAAATAATTAAGATAATGCGGTTATTGGGATAAACTATAGTGAAACGAATAAGCTAGTCCTATCATGTTTGGCGGCTACAATTGCAGCAACTTGAAAGGGGATACGTCTTTTATCGCTAGTATCTTGTGTGATGCTCGTGTTGATATTCACACAATCGGGTTGACCTTGCGACCTCCTTCAGCTGGCCTTTAACTGACATTGTACGCATATATCGCTGGTACATACGCGCATTGAATGAAACATGCAATCTCCAAGAGCAAAGGCAACAGCAATTGAGCTATTCTTTGATTTTGCGACCTCATGCTACACATCGACTGAAGTACTCCAGCCACGTACAAAGGTCTTCAAGTATGTTGACGTGCAGGCCTCTCAGAAAGAGTTATGGCATCGCCTAATTCGAAGCTTCAATCCAGAGTGTATAGGCCAGGCGCTTTGTATTGCCTTGCATGGAATCCCAAGAAAAACAGTCGTCGTTTTCCTTCCCACTAATGCTATGTTCGGCAACCCCTCTTGTGATTTCCACAGCCTCCAAATATAGATGATGCTCCTTGATGATGCATCCAATACTCGCGATACTTTCATGTAGAACAGGTACGGATCTGGTTCTATTTCGGATCTCGAATCATTGCTGATGGATCTTCTTTTCCTTCGCTATCGATCACGTCCAAATTTTTTTTCTTTGTTTACTCACGATTTGATTGATTTTGTCATCTGTACGGCAGTGCACTTGTGCTCCTTTCGCCTAGTCCATTTCCTCATCATCGTTATTTCAAAAGCGTAATAAGCACGTTATCCTTCTGGTTTTTATAAATATCACGCGAATCAAATCATTTTTTGGAATAATAACGCGTTAAACCTCCTCACCTTCTTGCGACTCTCTGTGTGACGATGACGAACCTTTAATTGTGAACGATCTTTTCTTGGGTCGTATCCAAAATTCATGCTACAGGAGGGTGCACAACATTTTCATTTGCTCTTTAGTATACATTGGTCGCTGTGAATACTGCTCAGGCACGATACCTTTGCATATATTATGTAATATGTGAGAGGACTATTATCACCTGCGAGAGCTGCGTTTTGAACCTACGAATGAATGAATCATGAGAAGGTCTCTCTCTCGACGTGGTTGCAGTTTCCAACACTTTGCATTCATATTTTGAGCTTGATAAAAAAGACTAGTACGTGCGTACGCACTTTACACGGACAACGTGACTACAGTAGCTAGGCACAACCAGTACTTTAGCTACACCAAAAAGGTAGAAAAGTGGATCTTTTCTTATGCGGTCATAAGACCGGGAATCCAAATAAAAGTTGACAAATCGTTTTCATATTTTTGAGATTGAAGTCAAATCCTCATAAATTCAAAACAAGCATCAAATATGAATTTCTTTCTATCTCTCGCTCTTACTTTCGCTGCTCTGAGCCCTGCTACGGCACAATGCACCACTCAGCTCTGCCCCAGCCGCGGGATCACAAACCCAACCGCAGAGTACGGAGATGACGACGTCTTGTGTTCGGTTTTGGCGTAAGTGATGAAACACCCAATACTTTCGTTTTGATTGTTTCGTTGAATTTGTCTAACTTACCAATTCAATCCAACTGTTACCATTGCACGACAGCACCCAGTTTACGGATGGTACTCTAACTGAAGCGGAATGCCAAGTTATTGCCAATGATGCAATAATCGATTGCTGCCCAGTCAAACAGAGTCCTCAGAATTGTTTCATCTGTGAAGACGCTTCCGCCACTTTCAATGCAGCCAAGGCGTTCCCGGATGGTCCAACCTGTGGCACTATCGATGATCAGTTTTCTTATCTCCCTGCGGGAAGTTGCGCCGTTGGCTTTGCTGGGTTTGTTGCAAACGGTTTCAACATCAGTTCGTATTGCGAATGTTCCAATGTTGTTGCTCCGAATGTTTGCAAGGTCTGTGATGACGATCAAGATATCAGCACGACAGCAAATATTCCTAGTGATGAGATTGATTTTACATGTGTTGAAGGTGCCGCATATGCCAGCCACTTTAACACTCAAGCAGCATGCGCTGTTGAAGTTGACATTGCTGAAACCAAGGCTGCATGCTGCGTCGATAAGGGGGCCTCTGGTAGTACCAGTTCATTTTCTATGAACAGTTTTGCTGGCGCCTTGATGCTTCTTCTTGCTGGTGTTTCATTTGCTTGAGAAGATTCGAAGTACCTATTGTTCTTTGTTATAAAAAATTAAGACTAGTAGAAGCATTAAACAAGGAATAGTACGATACTGTAAACAGCATCTATTGTCGGAAATACTACGGATGGTGTTGTTCTGACTTTTTTCGGACGGTCAGGCATCTGCGGTACGGCACAGTATCTTGAAACAATACTGGATGCACTCGACGGTACCTGGTCCCGCCAGTACGTACCAGGTACTTGCAAAATAGAAACGGAAGCTTTTGGTCGAACACGAAGCATACTTCATTTATTAAAAATTATAATATATAGGCAGTCGTGCGCTCGGCGAGCGGGCGGAATACAGGCATTTCATCATCATTTCGCACCTTTGGTCGTTTTCCAAACTACTGTGCTGTGCCGGTATTTGCATATCTTGATCATCGCGCACTCGATCGTCTCATATATCATTACAGCAAACAATAATAAGGCATAAAATCAATATATCACTGTCGAGCGCGTTTCATACAAGGATATTCTTCTCATCAACCGCCACTATGCAGTTCTTATCCATGTTTCTCTTTCTAGTTGGGGCGCCAATCGTCTCGGCCTTTACGTTTTTCCCTACTGGTGCCGGTATCAGTTCTCATAGTTCCTCCTCGTCAAACAGCATGATGCTTTTTAGCGTCACCGATCTCAAAGCCGATTTAAAGCTGAACCCCACAGGAACCTACCTTCTGGACGTCCGTGAAGCCGCGCAGTGGGCCGAAGGTCACCTTGCTTCGGCTAGCCCGAATCCTCTATCCCAGTTGAAGACTGGCAAATGGATGGATAATGCAACCGGGAAGTTTGCTCCGGGTTCTTTTCCTATTGATCGCTTGACAGGTGTTGGTATCATGATGAACAGAAAGATTTATGTACATGGTGAAGAGGGAGGAACAGCGAAAGAAGCTACAGAGTTGCTCGGGCGGATGGGGTATAAGGACGTCACTGCACTTGAAGAGACATTTGATCAGCTTGCTGCAGCAGAAATTTGCGATGTTGTGATGGGAGAAGTCCAGGATCTAACGGATGGATGAGATGGACCTTCCAAAGATAGAGAGACAAGCCAGTAACGAAGAAGCAAGCCGCATGTTGTTCAACTTCCCAAATTTCCCTCCTGGAAAGTCATCTTCCGAGTTCGCAAGGATTGATTCCTAGCACTGTTGTATGTAATCGTCCAGCTTCTCTTCCGTCCGCCAAACGAGAAGGCGGCGTTCATTTTCTATATGCTGCTTGTTGAAGTTTTGTTGCTATTTGAGAAGATTTGAAGTCGTATTGATCTTTGTTATCCAAAACAACAATACTAGCTCCTGTTTTGCTTAGAATCTAGAAAACAGTATATGAGTAGAACAATACTGCAAATAGCATTTACTCTCAGATATCACCCCTGACAGAGTGTTATTCTGAATTTCTCGTTGGTATATCATATACCGGTATATATGTTTGCGGGTGGGTTCAAACTTATATATATCTATCGTAACACAACAGTAGAAACGGGACGCTCTGGAATAGCAAACGGATGTCTCCAATAATTGTTAGGCAGTCGCGCTACCCACGTCGCGCGCATCTGCGAGGAACTCAGAATACGGTACCAGGTACCTACCGTACATAAAATGCCCGCCGCCTGCATTCTTCGTCATTATTCTTCGCTCGATCCGCCTTCAATTATCGTATTCTGCATATAATTGAATATTCGTCGCTTCCAGACAATAGTCCTACATTATTGTTTTGCTACATCGTTGGTTATTGTTTGTACATTCGTTTCCATCTCCAGTCCTTTGCCCAACAAACAAATAAGATAAGGAGTAATGACTGAAGAAGCAGCGTCATCCGCCGATACTGGTGTCACTAAGAATGATGATAGTAAGAGTCATGAGAACTCTGAAGTGACCAAACGAAACAGGTCCAAACGACGAACTGCGAGCCCTAATAGTGGATCCAAAAATCACTCACACCACAAGGCGAGAGACCGTGTTTCTCCCCATCGAAATAGTCCCCGCCCTTCCAAGAGCCCAATGAGAACAAAAGATAAAGTTCAGGTAGTTGGGGATCTTAAATCGAATCATGAGAAGTATGATGACTCTGGTAAAGACAGAAACCAGCGAAGCAACTCTAGCAATGCGCAAGAACGAGAAAAACGACAAGAACGAGACCGTCGATCGAAACGGACCGAAGACCAAGACAAGGAAGCCAAGGGCAGAGTCAAACGGAGCAATAGAGCTCCAGCTCTAGCTCCTGGTGCTGTCTCTTCTGACGCTCCTCATCCTTCTTCTAGCAAGAAGTCAAGTTCACGACGTTCGGATCGAACCGATGATAGAGATATCAAACGCAAGGCGGCTCGCAAGACTTTCGCGTTAGCCCCGGGTGCCATTGCCGAGGAGTACAATCCGGACGATGGAAGCCTAGACGACCTGTCAAGATCCCGTCGAAGTGCGGATGATCCAAAGGGAAAAGAGCGACGCTCTCGCAAGGATAGACCAATTGTCCCAGGAGCTGTATCAGCAAATGAAGGAGAAGGTTCTTCTGATGGTCGAGAATCTCGTCGCCGGAGAAAGGAAAAAGAAGCTTCCAAATCATCAGGAGGCGCTGTACGACAAAAGGGTGCACCCATCAGGACCAAAAAGGATGCCTTGTACCTAGAAGACGGCGATGATGATAATGCACCAGCTAGTAATACACTCGAAGTGGTACCGGAAGCCATGATGGTCGAAATACCCGACGACGGCGAAGACACAAAGGTGAAAGAATTTGACATTCAAGGGAATCCCGTCATGCCACCACCACCACCACCACCGGAATCAAATATTCCCCATGCGACTCACCAAAATGACGGCAACCACGTGTCGTCGCCAGCAAAACCCTATTATACCAGTCCCAAGTTTTGGGTATTGATCTTGTTGATTTTGGGTGGAGCCGGGGCCGCTGTCTATTTCTTTACCAAAGGCAATGCCACTGAGCCTGTCGCGATCCCAGGAGTTGATACTACTATTACGGATCTTCCAACGCCATCACCCACTACCAGTATATCCAGTGGATTGCCCAGTACTAGTCCTACCGACGTTTTGGAAATCAAACCTCCAACACCGGAAGACTGCCTGGCAGTGTCGCGGGGAGAACCAGTCGAAGTGCGACAAGATCTCATTCGCAACCTTCAAGTTCCCATGGACATTTTACTTTCAGAACCGGCCGACAGTGAGGCAGTGGCAGCTCAATTGGAACGAGCCATTCAGGAGTCTCTGGTACCAGAAATGATGGGATGCGATTTGATTGGTGCTGCTTCAAGACGAAACAATATGAGGAGGGGCACCAGATTGGAGGAACCTCGTCGCTATTTACAACTTTCATCCGACTACTCGATTGGTAATGCGAAAACAACAGTCACTCCCAATGAGGCAGCATGTACAGCGACCGACGAAGAACCTTGCTTGCATGTCATTGTTTCCATTGTGGTTTATCTCAAGGGACCCGAACGAGCCATCAATCTTCAAAATTGGATTCAACAAGTCTTTGGAGAAGGAGACGAATTGATGGCCAAGCTCAGTTTAGAGGCACCAATTCAAGCGGTGTTTGTATTCATTGTTGAAATTCTGCAAAACACTCTAGCTCCGAGTGCTTTGCCTTCCTTCGTGCCCAGTGTGGCTCCTTCGGCTTTGCCCAGTGCAACACCATCCACTGATTCCCCTTCTAACGATCCAACCTTGGCGCCAGTCGTTGGCCCAACGACACCCGAACCCACAATTGCACCCAGTATTGCTCCCTCGGCGAATCCGAGCTCGCTTCCAACTCCTGGACCTACAGTTCAACCTACGCTGGACCCATCCGAGACGCCTTCATCAAGCCCAACTCCAAGGCCGACGACTGGTAATCCCACACCCCCTCCAACGCCACCACCAACTGGAATGGGTTCTGCAACTCCTTCCATATATCCAACTGTTATTCCTTCCAGTCAACCTAGCCGGACTCCTACCCTTACACCGACGAGTGGCCCAACCAACTTACCGACGAACGAACCCTCGAAAACGCCCACCGGACGCCCCACGACCAGTCCTAGCAGTGCACCCTCGACACCGGCACCATCATCAACACCAGATAGGAACTGTGGACCTCTTTGGGGAGGCTCTAAATGCAGTTGTAACGGTATCTACATCTATTGTCATGCTGCCAGTGGAACTTGTGGAGACACTGCATATTACAAGAACTCCCAAGGAACCGATTGGGACTGCCCCAATGCTCCTGATATTCCAGGGCGGTGCGGTCCACTCTTTGGTGGACGAGCCTGTGATTGTGGTTCCTTGCTAAAGTGGTGCAACGAAGACAATGGATGGTGTGGAAATACCGTTGCTCATCGAGATATGCAATCTAGTATCACTTATGACTGTCCAGCGGACTATCCACCTTCGGGAGGAAGCTCGACTTGCAAGTATGCCAATAATTTGAAATACGGCCAAATCAAGCCCATGTCCAATACCAATCTTTGCTTACGATCTCCTAATCCAAGAGGAGGGACGAACCTGGAAATGGCCACTTGTAATCCCTTTGACAATAACCAATTCTGGGCGTATGATTCTAGCACCCGACGAATCCAGTGTCTGGCAGCTTGGAATGGAGTGGATACCCAATGTATCGATCCCGAAGGACCTAGTCTGAACCCTGGCACTGCCCTGCAAACCTGGTCTTGCGGTACTTCAATTCAAAGTCAGCACAGGTGGGCCATCTCTACCGCTTGGCAGATTGAATCCAAGTGGCTTAGTTATGCAACTGGCTGCTTGGACTTGGGTGAAACCTATCCGCAAATCCAGACTTGTAATGCTGGTGATTCAGGACAAGTGCTGGCCATGGGTTGGTATTACTGTTAACTTATAAGCATTATCCATTTAAAGGGTTATAAGAAACATACTGTACAGTCTAATATCAATATTACAAACAAATCAACGACCAAGACAAAATTGTTCAGATTGAACTGCAAGACAAAGTTGGACAAACCAACCCTTGTAGCCAAATCGCTGAAGCATAAAACTGGCAAGGCCTAGCGCAAGTCACAATCTGGAAATCCATTCCTCTACATACTAGCGCAAGAGCTACATGTAAACGTCCAGAGCATCATTCAAGAAGTTATGACAAGCCAGCAACCGATACATAGAAAGTGTTCCCAGTACCCTGGGCCACTTTATTCCACGATACAATGGTTAGAATCTAATACATGCTCCTAATTGAATAAAACAACTTCTAACACTATGTTCCACATCAGCGTTCTTCCCCGGCGCTATAAAACTCTTAGAGGCTGCGTAAGCTTTCATTGATGTCATCAGTCATGTTACGTATACTTCTGGGAATGCTTTCGTTGATGTCTGCTGGATTGCGACGGCTGTCTTTGTGGTATGCCTTTGCTTTCATTTTTGCTTCTCTTCCCATTCCCATTGTTTGGTCAGGTCCACCAGCGCCCCTTTCGCTGACCCCCGTTTGATTCCGATTAGTTAAATTCCGTACATTATCGGCAAAGTTTCTATTCATGCCTGTTAGGCCGCGACCGCTTTCTTTATGATACGTCTTAACGTCCATCTTCTCTTCCCTTCCCGATCCAATGGTCCTTCCCATTCCTATCGTATGAATGACACCACCCGTGCTGTCATTGGTATTAATCAGGTTCCGTGAACTGCGATGATATTCCATGGCTTCGGCCTTTGCATCCCCACCCGTACGGGCGGCAACATCCATTCCAGATCGACTACGCCTTTGAGCAAGCGAAGTTTGACTCATACTTGGAGAATCTGACCATGATGGTATGGATTGCTCCGACGCAGTTTCAGCTTCATATGGCGTCGAAGTCTGCACATATGGCGACGAGTTTTGCGAGATTTGTTTCGCTTCCAAGTGTTGTTCGAAGAGGTCGTCCAGTTGCGTCATGAAGTCCCTTTTCAAGTGCTCATACTTGCGATGCAAGTCAGCATCAACTGGCTTTTTGGTCAACGACTTCGTAATTTTCAAAGATTCTTCGTGCTCTTTGCGTTTAAGCTTTGGCGCCTTGATGTACTTTCTCCGTAGCTGGGTGTACAAGACTAGAATAAGTGCAACAGCTGTCCCGAGCCCATGGATGAAGAAGACTCCCGCCATACCCTTCATCTGCAGAATTGCACCGTCCTCAGTAGAGCCCCCGATAAAGGCACTTGACTCGCTGGAACCTCCACCGCCACCCTTGAGACGACGAGCTGCCAAATCAAATTCCTCCTCCTCTTGGACCGAATCCAACTTTTCCATCTCAAGTCTTCTTGATGTTTGCAATTCCTCTTTGTTGGCGCAAGTACCGTCGATGCCGTCAATGTAACTGTCCCAGTACTTTGTCATGTTACCATCGATACTCATTGCATGAAGATGGATATTGAGAACGTAGGCAAGGACTGAGTCACAACTGAGTGGATCGAACTTGATGGCAAAACTGGCGGAACCTTGCTGTATTTCTGGACCAGCTTTCACCAGCTTGCACCCGTACTTTTCTTGGACACTCAAGATTTGAAATTCCTGTCGAGTCCCCACTAAGATGTCACATTGCTGGGTTGCCAATTTTTCGTACATTTCCAATGGTGTCGACGTCTTGATCACTTTGTCGTAAATTGCAATGGATGGGTACATGACAGTCATTATGGTTTGACTGGCACTTCCATCATGGATGCAAATGGAAAGATCCGCGTCCATTGCAGCCTTGACGGAGTCCACCGAGCTCGCTAGAGCATTTTCTACCAGCAACGAGGCCAAGTTGGCAGTGTAAGTGGCGCCAATGAGCATGGACCAAAAGGAAAAGGTTGATAAGAAAATACGACCTGCGCCTGATCTTGGCGTGTCATACGTAAAGTTTTGAGAAAATGCCATATTGGATAGGTAAAGATGATCTCCAATCCATGTGTTCCACGATCGATCGTTCCTGCCTCTTTCCATATGATCGATGAACATCATGAAGCCGGCACTGAAAACAATCGTCGCTACGATACAAAGCCAGACGTATCGATCAAATGGAGCCGCAAATCCAAACAAATTGAAATCTGTTACATCTCCTTGATCTACCAGTATCAAAGTGGCGTCAAACCAAGAATGCAAAAACACAATTTCACTTTCTAGGCGCGCCGTAGTCAGGAACCATTTGTCCACGGACAAATCAAAATTCTATTAAAGGATGCATGCAATCAGTAATGGTGAGGAGAAGATACTCAAATAGTGAATCCGCCGTGTTCGTGCATCAGACATGACTTACACTAGTAGTCCAGTTCAGCATGTTATCCCACTTTCCTCGTCCCGTGCCGAACAAAGTGTCAGTAGTGTTTGTGGTGTACGCAACAAATGAATTTCTCCAGCTAAATCCTGCTCGTTTTGCCAATTCATCCAAGATTGACGCAACCATACCACCTGGATTGCTGAAAGACAATTCTTCATCCGGGTCGTATTGAAAGAAATCAAATCCAGCACCGTACTGAACGGCAATCGATAAATTCCTGCCTCTCAGGGCATCATTCAAATCCCGAGAAGTATCTCTGACAACGTCGCAAAAGTCTGTCACATCCACGCTTCCGACTCCTGGACCAACTAGGACTCCCTCCGGGATTGATTGCCAATCAATGCCACCTTCTACACTTAGGATTCCAATAAGTAACAAGACGAGGAGTAAGGCTCTTGTTGTATGTGATAATTGCATTTTTAGCTGAATTTTGGTCCGTCTGAATTAAGGCATCAAATTTCCTTCTGGTATAAGAAGGTTGTAGAGAGACGAATCTGCCTCACGCTTTGATCAAGTTGGTTATGCTACAATAAGTTACTGAGTGTGGATACTTTCCTGTACGACTCTGTAATATGGATGAGAGGTTTTATTGTCTTGATTGTCAGTAAATAAGAAGCTTGCATCTGCGGGTCATGATAAGTGTAAGAATGCACGATCAAAGGACAGTCACAATGGAAAACATGGACCAATCAGAATGCTCCGATAAAAATTGGAAGCATTTCTTGCTGTACAAGGAAAAACCCAAACAAAACAAATAAGGACCAGTCGGAAATCAGATGCCAAACTATGTGCGACCACAAGGTGCAACCACAATGTTCATGCGTTGCGTTTTGAACTGCATATTTTGTGAAAGTTCCAGAAGAAAGGCGGAAGAGAAACGGGAAGATTCCAGAAATATTGTCCAAGCGAAATCTGACATTTATTGAGCCCCGTTAGCATCCGTTCTTTGCTCGGCACTTTACTTATGAAAACCAAAGGAAGAATTGAATTCATAAGCCCCTCGCGGCACCATGATTTTGGCGACTCACAAAATTGTGGCCGAAAAAATTATCAGACAAAAACTATTTTTCCAGACGGCATCTCAAATCTGCAACAAAGATCGAATTTGTGTATCATATCGGCAAACCAAAACCAGAGAGACTGTCAAGATGGAGGATGATGTTGATGCACCACCCCAGTCAACATGGTGGCAACTAGAGGACACCCCTTCCGCTTCGTCCAACAAGACTTCAAGCATTCCAAAAATCCCAATCAAGATTCCAATCATTCATAGACTACGAAACAGGTCAAAGCGGAAGGAAAGATCTATTCCTGTTCCTGAATACATCGCTCCTATTAGTGCCTCAGCGAAGCAAAACGATGTCGCACCTGTGATTCCATCTTCTCCAAAGTTGCAAAGATTTCGAAATAGTTCAAAACGAAGAAACAGATCCATTTCAATTCCTGAAGATATCGTGGGAGTTTCAGGCACTGCACCTCTGACTCCGTCTCGAAAAAACGAGAGTGAGAAATCACTACATACCCCTCCGGAAATACGACGGCAAAGAATATTTGATGCTATTGATAGAGCAACGAGCATAGAGAAGGATGTCATTTCGAGCTTCAGTACCCAAAAGTCTGATCGGAAGAAGTCCCCATCTCTGAGTCCTGGAAGCTTCAAGCGAGATCAAAGTGCAGGATGGAATAGCTATAGCACTCTGAGAACAGCTGAACTGTCCTCAAGCACTGCCTCTGTGCCATACAGCAGTCCACATACAATTGGTAGCACCAGCCGGCGAAATAGTCGAAAGAAAACAGCCCAATCACCATTGACACAATCAAAGTCTTCCCTGGATAGCACCCCTGAGTTTTCCGAGCTCTCACCAGAACATGATTCTAAAAGATCGATACACATCTCCGAATTGGGTCCTAGCTCCAAGCGTTCGCTGACGATATCAGAGTTGAGTAATTCCTTTTCAACTCGCCCTCCAAGATCATCAAATTATCTTCGAACCAGTGGGTCATCATCATCTCATGTAAGAACTAGTGGTGGGTCCTCGTCTCAGATTCTTCCGGCGAGTATGACGGCATATCGGCAGTCATATTCGGCCCACTCTAGATCTGTTGCCGTTGATCCATCGGATCGGTCGTCAAATGGCTCATCCTCGATGCGATCATCCGCTAGATCAGTGCTAAGATCAAGTCGTACCGAGAAGAGCAAAAAGACCGAAAAGCAGCTGAGTTTGGCACAATCATCGTCCATCGCCTCCTTGGAGAACTACGGTAAGCTCTCGCAACGAAGATCTTCTGCTACACAAGAGTCCATGGCTAGAGCAACAAAAATGTTACACGAAGTATTAGAAGTTGAAGAACTTTCATCTTTACTCAAGACAAAAAAAACTGGATCCAACCTTCAACATAGCACATCCAATTCAAACCGTTCTCTGCGTTCTGTTTCCATCCGTTCTGGACGATCGATGTCACGTCGGTCTATATCCCGAAGGTCTGGGTCACCTTCTCATCGTCAAAGATCCTTGCAAGAGATTGTGACACATTCTTTCATGTCCACAGATTCCAGCAGTGTGGACGGGATTTCGTCGTTGGAGGATTCACCGAGTGTTGAGGCAACCTTGAGGCGAAATATTGCAAAGGGAAACGAGGGATTGCTGTTGCCGAGGTCACAAAGGAGGCAGAGCCAAAAGAAGAAGAATGATATGATGGATATTTCACTGATGGCGCGAAGGGGGTCTCGCGACATGTCCATTTCCCTCCATACTGGCGATTCCTCGGTGCGCAATTCCAAGAGTCAAGACAGCTTGAATCGATTCCACTCGACACATGAATCAACTGTCAGCCCCGTAGCTCGGGAGTCCAGACGGAGTACAAGAACATCCTCCGGTAATTCAAAGCGAAGTATGAGGACAAGTGACAATTCCAATAGGAATTCCAGGTCAATTGAAATGAGGAAAAAGTCGTTACAGAGAAGAAAGAGCGCCGCAGCAGCGCTTGGCGACATTCCACGAACCATTGAATTTGTCACGATGGTACCAATCATTCCTCCGAGTCCTCCTGCTGAAGCCAAGAGCAGGTCCTCTCGGACATCTTCGAGCAAGTCATCGCCGGCATCATCTAAATCATCCAGCAAGTTGTCGCCCGTATCATCAACAGCTTCCAACAAGCTACCATCTCGTAAGCAATCACCAAAAGTAGCATCGGCAGGGGCTCGTCACATGTTCAAGAGCAAACGCAGAAAGAAAGGCAAACGAAATTCCAAAAAAGATCAAGATCAAAGTTCCGCATCCCATGCGAGTGAATCCTTGCCGTCGCTCTTTGGAACTGCTTTGTGCTTGGACCACAGTAGCCATCATAATCCAACCACAAGCCCTTTTTTGCAATACGATGTCGGTCTGAACGATGCTACACCCCAGACTGCCGTCCGCCAACGCAGTGTGGGTTCTATGAATAGTCTTCTCAGGAATAGCTTCGGTTCTCTCGGATCGAACGGGTTTGTCCTGACCGAAGAAGAAGAAGGTGGTGGTGGGGTGACCAGCCCTTCGGTTTCGTTAGAAAGCGATTTCTTAAGCGCCGCATCACCACCCACTGGACTGTTTCTTCCACGAAAGAAGGAAAAGAAGAAGCCGAGATCTATAAAGAAGAAGCGGAAGAAGAAACGTCCTATGATGGCGACGACAAAGTAACCACTTTTAGGACGAGACATCACACGCAGAATGCTATGCGCCGAAGAGTTCAAAGCATATATTCATAAATGGGGAATTACATTAGTTTTCATTATTGGTACACTCTTGCAAGAGCCTCATACTTTCTTACCGAAAAAGTTGTCTAGGAAGCCAATTGTAATTGCAGACCACGGTGCTCCTTCTTTCCCAATTGCTAGCATTTGAGTCGATATAATTAGATCAGATTGTCTCTGATCGGCCATAGGAATAGGGTTATTACTGCCCAATCGGCCTCTTTTGGCGCTGTGTATAAGTAGAGCTGAGACTTCCACATGAAAAATGGTACGACGGCAGAAGTATACTGTACCATCCGAATTTGCGAAGAAATCATCATAATTTCAAACGTGTGCCTAGAATGTCATCAAACACACCCAGCGAGTAACGGGGCTGATCAAATAGCTCGTCATACAGGTAGAGGACCTAAAGATTATTGCAATAGGTCATTATTGAAATAAAGCATTATGTTGGGCTTTCAATTTTTGAAGTTTCAGCGGTTTCAGATGCGAGTCTAGTCCATCCTCGCGCTGATGATTGGACCAAACACCAAGGTATAGTTGTGAACCAGGATCGTTCTTTACTGCCCAGAAATGCAGGATTACAGTAGGATACCACTTGCAGCGAAGCAATGGAACTGACGATGCGAAGCAACAATGATGAAGGATTGCTGCAAAGTCGGAAGACTCACACCATCTACCACCATACCATCATATCCACACTATCCACACTATCCACACTGTGGCTACAGTAGATATACACGGTATGATCATCAATAATGCCATGTACCGTACCGCATATTGAATATATATGTTCAATCTCAGCGTCGTTCCGATGATTGAGATTCACAATATATTTACCGGCACGCGGTTTAGTCTGACCTCCACCTCCAACACGCAGGTGTTGGAAGTCGTACACGTGTACGGACGATGACTCCGCGGAGTCAGAATATGTTACACTATACTTATACCGATGGAACTTTTACAGTCTTATGTAATTGGTTTGGTTTCATTCTAACGTTGTTCCTATTGTTCAAATCGCGCATATCGAAATTTCTATCTTGACCGCTGTCGAAGATAATATTGTCTTTGTACGTCAAATAAGTCAGGCGGTGCTGCATTTGCTCTGTTCAGCACAACAAGGAGACATTCCATCATCCATTGAGATGGTAAGATATCGCATATTTAGAGGCTGCAAGTCACTGGCTCGACTTATAGGAGAACCATGCTACCCGAGGTTCATCTTACCAAGGGTCTACAAAGGGCTCATGGCACTACTGTAATATGCAGAGCTATGACCAAGAGTACAGCACCTGTTGGAAGTCGTACAGACGACTCCGCTGATTCAGATAGTGACGATGAGTCTATACACCATCATACATCAGACGTGAAAGTAAGCAGAACCAGTCATGGGCAGAGGATGTTGTTCGAAAGATGAACGATTGAAGTGTAGTAGATAAAACTGTGTAGAGATTCTATGGGATGACTGAGGATAAAAGCTTGAGCTTTGCCTCGGTCATCATTCGAAAACTCTAATCAAAACTAAAGAAAGTTTATTGACAACTTTAAGGTCCATTATATTAGAACTACGTTGCGCCAAACAACTGAAAACTAAGGTTCACAGAGTACCGAAGGTGTCTTATAGTCATAGAGTCAGATATTCATCTCACATACATCGCACATGTGTGAGCTGAGGCAGTCCTTCGTTACTATGTACCTGGTACCTGGTACTAATAGTTTACCGGTATATATGGTACCTATGGCAATAGGTACACATGTGCATGGACCTGTAGCAGTGTAAAATAGTTGGTTCATTCTAAATGAACATCATTGACAGGCTTTTTTCAACGATAAAACATTCATAGAATGGTGATAGAATCGGACTACGAACTAGTATGGACTAAAATGCATCCACTCAACTACTAGTATAGTGGTAGCTAAAAAATCAGTGCTAGAAGTGGGAGGGAGGCTGATTTCGTGTAGGCGCCGCTATACGCTCTATTCAGCCATTGCCGCTTCAGACTCACTTGATCGTTTGCTCCGTTTTTTGTTGGCGTTTGTCTTGGAGCTCTTACTCGTATCATCATGATGTTTGGACTTCTTCTTCGACTTGGACCTACTACTCGTGCTGGAGCGCATCGACGAAGAGATTTTGGACTTTTCGTCGTCGTCCTTCGCACGACCCTTGCTTTTCTTGGTCGTACGCTTGGACGACCCTTTCTTGGACTTTGATTTTTCCGGTTTGGGTTGTAGATCAGCACGAAGCATAGACATTAGAGCGGCTTCCTTCTTCTGGGTGCTTTTCCCTAGACCACGGGCCTTGGATGATTCGAAGCACGGGGCGGAAATATGAGAGGATAAGTCTCGTTTCTGTTGTTTCTGAAAAGATGGCAAATCATTCAGGGAGTCCAATTTGCAAAAGGATGATTGAAGCTGAAGTCTGACCTCCGATCTGGTCATTTTGTACAAGGAATACCGCGTCGTTTGCTGCCTTTGCGACAGAATCTCTTCAGCTTTCTTGACTTCGGAAGGCATCATTTTGCTAAGCAGTGCGCTTGGAGCCATGGGAGCTTCAGCCCATTCTCGACTCGAGTAGCTACTTCTCCCTGAGCTACTGCAACTACTGCCACTTTTCCTCGAGTAGAGTGATAGTGATTCGCTGTTGTCATTACTTTCACTGTTCTCATCAATCGTTGGTGGCGCTTGCGGTATGGAAAAAGTACTACAATCTGTGATTTTTAATGAGCTACGTCGTCTTGTCGGAGGTTGCCTTCTTCTCTGCAGACTCTGATGTCCTGTTTGGTCTTGGGCTGTCTGTGCTACTGGTGTAAAGCATACTGATAGATCATCGTCATCAGGTTCCATTGCTGCTGCACCAGCCGCGAAGGACCAAATGACACCAGCACTGTTGATAGTGGTGGATGTTGCTGTGATAGCCATCGTTGTGTACAAATTATGGTGAGTGGTGTGAATGAAAAACTGCGCATGAATATATATAGGGCGGAAGATAAAACGCAGTCAGTGCCGTTTCAAGTCATATTTGTATCTGGTACGGTACAATCTGGTATATCCGCAGCCAAGGTCACTGAGCGAATAGTGAATTCTGAGCAGAAAAACGAATTGGCGAACATCGCAACAAAAAGCAACAGAATAGTGCCATCAGACAGCGTTTTTTGGCATTTATGACCTCGCTTACTTCTTACCGGGTACCAGGTATGATCAAAGTAGAACAACCAGCTGAACATCATTTATTGTACAATGCACACTGGATTTAGATAAGACGTGTTTTGAAGCCCGAGTGGAATTGTGACCCGAGTACAATATTCCTCGTCTTTACCAGGTATTTTTTACATACCGGTAGGGATCTCATAATGGTCCGAAGTCGAGTAGAACTATAGTAGTCCTGAAGCAGTTGGCTTTGCAGGCAAAATCTTTTATCGCGGTATCGTGTATAATAATGTTATCTCTGTATTTTGCTCTTGCTGAACCATCTGTAAGGTTGTTTCCACTATTCGTCGTTGAGTGTTGTTTCATCGCTGCAGATCACTAGTTTCCAACCCCCGTGCCTTGCCCTTCACCATATTGTCACATTCTTTTCTCATTTCTTGTTTCCCGGTTTTCGAGAATCCTTCGGAAGAAAACTAACAGGCTTTGAATTTGTCTTTCTTGAAGTCATCCAAACTGCATGCAACTCGAACCAGAACAGTCTCTGCAAACAGTAAAAATCTCATTTCACTCCTCGTAGAGATTATGGAATCAGAGGTCGACCACATGGTGATGGACACGTGGTAGTATCATGTGACCATGGTGCTGCATGTTTAGAGTCGCTGAGGTTTCCACTAGCTACACCCAATTGTATATTAATTCAAATAGCCTCATAATCAACCTATTATTAGAGTAGTACTGGGATCATTTGTCTTGCAGTCTTGCTCTTCTTGCTCGGTTTTCTTCGCAGCTCGTTTTAGCCTTTCTTAGTCTCCAAATCAGCGTAACATCTCCAGCCTTTAGCTCTTGCGTTTGTCCCACTTGGCCGGGAACACAACCGAGGCTCTTCCCTCCCTTGGCGGATCGCTTTGGAGAGAGACAAGCAGAGGGAGACATACTCTCCTTGGAGGATCGCTTGGGAGACACTGGAGACTCAATTGCACGCTTGTCTGCCTTGAGACTTTTCTTTGAGGATTGCTTTGGCGAGCGACTGCCAGAGCGAGACAGATTTTTCTTGGAGGATCGCTTGGGAGAGATGGGAGACTCAACTGTATGTTTGTCGTCTGCCTTGAGACTTTTCTTGGAGGATCGCTTTGGCGAGAGACTGTCGCAGCGAGACAGACTTTTCTTGGTGGAGGATCGCTTGGGAGAGACGGGGGACTCCATTGCATGTTTGCCGTCTACCCTGAGGCATTTCTTGTAGGAGCGCTTTGAAGAGAGACTGCTACCTTTCGAACTGCCACTCTTGCTTTTCTCGGTCTTTGGTTTTTTTTTGTACAATGATTTGTTGGATCGTAGATCCTCCTCACGCATCCTGGCCATGAGCAAGAATTCCTCGCTCTTGGTACTCCTCTCCAAAGAGCTTCCAAAGCACGGGGCGGAAGTATGATCGGACAAGCTTCTTTTTGGTTTCTTAATGGATGGCAAATGTCTTGCAGAATCCAACTGGCAAAAGGAAGATTCCAGCCGCGATCGACAGTCCGATCGGTCCATGTTGTACACAGCTTGTCGTACCGGTGAGAGACAACGGGTCGGTTTCTTGAACTGTCGCGGTGTGTGATAGGTTTTGGATAACTCGTCTTGTAATTTAATCTTGAATGGCAACAGCTTCCTAATCGTGGTACTGGGAGCAATTTGAACTTCATCTGTTCGGGAATGACCCACAAGTAGAGAGGGTGGTGATTCACTGCTGTCGTCACTGCTGCTTTCCCAGTGCTCATCGATGGCAGCTGGTAATGGTATAGTCTCGTCGATGGGTGTTGGTGCTCGCATAAATTCGAAGCGTTCTGACAGTTCTTCGTCATCAGCATTACCAACGGCACAGGACCAAATGGCGTCAGCAGTAGAATGATGTTCCGGGACTACTGTCTCGACCTGCTGCTGTTTTGTTTCACAGTTAGCTGCTGGTACTCGCATCATAGTAAATCGTTCGGAAAGATCTTCATCGTCATCATCCATGTTGGATACTGTACCCCCAGCGGAATAACCCCAAATGACGGCAACACTGTTAATGGAGGATGCTGCAAAAATTGCCATCTTTGTATAAATATGTATGTATGTTAGAAAAGTCTGGGGGAAAGTAAAACTATGAGTGTCAGTGAGGAAACGAAAAATCGAATGCCGCTTTTTAGAATCGTGAGCAGTCGATGAGTTGGCTCCTCTACCTCTGTAAAAGCTCCCATTAAAACCGCATTAGGCACTTTCGGCGAAATTTTGCACGCCTAAATAATACAGAAACGGAGTAGTCTCGGAGTTATTACTCGGATCGTTATGCATGTCTGAGGCCAACAATATAAATGTCATGTCTGAGGCCAACAATACAAATGTCATGTCTGAGGCAAACAGTACAAGTATGATGTTTGGCTGGGGCCAACAATACAAGAACCGGTATTGGTACGTTTTAATATGCCAGAATCCAAAGTGCAGTGTGCTCGGCTTTTAACTAATGACACCACGAGGAGGGGGTCCGCTATGCCTGCGAGGCCAACAATACAATAATATTCGGTACTGGTACCAAGACTGGAAATATTAAATCTTCCTCGTTTCGCTCTTGTTGCCATCGTGGCTGTACAGCAGCAGCTTGTCCGCCCACAAGGCCACCATTGCAATTGTTGGACCAGCTTTGAATGGGGGAAGTACTAGTACTAGGTTCGATACCGGTTATAGTACTAGTTGCAGACTGGCTGGTGAGTTAGGCAGTCAGTTTCTTTCGTGGTCATCCTTCTTTGTTCTTGAAAGAGTAGACATAGTAGGAGTGCTTCGTATAGCCGCCAGCCAGGCATGATGGTGTGCTGTTGTCTAAAGTTGATTTTGTTACTGTTGCGTTGCTCGTGTCCCTGCACCACATCGGGCCGTTTAGTATTTTAAGCGATTTGGTCTAATCTGCCACGCGCTAGTAGCTCGATATACGGTAGTAGTTCCTCGAATGCATACTAGGACGAAGTAGTACTAGCTATCGGTAGCTAGTGGGCACTACCATGATACCATTTACCACCATTGTTTGTTGCTTGCTGTTGCGGAAGAATCATCATCCATCTCTAATGTTCCGTCTACTAACTATCGTATAAGACGAATTGCTCCTTGTTCGATGAGTGTTGCTTGTTCCATTACCAGTATTTTAAAATGATACCATACAACAACACTGCGGTCCAGTTCTTGGGCCATTTAGGTAGCTTGTATTCGTACCGTAGTATGCAGCCATTAGGATTGCATTCAAAACCTATAGTCTTATAGTCAATCTAGTAGTGTTGCTTGTTACTAATATAATATCATTCTAGTTGGAATGGGATCAATAAATTAATGCTCTTCCTCAGTTTTTTTGGAGCTGTGCTTGGTCTTGGGACTCTTGCTTCCCTCATCGCCATCCTTGGACTTTTTTTTCTTAGATCGCCTGGGAGACAGACTGGAAGAGGGAGACACGATTGCATGCCTGTCTTCTCCCTTGAGACTCTTCTTGGAAGAGCGTTTTGGGGACAGACTGGACGAGGGAGACTCGGTTGCTAAATGCCTGTCTTCTGTCTTGAGACTCTTCTTGGACGAGCGCTTGGGAGAGACACTGGAAGAAGGAGACTCGACTGACAAGTCTTCTGACTTGAGACTTTTCTTGGGGGAACGCTTTGGTGAGTGACTTCTTTCTTTGGTGCTACTGCTGCCACTCTTGCTTTTCTTGGACTTCTTCTTGTCGGATGATTTCTTGGGTTGTAGATCCGCACGCATCATGGACATGAGGGAAGATTCCTTGCTCTTGGTATTACCCTTCTTGTTGTTCAAAGTAGAACGTCCAAAGCACGGGGCCGAAGTATGAGATGTCAAGCCTCCTTGCTTGATGGATGGCAAATCATTGGCGGAATCCAACTTGCAAAAGGAGGATTCCAACTGCGACCGACAATCCGTTCGGTTCATTTTGTACACAGATTGCCGTACCGGTGATAGCATGCTGACGAGTGGTTTCTTCTGTACTTGTCGCATTGTGTGGTGGCTTTTGGATAGCTCATCTCGTGATCGATTCTTGGAAGGCAACAACTTGCTAATCATGGTACGCGGCGTCATGTGGACTTCGTCTTTTCGATCATGAAATAGAAAAGGTGGTGATTCGCTGCTGCTGCTTTCCGAGTGCTCGTCAATGGTAGCTGGCAACGGCGGTACAGCCTCGTCCTGATCGTTAGCTGATGTTGGTGCTGCTCGCATCAGTGAGAAGCGTTCGGAAAGTTCTTCTTCTTCTTCTTCGTCACCAGCATCACCAGCCGCATAGGACCAAATGGCATCGATATCACGATGTTCCGGGATTGTTGCCTCAACCTGCTGCTGCTGCTGCTGCTGCTGCTGCTGCTGCTGCTGCTGTTTCGTTGATTCATAGTCAGATGTGGGTGCTGCTCGCATCACGGCAAATCGTTCGGAAAGATCTTCATCTTCCTCATCCACTTCAGGTATGGCGCCAGCTGAGTATCCCCAAATGACACCGGCACTGTTGATGGTGGATGTTGCTGTAATGGCCATCTTTGTATAATGTGTATGCATGTAAAGTCTTTTTGTGAGATGGAAAATTATGATACTCGTTTTCAGAATGAATCAATCGTGGTGAAACGAAAATGCATTTTGACTCGTCGTCAGCGGCATACATATAAAATAGTTCCCATCCGCTATTTCCGAAATGTTGTACAGTATTCAGTATGGTACCGTACTGTGAAAAAGTGGAACGGAGGAGACGTCGGATTTACCGGAGATATTGAACAAGAATCATGTGCGAATCCGATATATGTTACACCGAAAAAAGGGCTTAGGTTGAGACCTTTTGGCTGTTGCGTCATAAATACGGTGAGACCAAAAGACATCGTTTTTTCTGCTCGGAACAAGAGTATAATTCTTCGGAAACTGTGAATGCCCGTTGATCGGAAGCACACATCGATGAGGTATGAAAATAGACCCAATAGCTTTTAGCGCGGTAGTCGTCTTCGGCTTCTGCGACCTCATAACTTGAAACTGTGAAGCAGAATATATTTTCCAATCCGCGACTGTGGTGCATCCGGTCCCGATTCCAAAACCCGTTTTCGGGAAATTACACTCAGGAAACGGGATTTCCCGAAAACGGACGCCGGCACGGATTGTTTCCACGCGAAAAGTCATGACAAGTAGAAGTCAATTGAGTCGGATTTTCACTTCTGACTTGTCCGACTACCTGAAAAAGAGCTAGAGGCCCAAACCAAACAAACGACCTTGTTTTATGACTACAAATCTTGCTCTCTCTTTAGTCTGTAGTCCTCTAGGCTTTTTTCAAACTGGCTAAGAACTCCAGGATCTCCTTTGTGTGGGCATTCTTGGAAAGTGTGGCTCATCTTTTGGCATCCCTTACAACAAGAATGGACCATCAAGGATCAAGGATGTTTTGTCACTTTCTTCTTCGATGTTGCTGAGTGCTTCTTCGGCGGTGCATGCAAGCATTGTTATGACAGCTTGTGGGCAGTATAGTTTGCTGTCGGACGGCGGGACCAACAATTGTCTTCCTTGTCCGTCAGTGACTCGAACGTTTTGCTTTGGTGTTGCTTGTTGGAGGGGTCGTCAACGCGGTGTGGAAGGTTCCGGCGGTCTTGTTGGTCTCTGGAGCTTGGGAGGAGCGATTGTCTTGGAATCCTTGGAATTCTTGCTGTTGGAATCCTGCAGAAGATCTTCCTCCTGGTCTCGGTGGTGCGGATTGTCCTGGAACGTAGCTTCTGGCTGTTTGGTCTGAGTAGCTAGTCCATGAGTAGTGGTCCTGCTGCTCCCGTCTCTAGGTGTTCAGCTACATCGTCCTTGATCTCTTGTGTGAAGGCTTGGAATGTTACGCCTGCCAAGTCCGATAGGTTGGTTGGTGGGGGATTCTCGTGGTTGCACCCGTTTAGAATCGTGGCGATTCTGCCAAATAAAGTAGCCACGATGTCGTACATCATTGCGCCTCCTTCGTATCGGATCATGTTGAGCTTTGCCAGTTGTTGGTTTGACGTCTCCATTCCTTGTTTTAGTCCGACGTAGGTAATCAGAAGATCCCGGCTGGGTTTGGATCCTGTGCGGGCTTCCACTTAAGGTGCTATCGTTGTGCTCCTGACTCTCATACCGTACTAGTGCATTGATGTAGCTGCTGTTGGACATGATAGACGGTGATTGATATTACTATAGGGGTGTATTTACGGGGGCCTGAAGCAGCTGTGAGTAGATGATAGATGATTGATCTTGGGCTTGAGATTGGCGACGACCGTTGGCCTTCGATCGCTCTAATACATCTGCTCGGGACTTAGCAGTCCAGTCAGTCACGTTACGTCTAGCTTGGTAACCGAGTCTCGTGAAATGGTAGCAGAAGACGCCATCCAAAGGTATCCAATACCACATCAGCTTCAAAAGAAAATATACGCCCATATCTACGACTTCCAGCATCATGGAGACTTAGGTGAGGGTCCGAAAACCACTATTGATATCTGCTTCAGCGGTCATTTGGACACCAAACAAACCAATGTACTCAGATCACTTCATAGAAATAACATTAAGAAGAGTAGTATAAAGCTGCTGTCGGTTGAGATTTTCGGATCCGAAAATTGCCCTTGAAATTTTCTGCCGGCAGATGATAATGGGATTTTCAATTTTTCAGCACGTGTGGAAACACTTTTTTCGCGCTGCTGGCAGGCAGCGCCAATCTCAATAGGTACCAGGTACGGGAGAGATGGAAAGGGCTGATCAAAATGAAATATTCGAATTCAAGAAAATAGTCCTTCTCACCTTCGTTCCGACCGTCCGCACAAAAATACTCTTCCATCATAAACTACCCCTGTACTGCGTACCAGTGATAGTATAACCTGGTGTGGGCCAACCAAAGCCATGACACCATGATAGTCAAGATTCGCTCTATCAATTAAAAACGCTATTATTGTACAGTACTGTAGTCGTATTTTGACAACACTTCATTATCCCTATGAGTCCTTATCATAAATGCTCCCTAAAGATGGAATCGAATCGCCACAAGGACCAGATCCGCCCAAAAAAGATGAAATGTATCCCTTGTCCTTGTTGAGTCTCCCTGGTGATCTCATGATATCCTTGCGCTTTCCTGGGGATTGCGAAAGCCCATTGCGATTACCACCACTAGTAGCAGTGGATCGTCGCAAGGCACGCCGAGATTCGGCTGCCGTACGACTGGCACGTCGTTGTTGGGTGGTAGTACTACTACCCCCACCACCCACCGAAGCACTGGCATTGTTATTGCCATCTCCAACCGTAAGTCCTCCTCGTCGATTCTTCGCTACTAAAAGACCATCACTCCGAGACGACCGCACCGAACCAAAGGAAGAACGAGTCGAACCGGAGGAAGTTCGTCGGACAGCGGATGCAGTTCCCTCGAGATGTTCTGACAATTTCGATCGACTTTCATTGCTGATGCCACTACTAACATTGCTAGTGTTACTGGATCGCTTTTGGATTCGATCCATTCGGTTGGAGCGTCGCTTTTGTTTGGGAGAAATGGAGAATTCTCCTTTTGGACCAGCAGCATTAGAATCAGCATTAGTATCAGCATCATTCTTCTGAAGTGGTGTCGAGGTGGAGGATACTGGTTCCTTTGGTGTAGACGGCGCCGTGGGAGGGGTTCGCCTGACTCGTATCGGTGACAATGGCTCTTTGGGTACGGTAGGCGGAGTGGTGGTAGATTCTGCAGAAGTTGCTGTTCCTTGCTCGGGTGAAACCAAGGATCGTTTCGATTTTTGTCTGCCAGTCTTCTTTTTCCGTTTTGGTTTGATGGTTCCAACTTGTTTCTTCTTCTTCTTTGGTGCTATTGGGTCCTCATCTTGTTTTTCTTCCTGTGGTTCCTTCTTGCAATCTTTTGGCTTTGCAGCAGTAGCAGCATCATCGAGATTGGAAGGATCAAACTGTTGGTATGGTGTCAATGTTGCGAGCATGGCACTATCATCAGTATCATCTTGTTCCTTCTTCTTCTTCTTCTTGTGATTGTTGTTGGTGCTTTTCTGGGCAGCAGTAGCATCCAGTTTGGTAGGATCAAATGTTTGGTACGGCGTCAATGTTGCCAGCATGGCATCATCTTCAGTATCACCTAGTTGTTGCTGTTGTACCTTCTTGTTGTTGGTGCTTTTCTTGGCACTACCATCCAGTTTGGTGGGATCAAATTGTTGGTACGGCGTCAATGTTGCCAGCATGGCATCATCGTCAGTATCCTTTACCGTGGTTCGTACTGTTCGTTTGGTCACATGCTTGGAATTCTCAATGTCCGAGGAGGTCTCTTCTTCTGCACCACTAGCAGCAGCAGCAGCAGCTTCGATGTTGTGATTGGAAATGGAAGGATCTTGTTCATCCTCTGACGCCGAAATGCCAATGAGGTTTGTCAAGGAAGGTGGCTTTAAGGATTTCGTATCATGATGATGATGATGATGATGATGATTGGAATCATTCTCGTCATCATCATCATCATCATAGTCGGAGGAGGATGACATGATGAGATTATTCATGGAAGGAGGTTTGAGCGTGGAAGTCGTTTGATCGTCCATCATGTCTTGACTTGGCATACCCTTCAACGATGGTGGTTTCAGAGTGGAACTGGTTCCCGTGGTCATAAAGGATTGGATCGATTTTTGCGATTTTTGAGACTGTGGCGTTGCTCCTCCTCGACTACGATTCCGTATTAGTTGTTGCCGATGAGGAGACAATTCGCGAGTAGTACCCGTAATACTCTTGCTGCTGTTGACAGATGCATTGCCAGACTTGTTGTTCATGTCCTTGAAGGAAGGTGGTCTCATCAAAGTCTTGCTACTGCCATCGGCTGTCGTTTGGGTCGTCAGCAGACTGACCATACTAGCATTGGCCCAACCCATTTGAACTTCATTGTTTCTAAGATTCAACTTGGGACGACCATCCCCTCGTGTGTCAACCTCATCGTTCAAGTCCTTTTCATAAACTTCGTCATTCAACGCTTCGTCGCCTTCGTCATTCAACGCTTCGTCGTCTTCATCATCATCAATTAATTCATTCCATTCTCCAGGCGGTGGTCCAACAATATGCTGTGAGGAGGATGGCGTGGGTGATCCAAAGGTTTGTCCTATGGAAGACCGCCGTGATGCCAAAAACCCAGAAGCCTTCTTAAAGACACTACTTTTTGACATGGCGGATGCTTCCGTAGTACTACTTTGCGTACTGGCCACGGTAAGGGAAGAGGAGGAATAGGGAGTCACCTTTTCGAGTGAATCCATGATTAAGGATCGTCGGCTTTTCGAAGCTGCCTTTTTGCGGTCCAGTGCGACTTGACGAGATTTTCTTGGCTTGCGGGTAAAAGAGACGGAGGTAATGCTGGAGGATATACTCTGACGAAGCGGTTGATCAGCATTTTCTGCATGTTCATCATCTTCCTCATCCTCAGTGTCATCGTTGGAAGTCTGTTGCGTGATTAATGGCAAATCATCATTATCACTGCTGTCTGGATCGTCAAATTCATTGTACGCTATTGCCTTGGTGTTTGTGGATCTACGCAGTCTAGATATCGCCATGACGCTTGCCATTTGATTGTGTGATTGGTGGTTGTGTATATACGGTATATGGAGCGAGCTTACTACCTATACACGGATGATAATGTTGCAATGGTTATAGTGGGAGTGCAATTATTGATACGTTAGTCTGGCGAAACTCGCTACTGTATTTCGCGTTTGCTCGTGTATTTTTTTCACGATCTCTTTTGGAGGTTCTACGACCATTTTACTTATGGAACGCAACCAAAAAGCAGAAACTCTCTCTTGTTTTGGAGCCGACTATTTATCGCAAGTGATCTGACAAGACACTCGGCTATAAATGATCAATCGCGAGGCAAGCCATTTAGTTCTCGCTAGCGAGACATTGCAAACACCGTTGCATGGTACATGTGTAGTACCGGGTTCGACGGTAGATGAGGGGAGTTCTTTGTGTTTAACCAACATTTTGAATTTTTAAACACTTACTACAGTATTTTTTGTCTGTCTGTTATAAAACATCTACCTAATTGTGGCAGCAATAGTGGAGCACCATTGAAACTACAGCAACTATCGGTTGAATCTTTCTACAAGCAGGTCATATGATTTCAGTTGTTATCGTTACTGGCCCGAAAAACCAGAGCGGTGCTGTAGATAGTAGTAGAAGGAGGAGCACAGTTCTGGTGCTGTAACTGGGCAACCAATACATGTAGCATTTTTTAATATATGTATCCACCCTGACCCTCCTTCAATAATGGAAGCAGTATATTAGCATTCCTGCATGAAGTAACTGTACCGGTACACAGGGCAGTAACGGAACCATTGGTTGGCTACTGTACTGTATGATACGAGGAGGAGCACTCCCCGGTACTCGTACCAGGAACATGGTACGTGTACCAGTACTCGTACCATGTTTTTCACTGGTTCAAAAATGAGAGTGCATGCATGATCGGTATTCGCAACCCCATTTTCTTTTTTAAATAATTCTCGCCGCTAATTATTGCCGATTTCCCGATATACGTGTCGTATCGATCACGATTACATATATGCCAGCGAATTCTAGTTCTGTCGTAGGTCTGTCCCATCAAGATAGGCACAGCCAATCACATGCTTCTCCACCATAAATCGTATCAATATATATGTCCAGTGGTCCTAAGTAGTCGATTAGCGGAATCAGTGCATAGCTCCCCGTAGGGATTATCCAGTACCGGGAACGGTTCGCATGGATACCTACAAAAAATCCAGTCGTCCGGCAGTTTCTCTGTCCAGAAGCAAAAAACGAAACAAGTCAGTTTATCCCCTTTTATTCATTCGTCCACACAAGACGACACCGCATATAAACAAACCATCATCAAACACAGCAGTTGCTTTTTTGTTGAGTTTACAATTTACTTGCATCAGCATTGAAAAGTCGTTGTTTGCTGATAGTATATTCACGCAGACAAGAACACACACGCACACACACACACACACACACACACACGCACACACACGCACACACACGCACAAGAAGAGATTGAAATGGCCGCCACAACTACTGTCAAAACAAACGCTGTTTGGTCCTTTGGTCTTGGTGGATTGGAAGGAGAAGACAGCGAAGAGGAATCGGAGGCCTTTGGAGCCTTTCAAGTAGTGCAAAAAGAGGGTGAAGACAAAGGAGAAGACAAAGAGGAGGGTGAAACAGAAGAGAAAGACGAAAAGGAAGAAGATCCCGAACCAACCGAAGAGACGGAATTAGATTCGGGATCAGACGCAGCTTCTGCCACAACGTCCAAAGGTTCTTTAGACTTGGAAGAAGAAAAGCCTGCTTCCGCTGTTTGGTCCTTCGGTCTTGGTGGTCAAGAGGAAGACGATGAGGATGACGAAGACTCGGAGCCTTTTTCGTTTACTCCTATAGGTGATGTGGTCCAAGAAGAAGAAGAAGAAGAAAACATTCCTGAAGAAGGACCAGCGCCTGTCACTCCCAATCGACAGCCAATCCAACAAGAGCAGTCGCTCGAATTCAGTCAATTGCAGTCCCATTCTCCTACTTCTCCTTCCGCCGCTTTCACGATTAATGAAGACAGCGCCGTGAATGACGAGACGTTAGTCTTTGTCTCGCCCGTTTCGCCTCCCAAGCGACCACTTTCCGTGGGAAGCTTGCGACGCCCACGCTATTCTTCCAATTTGGATCCTCAAGTCCGCATGACGCCTGGAACATTACTGTCTAAAATGACACCCAGCGGAGCCTTTAAAAAGGCCAGTCTACTTGCCAACTTATCCGTGAAAGGGAAACAAGACAAGCGACTCAACCGTGGGAATCGAATTTCGTCCATTCAATCCTCCTTTCGACATTTGGATTTGATGAGTGATTCGGATTCCTCTGGTCTCAATCACATTCCGGATGCCGATGATACTGACAAGATTCCAGGCAACGAAAGTATGAATACGGGTGCCACAATGACGTCCTCTTCCAGTTTCCAGCAAAACGATGAAGATTCGGAATTGATGAATGTCCTACCGGTTCTGCCCAACATGCATGATGATTCTTCTTCTAACTTTGATGAATCCTCTCGTCGGACCAACTTTGATGAATCTCAGCGATCCGCAGCTCCTCTTCTTCAAGGCAACGATGATGATGATGACAATGACGACGATAATGAGAATGCCTCCTCTCCTGGTACCAAAAAGAAAAAGAAAAAATCTTCCTCCAAGTCCAAGTCACCCAAAACATCTCGCAAAACCAAGAAAATCAAGGGCCTTGCTGGTGACGGCGATGATGACGACGTTACCACCACCACCACCACCACCAAAAAGAAGAAGAAAAAGGGCATTAAAAAAGCCATTCAAATGGCCACCGCACCCGCCGTCGCCATGACGGAATTGGTGCGGGACGCCTCGTCCGACGTGAAGGATCTGGTTACCAATACGGCCACTGGCACCAAGAACTTGGTCAATCGTACCTCCACGGGTGCCAAGGATCTAGTGACTTCTACCGCCACGGGAGCCAAGGATTTGGTCACCAATGCTGGGGAACAATTGGGTTTTACCAGTCCTACCCCCAAGAAGAAAAAGAAAAAGAGCAGTAGCAACAAAAGTGGCGACGATGACAACAATACCGTCACTACCAAAAAGTCTTCCAAGTCATCGTCCAAATCCAAAACCAAGTCGCCCAAATCCTCCTCTTCGCCTACTCTCCCCATCAAAAAGAAAAAGAGCAAGCGAAAAATAGTGGATCCTTCCAAAGAGATTCAACGAGCGACCGAACGGCCATCTTTGGAAGTCAAACAGTCTTCCTTTTCCTCCAATCATTCGGCGCAATCTTGTGCGTCGTTTTTGTAAAAATGAGAGAAGAAAAAAAAAGAGACAATTGGGCATGCATTATAAAAGTAATCATCATGCAGTATATTTATTATATAATCATAAAGAACGAGAAGACACAATCATGGTGGGTGGGGTGACAAAAAAAATGGTGGGGGGGGAGGGGGACCCTGAGGATAAAATTACAAAAGGATAGGACTGTAACTAAAACGGGATATTTGAATATGTATATTATATATATCTTATGGCTATTACAGTATATGAACTGTATAACATAACTGTATAACATACTGCAAGTACAGTATCATACTGTAGCTCCCATGTTTGTCTTTCTTGCACATAGTAGGTGAGCATATTACGGGCGGACGGATGGACCACATGACCATAGACGGATCACGCGCGCGGACTATTACGCGGGCGAGACCTGCGACAAAACGAAAAAAAGTCATCATCATCATCATCGCATGCGCTATAATCTTTGAATCAAACAAACAAACAAACAAACATTATCTTAGACTTACTTTATATATGCAGGTCGAGGAGTTTATCCTCCAGCTACAGTAGCATACACCTACATTTTATACACGATTATGGTGCTGCCTGAGCAAAGTGATGAAAACTCCAATGATGGCGTTTCTATGAACACTGTGACGATGATGATGATGAGTGACAGTAGTCCTCAAGCGAAAAAAGAAAGCCAGCAAAAAAAATTGAAACAACAACAGCAGCAGCAACAACAACAGCAACAGCAACAAAATCGAAACTCATTATTGGAAACTCAGCTTGAGAATCTGCCTTCCAACAACAAGATCAATAATAATGAGGATGATGTTAAGGAGAAGAAAAAGAAAAAGAAGAAAAAAGATATCAGACGAGTTTCTTCCACAGAAGGCATGCATCGAAGAAACGTTTCGTTGGATACGGAGCTCCTAAAGATTGATACAAAATCATCCGTCAAAGTGCAGCGTCGAGGGTCCACCGGAAGTAGTAGGCCTAGGCTCACCTTGAACAAAATGCTTTCGGAAAGCAGTTTGAATACTTCCAAATCAACATTATTGGCTGCGAATAATGCTCTTTGGGGATCATCCGATGCCGATGCGAAACCGATCACAAAAGTGGAACAAAGTGGGCTTCTTATTCTGGACGACACGGAGCAAGAAGAGGGAAAGGATACGGTGGCACCTCTCATGGCCTCATCGAAACCATACGGCAACCGAAAAAGTCTCTTCAGAAGAGCCGCTAGTCTCAAACGATTTGGCTTGTCAAAAGGCAACAATAACAACACGAAAGATCATTTCGATAATGGGAATGATACGACAGGTGGTGGTGGATCCAACAATAATAACAAGGCGACCTCACTGTCCGCACATTTGGACTCGAGCAGCAGCAACAACAAAACACGACGAAGTTTCTTTCAAAAGGCTGCGACCATGCGACTAGGAAAGTCCAAGTTGGACGGCTTTGATGAAATGTCACTGAACGATCAGAGTGATGAGTTTAGTTTGCATTCAACCAATCAGCAGCAGCAGCAGCAGCAAAAGGAACCTACTTCTTCCAATCCTAATGATAATAAGGCACGACCGGGTCTATCATCGTTGGGCCAATCACTGAGACGCCTCAATGACCTTTCATTGGATCGGAATAAGAACAATACAAATGACGATGGATCAGGATCCTTAGGTCACCAGAATGGATCCTCCAGTCGATTTGGAGAAAGTAGTACGGATTTTTCAGTGGCCTCTCCTACTCTGTGGAGAGAAAACAGTGAAGAAATGAGACCAGGACTTCAATTTGCTCCTTCCACGTTGGCAACCATGCTGACGGAGAAACAACAGAAGCCTCCTCCCCAAAATCCAACCGCTGCTGAAACGCCTACTGATGAAGCGACAGCAGACCACCAGCACGAACAGTTCGCACCACCACCACCACCACCCATTGGACAATCCTCAACGTGCGAACAGCAAGAGCCCAACGCAAAAGCACCGATAGTGTCCACCAACGAGGAGAATGAGATCAAACCAGACACGAATAGTGAAGAGTCGTCCGATCTACCGCAGGATGATTCTGCCCCATTGGCAAGTAAAGAAGAACGACCCAGAAAACTCAAAGGAGGCAAAAACAAGAGCAGAGAAGTCAAAACCAAAAAGAAAAGGCCCAAGAAACGAATAAGTGTGGAAGATGACGACGAGAAGACTGATGAATTGGGATCGGACTCGGGGCATTCCAAGAATTCCAAGAAAACCAAAAAGGTGCGAAAAAAGAGAAAGGGTGGCAAGAAGCGGAGGGGGTCCATATCCGAAAAGGAAGTTGACGAAGCCGAGCTAAACGAGGACAATGCTTTTGAAGCAGCAGAAGAAGGAAACAAAAGACAAGAGAAGGACCAGTCAGAGCACAACATAGACGATACCGAACACACGGAGGTCGAGGAAGAAACCTTACCAGACGAAAACAAAAACGAAAACGAAACCGCTGCCAAAGGAAGCAAGAAAGACACCGAAGAAGCCGATGAAATCCAAAGCACAGATGGAGATTCCGACATCTTTTCAATGGCATCTGCCAAAAATAATGATGGCGACATTGCAAAGGGGGAATCCAAAGAGTCTTTGGTGGACGAATCGTCATCCACACCAAATGGACTGTTGACTAAGAAGATTACAAAGAGTGAAGACTTCATCGAACCAACCCCCGAGCAATCTTCGACGATTCCACCTGCTCCAATTGTTAGCTTGCATCGGAGCAAGTCTCTCAAGAACCCTTTGATGAAGAATCATCTTGGCAGTAACAGTCCCAAACGGCGAAGGGAGCTCGGAAGCCGTTCTCCCAAATCATCACGGCCCAAGTCCAAACGACTCAGTGCCGATACCGATGGAAGCCGTTCTCCTAAATCATCGCGGGCCAAGTCCAAACGATTAAGTACCGATACCGATGACAGTTCCAATGCTGTAGATCATGCTAATGAGGGTGGTTCGGATGAAGAATCATCCAAAGCCAGCCGGCGACGAAATAGACTAACTGAACTACAGCAACGCTCTTCGCTGTTCAAAGGGACTGGGCATCAAAAGACAAGACGAAGGCGGTCCCTTGGAAGCAGCGTAATGAAACTGACTGGCGAAAAGGGAAAAGGATACATATCCTCCTTTCTTGGTGGCAGTGCCAAAACAACCGGATAAAAAATGATTAACGGATTCATGCCATCACCTACATACCATCCTGTCACCAACCGAATCATCGTGGTATTCCATCCATCGCCTACTGTATTCATATGAAACAATAACGACAATTTTGCTACACAACACACTGTTTGTCTGAATGTCTGAATGAATGAATCTTTCTATATTATTGATACTACGAACTCTCTTCCACGTCTTGTACTTCCTCCACTTCAATTCGCAATGGTCCAGCCGGTGCCGTCTTGAGCAAATCAATAGCGCTCTTGAGGTCTTCCGGGCAGACAATGTTATTGATGGAAATGACCTTTTGTCCTTGCTTTAATCGACTTCCGGTCAAGAGACCCTTTGGATTGATTGCATGAACCAGTATACAGTTATTTTTGCGTTTGTACTTCTTCAACGATAGTCCAATGTAAGAATCCACCTTTGGTTTGTTTGCTATCACGAGCAGAGTCTTGGGTAGGTTCGATTCAGTCGGAGTAGTATCGTTGGATTCCGTCTTGCTGTTTTTGGATGTGAACTTGGATAAGAAATTCTTCTTTTTGGAGGACTTGTTGCCGTCTTTGGGACCTTCAGTATTTATTAATACTTCTTCGGTATCAACAGTAGACGCATCAGTGCTGACAAGGGGATCTGGCTTGGAACCAAAGAGCTTAAAGCCGAAGCAGCACTTCATATTATTCGTGTTTTCAGCTGAGGATGAGCCTGACATGATATAAAATAGAAGACGATATATATAAGGTTTGGTCAGCGTGACTTTTGATGCTTTTGTAGCCCGATTGTCTTGCGGTTTCTTGAATGCTGTAGCTGAAGCAAGTCGCTATGTGCTATGTGGGTGATGACCTTTTACTTCCGATGATACGCGTATTATTCGCTAACGATGAGAGATGATGACACCTCCGAAATTCTCTCATCCACGGCATTTACCGCACTATCATCATGCATTTTCAATTTACGTCATTCGAGGATGTGACGTGTGGACGGACGGACATTATCCTCACTTGCTTGAATGCAAGAGAGCGCACCGAGTCATCACAGCTCATCAAGTAGTCTTGCAAAGAATATTTGAGCGATTCTATTTTAAGCGACCGAGCAATAGATCTTACGACATCTGTGGACGAATTAGAGGATCTGACAAGACCAAGGTAATTCGTTACCTAAACGAGCGCGATATCTCTCTGGGCCCTTCTTCTTCCTCCTTTCGAAAACCTGGTGCATCGAGCTCCTCTTTCTTTTCAGCAAACGAAAAGAAAAATTAATGTGAAGAGCACCTCTTGCATCAAGACCCAACGAATATAGTAATATTGCTATCCAATACTGCCACGCAACAACTTCATCAGTCGGTGGGAGGATATGAGTGCTCCCGGGAGGAACATGGTGGGGGTGACGAGGACGGCCCCTCTATCTGTTCGGATGGCGGCATCATCCTCTTCAACGAATACTAAAAATGCGTTCTCCCAACAACATTCTAAAAAGTCAAAGGCCGAGATATTAGAAGTCAAACGAAAAGCGATCTCGCTTCTTACAACGGCCTACAAAACGGATAGTGACGAACAAGTGGTCGAACTTGAAACCCAACTGAAGGATTTGCTACATTTGATTCGATCCGAAGACGACTTGGAACAGAAGGCCACCGCGACTAAATCATTCATTGACAGCAGTGCTACTACATCCCCATCCACTATGGAAACAAAGAAAGTGACAAGTCCCATATCGCCGCCTTCGCCACCTCGTTCTACCACAGCGGCGCCTGGTATACTACTGAGGGACTTTAATGGGAGAAAACCAAAGCCTGATCCAATAGAATCTCACATTGGAGAAATCAAGAAACCATTAAAGCAGTTTCATGTCCAAACGGCAATCGAACCAATAAAACCTAAAAAAGGAATGGTAGCCGGGATGCAACAAGAAGCGCTGCTGGAAGCTGCCATGGGACGAAAACAAGAACGAGACAGCAACGGATGGTTGGGATTCATATTTGGTCCGAATGATGATGCTTCGGAAACAGGTTTCAAGGAGTTTGGGGAAATGGGTGGAAAGGAGCTACGGAAAAAGCAAAATCGAAATCGACAAAGGGCCACCAAGAGAAGATCGAGTGCCAATTGTGTTTCCGATGCCTTTTCGGGCATGATTGTCACAACCACCACCAGCAAAAATGGAACCAAGTCACCAGCATCGTCACAAGCTTCATCCATATCATCAAGTTCCTTTGATAGTGAAGATGATGTGTCTACCTTGGGGACTGAACCTACCTACGAAAGTGTATCGGAACGCATGACGGGCTTTCTACGAGTCAGAAGGCTTCCAACCACAGCTGAGGAGGAAGATGAGGCGGCACCAGAAGGTGGAGAGAGTAAACAACGCGATATTCTGCAAGATACTGCCGAAGAAGAAGCACAGCAGCCGGTAGCTGTGGAAGGACCGACGTGGGGTTGGTTTCAGCCTCGAGCGCAGCAGGTTCAAGGTCCAGCCTAGTTGGTTGCCATGCACGGAACTATTTACACTGCATAAGCTGAAATCCTCAACACTAGGAGACCACGAAGCAAAAAGTAATGCAGCCGACAGATCACCTCACAATCATCTTCACATTAGGGCATTGAATAAGAAACAACCCCACGGAGATATGTGGATCATTCTTGCTCATTTCCCGGTATGTAGCAATAGGGAAATTATGATACGGCCTACCATAAGCTAGAGCTCATAATAATATCATTTTACTTCATTATTACAGTACTTTTTGTTTTCCTCCCAGTATCATACTTGTTTAGTGTCCCTAAAACCCTCCTTCGGCACGCATATCGGTATGAAAGAGTACATGAACCATTTCACAGATTGTTGGACTAATGGACTCTACTACTATTCAGAACTAAGGCCTAAGTATAAGTAACGACTTTACTTGGAGGCGGGTGCGGTCAATCCAGAAACACCAGTGTTCTTGGCAGTTCCCTTGGTGGTGGTGTATGGTCCCCAGGAGGAAACAATATCAGCATCCTCCTTCTTAATCGATTCTGCAAGTCTCTTGGCGGCCTTTTCTCTTCGGACTTCCTTCATACGGATCATCTTGTTACGGACGATCTTTCTCCAGTAGGATCCATCTTCATTGGGTTGAACAACAACAATGCTTCCATCTGAATCGTCCATCAGAATGACAGCTTGTTCGCGTACCTCGGCTTCACCGCGTTCCGCACCTTCCATGCCAATTTCTTCCTCACCGTCTTCACACATGGGGTCCATTTCATCGACGGCGCACATCTCTTCCAATCCAGAATCGATAATGGCAACGCGCTTGCCAACCAACTCATCGGCACCGACCACCAATCCCAAAGGAGCCAAGGTGGATTTGTCGTATTCGATCATGTTTCCGTTCAACATACCAAGGACACGTCCGCACGCCATCTTCCACCAGGCCTTGGTTTCCATGGTAACAGCCTTGTCCATGATGAGTTCATCCTCGTAGGGAATGTAGTTCTCATCCGGTGGGTGAAGGGAGTCTCCGGCACTTGGAGAGTAGACCTTGAAGTATTTGTCGTCCATTTGCTCAATGTCAGAGTGGGCGTAGACACCAACTTCGTTGGTGTTGTCACGGTAGGTGATGGTAGCATCCAAACGGATGGTTCCTCCCTGTTGGTGATCGACGGTACAGATCTCGAATCCGTCCTTGTTTCCGCGCAAAAGACGAGATTGTTGACGTCCATCACGGGAAGTTCCACTGCGCATGACAGAGGTTTGGGCAAAGACGCAAGATCCACGGTTGGGGTATGGGCCATCCTTAGGGTCAATGGTGGGGCTGTTTTTGTCGTCGGTATAGTGATTGGGGATTTGATTTGATTCGATTTGATGGATGAAAAACAAAAAAATGAAAGGAAATGGAATGAAATAATACGATTCAATTCGGTGAGTGGTTCATTCCGATGGTAGTCAAGAGGAAGATTCATTTCATTGGTGAATAAATACTTACAAGGTGATGGAATCTTGGTAATCCTGTCCAAGATGGAAGTGACCAGAGAACCACGCCTTGATACAACGGTGTTCACGGACAAGTTCAATGAATTTACGGCATTGAATCTCATTGGAGTGGTTCAACCAGCAGCATCCGTTGACGACGTGGTTCTCTTGAAGAACACGAAGTCCAGATCCATTAGGAGGAGCGTGAGTGAAAACAAAGATCTTCCATCCTTCATCGGCAGGGTGAGTCTTGACAACGTTCTCGAACCAGTCAATTTGCTCTTGGTCAATGGTAACTTCGTGCGAAGTGTACTTGGCCTCACGGAAGATGGTGGAAGTCATACCGACCAACAAAGTCTTTTCGGCAATTTGGCGCATGAATTGAGGTCCTTCCTTCTTGTGAGCACGAAGGAAGAGTTCCAAGTTGGCTTCATCGGTGTCGAATTCATCAATTCCCTCAAGATCTGAATTTCATCAGGAAGAAATAGGAAGAAAACAATAGAAATGTCGTGAGCGGATTGATGATAGATGGATTCAGATACACACACATTTTGCATTTGATATCACAATTGCTATTGCCGAATGCAAAATCTGATTAAGATTGCATCCCATTGTTCATCTTCCGACCATGACTGATTGACTGATTCATTCATTCATGCATTCCATCCCAAAATAGGCCTCCTCAGTTTTTTTGACAAATCAAATATACATGACTTACCGTGGTTTCCGCCAACGACATCATATGGAACACCAAATCCGCTGAGGAAGTCAGCGGCGAGTTCGTGACATTCAGTAGTTCCAGCAAAGAGTTCAGAAGTCTCATCAGGTCGGACAGACTTGGATTCTCCAAGATCTCCCAAAGAAACAAGAGAAACATTGTCATCTCCGACGTTTTGCTTGGCCTCAGTCAAGATGTTCGTCCACTGTTCGCGTCCCGTCTCATAGTCTTCCATGACACGAGGATCAATGTGAAGATCTCCGAGAATTCCAACGCAAAATTCATCGGGACTTCCGAACAAACTCGAAGAAGAAGATTGAGGACGGTTCAACGGGCTTGACACGGACTGAAAGGCAAATGCAGCGGGGCTCGAAAGAGCCAAGAAGGAGAGAGCAAACTTCATTATTGTATTGAAGTGATATACTGTTGCTGTACCGGTATAGTGGAAGCAATCGTAAAATACGATCTTGTCCGTAGAAACTTCTATTTTGGCAATGATGTCAACAACTTTTGCCAGGAACACGTATTTGCCTTTTGTCACACTACGACACTATTGTCCAATCAGAATGTCATTTCGTTTCATGCCCATTGGCCGATGACGTTTGCAACGTACGCATTTCGAATCGAATTAATGTTTGTTCGTGATCGTGTGTTATAGTGTCCGACACAAATAAGCGAGTGAGAGAGAAATTATTGAAAATTGATTGATTGATTGATTGATTGATTGATTCATTCATTCAGTAGGGGTGTGCCGATTGATTAGCAAATGGCATAACAGCAATTACTGTAGTTGATTTCATTTTATGATCCTCAGCTTTTGTTTCATTATAATAACATTGTCAATTTACCAAATACTGCGCCGTTCTATTGACTACCAGGTACGTGTACCTTTGTACGAATACTCTAGACTAGTAGTGTACGTGTATACGTGTACGTAGTAAGCAAAGCTGCACTGGTGGGAAAAGAAGACGGGCCACTTTGCAGATTAATATGGCATATATGAGACAGCACCGTTGTCATGTTGGCAGTCACGTCACTCACATATATTTGATGGTTCGAATCATCGTCCATCTAGTATCATCCTATGATCATCCATCAGTCCTAGCTAGCTCCTACTAGTACTTCATTGTCTGATTTTTTTCAAAGATGGGAACTTTACGATGCATATCCATGATCCACTTCAAAAACAACGAATCAGACGAACATTGATTCTTCAATAATGATGAGACTCTTTTTGTTCTTCTTCATTTGCTTGCTTGTTTGAATGATCAATTGGACACACCGTTGTTTCTCTATGACAATGCCCATTCAAACGACCTTCTTGTGGTAAGAACTTTCATTATTCCTCCATGCGCTTCTTGTTACATATATGTAGACTCGAGATCGATGCTTTTGAATTTGGAAATATTGGTCTGGAATAGACCAGAAAAGAGAACAAATAACCTTGACATCTCCAAATCAGTGTCGAGATGCGAGTTTTGGCCGGAAAGACACTACTGTATAGTCACCATTTACATTGTCCCCACACGCGTTAGTTGTTTTTTTATATATGTAGTAGCCATTTGAGTCTCCTGATGTGGTAACAAAGGTCATTTCAAAGGCGAGAAGCGATGCTTCTAGAATATCATATCCCAAAAGATCCTTTCAATTCTTTTGTAACATGGCTAATAGTTAAAAGAGAAGTGTTAGATCATCCACCGCACTCATAAAAGAATCAAGAAAGTTTCCTCGGCTTGTCATTCTCTCCACCTGACATTGATTCGGCAGTAGAATTGTCATTCATTCAGATCTTAGATAGTCATCCAAACAACGGCCAAGCCACTTACATTCTTGCCTCCGACCCAGGTATTATTGTTCGATGGTAACGCACTTTGGCCGTACTGTAAAAGAATAAAAAAAGTTCCCTCCTCTTCCCATGCTGAGCCGACAGTAAACCATTTCGATTTCTTTTGTTTCGTTTCATGTCCTGCAGAGGTCAATGCGAAATCCAAAGAGGCAAACAAGAGGCAGAAAAGTCAGTTACAATTTTCTGCAGCGCATTGCCATCCATCCATTCTCGATGCAGCATCATTAGTCGAACATCCTTGAAACCAAAGGGTAATTATACGCTACCTGATACGCGCAACTCCAAAATCCACATCGTTGGCCAGCGACTGAGCCAAGATCGACACATTCGTTGCCAAAGGATACTAGTCTAAAAAAAGAAAATATAACGACTTATTGATTTGTAGCGGTCGATACCCGTTCGTTGATGTGTACGGGGGGAAACGCAATTTGCAGACATACTGTAACGCGTGCCTACAAAACACTACAAGGTACTCGTACAAGGTACAAAACATCACCGTCCACTGAGACCACCAAACGAGGATTCGAAGGAGTCAATCGTGTTAAAAACACGGCAAATTGGCGATCTCCAACCCGCCGTGGTTTTCACTCCACACCGCCTCAACGCAACACCTCACAATTTCCATTATGAACCTCTTTGAATCAACAACAACAACAACAGCAATCATGACCAACTACATCACTACCTTTGTAAATCAAGAAAGCTTGAAACGCATCAGCTTTCCCAAGTTACCTCGAATGAGTGCCATCACTCAACAACAACAACAACAACAACCAGTTCAAGAAACCATCATTACCGGTTTGGTTTGTGCAGTCGCAATCGTGTTACTTCGGTACATGGTACTCGACACTTACCGAACCTATCAGATACTTTGCAAGCAATGGAACAGACGACAGCCTCCTGTTTCCATCCTTCGTCGTCCAGAAGGCGGGTCTCGCAAGAAAAACCGAAGTTGGTTGGGTGTGTTCACCAGAAAACCAAATCGTGTCCGTTTCGCCAAAATCTTTCGTCGAACCTTTGTCCTAAACAAGCAAGAGCTACAATCTCGCAGGGAATGCTGGGGTCTGATTCAATGGCGCATTCAACTTCGCGACGAAGTAATTCCAGAGATAGAGAACACAGTGAGATTCGTTCCACACACTCCTGTGTCCATTCTTCGTCCTTCAAGACAAGATTGGGGATCACCCAAACCAACCTCTTCAAGCCGAGTCCAATTCGCCCCTAAGACTCGAAGGAGAAACTTCATTCCCGACGAGCAAGATCTTCAGTCCCGAAGGCAGCTAATTCGTCAAATTGACCGCAAGATCAAGAGACGGAATGCCCGACGCTTGATGATCGATTTCAAACCTACAGTGCTTGCCACCATTATCGAAGATCCAGCAGAAGAAGATTTGAGTGACATTGACTCGTCTTTGGATACTGGATTTATTGATGGCGAAGTCGACTCTGAAATCATTGCAATTGCGCTCGAGAACCACCGACAAATGCTTCCAACGGTCCTTCAGCACATGCTCTCCAATATTCCAGTACCAATGGATTTGGATGACGACGACAACAACGACGACGAGCCCTGCATGGAAGAACAAGCACCACTATCACTCAAGCGAACCGCAATTTCCTGCCTTATTTCATCCAGACCCACCAAGCGTCGCAAAATGAATTCATCATCTACGATTCCAACTTGCGCTGCAACATGGGCCAAACGAACCAACGAACTCTTCACTCCTTTGCTGCCTGTCCTAATCGAAGATCCAGAAGAAGACGGCGACGAAAGCCACATTGACTCGTCGTTGGATGCTGGATTCAACGATGACATCGCCAATGAACGATCGACTCATCTTGCCAAAGCTGGCGCTATTTGGGTCAAGAAGGCCGAGGAGATCTTGGCCGAGAAGGCGAATTTGAAAAAGAAGACCAAGGCCGAGAGAGCCAAGTGGGCAAACAAGGCAAGAGCCAGAAGAAGCAAGGGCCAGAAGGAGAAAATGTCTGAAAAGAAGATCGATTTTGAACCAACCCTTCTTGTCATTATCGAAGATCCAAAGAAGGAGGAGGAAGAAGAAGAAGTCGACGACGTGAACGAGAAGAAGGAATTCAAACCTTCCCTTCTTGTCATTATCGAAGATCCAGAGGGAGAAGACTTGAGTACCATGGACGAGTCGCCTTTTGATGCTGGATTGATTAATGACGACTTCGATTCTTTGGAGCAGGATGGTAGCGATGGCGAGATTTTTGCAGCACCAACTGAGCAATCTGACAACGCAGCTACGAATGATATTCCTTCTGATGGAATGGGATCTGGATGGACCGAATCCGGAAAGCGCTACAGCCGACGGCTACAGCTCAAGCTTTCGCCAGATACGAAGGATCCTTCTACTGAAACTTTGGGATCTGGCATGACGGAAAAAGGACGACGATACAGTCGCCGAGTGGTAAATCGAGGAAAAGGTGCCAAATGAAGCACATTCTTGCTACGACTTTGAAAGAGATGAAGTATGATAATAGTGTGCGACAACACACGAACAACCCATCAGAGAGTGTCACCTGGAAATTCACCCCATCAATTGCATTTACTTTTTTAAAAACATGATCTCACTTTTTTTTCCCTTTCTCTTTTAGGACATTTTGGCGAGAATACATTTTCGCATTTATTTTATTGTCACACTTCCAAGGGATCCTTCGGAAGGCTAGTGTTTGCCTTTGTGGTTTCTAGTGGATTGGTCACTCACTAGGTCGCATCGGCGACGCGAAACCAGATGATTTCATGGCTTGCTGCGACTGGGTGCTTCCCTCCAGTCTTGTTTGGCCACCTAAAACGAATCAATCGTTTGGGTGGGACGACGGGGGTGGGATGGGCAGGTCGAGGCTCGTAAGCGCATCCTGATCAGCAAGATCCCAGATAAGTGGTCCCTTTAGGATTTGGGATTGGCGTACCTACTTCAAGAACAAGATCGTCGATTTGAGATTACTATTTCCAAAGGATTGAAAGGGAAAGCGGAAGCCTCGCTTGGGATATCAGTGTCATGTGATCCATCACCCTGCTCAAATATGGGGAGCAAGCGATATCCGTCAGACATGTGAACAGCCGTTGTTGCCAATAATGATAATTTTTATTGCAATACTCGGTGGTGCATGCAGTATCGCGATGATGGCACTGGACTGGACATCCCAACAAAGGGGCGACGGCGTCTTCCACCATTTTAAACTAATTACAACTGTAATTGTAGTACAGTACCAGATTGGCATGTCTTATTGTCATATTCGAATTGTGGTCTTTTGATTATCTTTTACAGCGCTAGTACCTGATACTTTAGAATGAACTAGAGGATGCTTCAGCTTCATAATATTAGTTTTTGTACCATATTTTTTATATAAAATATTAAATGCTGCAGTACAATATTTTCGACTTTTTGGTACACTTAAATATGGCGTGAAACAACATTCTCCAACAAACAAATGTTTGAAACTATAAAACACGATAAATGTGGCCTTGTACTGCCTTTGTTCGTCAAATAATAATTTGTCGTGATCGAATGTGGTAAATACACGTGTACTAATCCTACGGATTACCAGGCGCCGCCTCCACTTCATGACTCGATATCTAGCGTGATTGGCCTAGGATGATTGCATACTACGAATTTGTACCAAACAAGATTATGCCAGTCCTCCATACGTAAGTAAGAGATGTAGGTTTGGCATCGTAAGCTTGGTAACTAGAATTAGGGACCAGATATGCAACCTGGGCAAATTTGGATGGACGACTCCGGGAGTCGGGTAATGAGTAGATGAAAGAAAAAAAGATATAATCGTTCTGAACTGTTTCAGATGATCGTGGTTCCTTAGCTCTTCATCGTCTCATCTTGCACTTGGCAAAAAGAATGCTTCTGTTCACGCCTTCGTTTGCCATGCCGATCGTCCCCGAATTTTCGTCCAATGAATTACCGTTACTTCGCTTAAGCGACTGACGACATGACTGTTGGCGTGAAGACAGGAGTCTTCTCTTGCCAGTCCGTCTACCGTCTTGCCTGATCAAGTACGAACCAGATACGTGTACTGTACGTGTACAATATGTGGAATGTTACGAAAGTAACATAAATACGGTACCAGTACTGTACCATTGCTCAAAATACATAAGAATTTCGAGTCATCTGTGTCAAACGCACTGTTACTTTTATGCCTTTTTGGCAGTATTTTTTACGGTACCGTTGCTCGCTTTGTAACATGCCACGCAACATTTTCAAACAGAAATGTTACTCTTTGCCATAAATATTCGTGTCGTACCATAAGTAATTTTCAGGCAGGATATCCATCGCTCAAACAAAAAAGGTTACTTTTTGCCTTAAATATTATATCGTATCATAAAAGTAACTTTCTGACAGTATATATTCATCACAAGACAGTATTATTCATCCACAATACAAAAATTACACTTTCTTGATCCTTCTTCTTTGAGAGATGCAGGGTCAAACAACTGCAGAAGAACAAGCAAATATGGACAGTGACGTCGTGATGGAGGAAGCAGCAGCCAATAACGACCATTCCGACGCTGGAAGGAGGCGCTTTGCACCACCAGAAGACTAGGCTACTTGGCATTGGTATGCCATCAGATATAATCCACAGTGCCGCCCATACATTTGCTGCCTGATATACAACAACCAGCCAAAAAAGAGTGACGACCGGTTGACGATTCACGATCGTTTGTGAAATCGTCCAGATGGCCAAACCTGTCCCCGAGCTACGCACACTTCAAAGGACATTACAGGAGACAAATTGTGCTCCTGCAGACTAGGACTACGTATTCATAGCAGTAAAAAGGCAGGTGACCAATCCTATATCTACATCTCTTGTAAAGGAGACACCCTCCACAAATACCATGCCAAACCTGCAGCCAAGTTACCAATAAAAGCACACAACCTCACTGCAGAAGCTCGACAAATAGTCTGTGCCCAACAGAAGGCAGCAGTTACAGGTACGAAATCTTGGAAGATGCTTCTTGAGTTGAAGCATGGCTATGTTTCTAGGTCTGCGACTCAATCCGTCACGATAACTTCACCAGAATACATTGCAGCCAAAGCTTCCAATGGAGCAAACTCGTCTGCCGCAGACTTGATACAGTGGTTGCGAACCCAGGCGGGGAATCCAGAGGTCAATCTGCACTATACCGTCCTATCCTATGAGATGACACCAACAAATGGAGACCTAGTTCAGGGCACTATCAGTAATCCAAAGGGCAGAAGGTCTAAGACAAATCCACTGCCAAATACTAAGACTGTGATGAGAAACCTGACGTATTCAAACACCATACGAAGCCTAGCTGCAACGCGACAAGCAGTTCATGCTGCCACAGCTCCAATGATAAAGCAACAGTTTGGCCGTTTTACGTCCACATTGACTGTTAAGGACCAATTGACACGCACTGAGTTCATTCACAACCAGCGGGAGGCCATAGAAGCAAAAGCTATCAAAGCAGTGTGCTCTAAGTTTGTGAGAGCCAAAGCAATGCCTGGTGGTGTAGGGGATACTACGAAAAATGCATCCGAGGCCATTCGTCCCCACCTGACTGTCTGGTCTTCTTGTTCTCTTTGGTGAAGACGGCTTCCAATAGTCACAAGTTGACTCTTTGGATTCAGTGAATGGAGATTGTGGGGGCTTTTTCGCTGCAGCAGAAGTGGAAGGTCGTGGTGGTGGAGAGCTTGCGAAGAAACCTTGGCCTTTTTTATCACACTCGTCGTTGCATTCATGGGCCAAGACATTCTCAAGCTGACAACCATTAATACCGCTTCCAACTTTGATGGAAGCAGCATGGTGGTGCCATGGTCGCCAGCACCACCTGTCATTCCAATCTAATCTTTTGGAGAGGCCATGACCTCGGCTTTTCCCAGCTTGATCCATACCATGATAAGCCTCTTCAAGCTTACTCTCAAGACATGTGCCCCAGTCTTTGCTGAATTGACCTGCATCTTGCTCTGGACAATTCGCCATGATGAGTCTTGTCAAGCTTATCCTCCATGGAAGCCTTGAAACGATCAAGGCATCTGTCCAAGTCTTCTGCTTCTGCATCTTGGCTCTTGCCATCGTGAGCTGCATCATGATTTGTCCTATCAAGCATATCAATCATATCATCATTGCAGCGTTTATAAAGATCAAGAGATGCATCCAAAATTTCCATCACAAAGTCAAGTATTATTGTGTTGTGGTACTGCCGAATGTCTACCTCAAGGTTTGGCGTGATGGTCTTGGAAAAGGCCCTAAAAAAACCGTTCCACTATCCTCTGGAAGAAAGATTCTTGGCTCTTACCACTGCAGGATGGCAATGAAGCTATTTTACCAGAAGTTCAAGGAAATGAGAGAGCGAACTGACATTTGAGAGCCATTCCACATCAAGGTACAACTATATGGGTCATCAAAAACATTAGCACGAAAGTACGAAGCCATGTTGCGCCTCAAATCCAACAAAACCATGTCCTTTCCATCGCTACTATGGTACCTTGCTTTGTTGCAACACATCTATGAAATGATAGTTGCTGTCATAAAGCGGTGTACTGGTATGCGAAGGAAGGAATACCATACAATACAAGCTACTATCAAGGCTACAATCAAGGCTACAGTCGAGCCAAAGTCAAACGACGCATCTGTTGTCGAAGAAATATTCAAGCTACCCAGTCGAGCTTCCAAGTCCAAGCCATGGTGCATATTTTAAAAATTAAATGCATGACACAAACAAAACTACTTCAGTAGCCGAATACATGTCATATAATATGTTTCATCAAGCAAACAAACATGTCAAAACATATATTGAATTGAAAGAAAAGAAAAGAAAGAGAAAAAACTGATTTATTTTAAAAAAAAATGCAAAAGTATGACATGACAACCAAAGATCCATTGGAGTCTTGACGATGATGGCAATAAGCCAATAAAATCAATCATCTTCATCAGTCCGTCGTTTTGTTTCATTCCTATACTACCGGTAGTGCGTCTTTATTGGTATGTTTTAAAATACACACAGTACTGTATAATGGTCGTAGTCCTGTACAAAATGTAGAGATGTGCCACTAGGCTATGGACTCCCCGCGTGGCAAGATGGGTCTCCCCTAAATACATGAAGTATCTTTGGGGTTGGAAGTTTACATCTCACTTCCCTATTCATTGCATTGGTCATAGGTACTGGATATTCTTACATAGTCAGTCTACCGGTACACTGTAGTTTGATCCGTAGCACCCTCAATTCACTCTTGCTCAATTGAGAGGCTGAACTCTACCCAACCGACCGTAATTGGTGGCTAGATATTGTCCTGGCGCACGCAGGCTTCCGGGTTCGGATCGGGGCAAGACTCAAAGGCACACAAATCAGTCCAACTTCAAACTTGAGCAAAACACATCCAGACTCCAGCAATAGGTGGAAATTCTTTAACTCCCACCCACCCGCCCATCTTTTGGAGACTTCAAGTTCGAAAACGCATTGAGTACCTACTCAAAGAGTTGAAGACTTGAGTCTCGCCGATCCGAACCCGGAAGCCTGCGTGCATGGGCTAGGACAATATCTAGCCACCAATTATGAAACGACATGAACGACTCTTAACCGGTGTCTGTCTGGCACCAGTCAAGCCGGGCCTAAACAAATCCTTTTTTATATACATCGCATATCTCTTGCATACCGGTATAAAATATTATACAGTGCGGTATAGGGATGTTTGTTCGTTTTTTCGTCAGCGGGCGGATTTGGTGAAAAAGATATGAGAGGTGTACCAATTCACAAATAGCATTGATTTCAACTATGATCCTAAGTTTTTATTCTATTTAGTAACGTTGTCATCAAACCACGACAAAATATGCCATTAAATTGACTACAGCAGCGTGCAAACTCCAAGCACACCAAGCCCGAACGACACCAGATATCCAGCGTTTCTACCACTAGCGGACGTCTGGGACACCACAGTGGAAGTAGGTGAAGAGCCCGAGGGATTTGGAGTTGGAGCATCTTCTCCAAATGCCAAAATCAGTAGTGGTTTGTCGTCTGTTTCGACCAGTCGAATGTGGACACCTTCCACACTGGAACCCATGGCGTCTTTGACATACTGAGGAAGTTCCGCGACGGCGGCTTCCGATACCACCAAATCTTCCAAAAAGTCTAAGAAAAAGTATTGACGCGGGGCTTGCCGGAAATCGGCAAAGGAGGAGGACACGGTCAACAGAATTGGCTTTTCGTAATCCAAAAAGGATGTCACGACCAAGTCTCGCCGAGTTTGTTGCTGAGTACAGGCAATGCTGGTCTGGGCGTTGGTGTCAAAGGCCGCTTGAATATGGGCTTTCAAAAAACCTTCGAGTCCATTGCAAATCAAGTCCAAGTCATTCAGACCATCGATTCCAACTTCGACCACAATCGTGGCCACCCGTTGGATGGCAATCGGGCCACTAGGAGGTGTACCCAGAGGGTTTGAGATCGGCTTTGGGGTTTGAGTAGGACCACTGACTGGGGTGCTGGTGGGCACTTTGGAAGGCTGCGACGATGGTTGCGAAGATGGTTGCAAACTGGCCGTGGGACTGGGGACTGGTTTCATTGACGGTGCAAGCGATGGCGAAAGCGACGGTGAATTCGATGGCGAAAGCGACGGTGTTCTAGATGGCTGCATAGAAGGCTTCATCGAAGGCGCAAGACTGCTGGATGGTTTTTCACTTCCACTTGGATTCGAGGATGGCTGAATACTGACAGAGGTAACGATCTTCGCAGAAGGCTGGTTGCTTGGGACAGTACTCGGAGCTCTGCTTGGAAGCATGCTTGGAGCCTTGCTCGGGGCCAGACTTGGGTTGATACTTGCCGTTGGAGTAGTTTCTGGAAATCCTGTCAACACAATGTCCACGTTGGCTTCATTGTTCTCCAACGAAGTAAACGTAATGGTCAGAGTCTCTCCGCTTTTGCCATTGAAGTTGCTAATGGCGAAGGAATTCCCAGAAGATAGAGTCGCGTTTGCAAAGGAAACGTTGGTATCAATAGTTGTATTTTTCGACACGACCAAGACACTGTTGGCTCCTTCCACGGTTCCAGAATTGATTCCTGTGGCGCGGTTATAATTGACGTAGAAAAACGTCGGACTGGAAGTCTGCTGGATTTCAATCAACACCTTGTTCTTGGTGATAGCAAAGTCGACAACGCCCGCAAGTTTTGTTGAGTACGTGGGGCTACTCGAAGAAGGAGTAATGGAGTCGGCTTTGGAAGCGTACCATCCAAGTTGCCAACTTTTCGCGGCATTGAAGCACATCTTTGGTTTATCAGTGTACTCGTAGGAGAAACCCATCTGGAAACAAATCAAGCGAAAAAAAAGAAAAAAAGGTCCATCATTAGGTACAATATTCAAACAGTAAGACTAGACAACACCCAGCGGGATAGTTCAATGACTTACGAGTCCGCTCTTGTCACCATATTCCTGTGCACTATCTGAAGAATGACCCATGTTGAAGTTGTGACTATCATCATGTTAGCAATGTGAAAGAAACAAAAGTTAGCGTTCCTGATACTCTGTGGTCAAATTTGGTGCTGTTCATTTTATCACTCACCCAAGTTCATGAATTTGCGCTGATGGATAAGAGCATGCCTCGTCGTTGTAAAATGACAAGAAGCCACCCATAAAGGCATTTGCAATAGTTTTATCGTCCATCGTTCCTTTGGGAAAGCAGTACATGAGATGATCGGCGAGGTCCTGAAGTTTGGTAACGCTAAACTCGGTTTGGAGTGCAGCCGTGACTGCATTGGTCATTTTGGTCTGGTTAACGCTAGTAGCAACACTGACTGGGATGGTTACAATCCCGTTGGCAATACTGGTGGTTGCACCATTGCGAGCACTCGCTTTGTTGTAAGTCAACGTATTGAAGGAACAAGCTGCAGTCTGTGCTTTTAGATTATATGCCGACCCATCGTCTCCAAAAACATAGTTTCCAATCTGAGTGGCGGTAAGGGCCGACGTTTTATCAGTAGCCTGGATGCGAACCACAAGCACAGTCTTGGTTCCAGTCGTTGCCAATCGACGCAATCTTCTTCGTCGTTCCCGTTCTTCCATTTCATGATTCCAAAGGGTAGGTGGTTCTGTTGTGTGAATCTCATCAGTGTATTGATTCAGCATGGCATCCTCTGGTAGTGTCATCACCGTTTCATCACTGATCAATTTTCCCAATTCCATTTGTTCCTTAATCCACGATTCCCTGATGGAAGGAATCAGGAACGACAGGCCATTCACGGTACACAGGAGTTGTGTTCGAGAACCATTATCGGCAATCGTGTGCGTGACATGAGCTACACATTCGTCGTCAAAAGGAACCAGATGATCTGCCGATGAGTCTGATGCTGTCGTTTGTGTGACAATCAATGGTGAAGGTGATGAGGCTGAGGCTGAGGCCGAGGCCGGCGATTCGGTTTCAGGCGATGGCAGTCCTGTCAATAAGTTATTTATCGTCGCCTGAGCCAAATTTAGGTTCCAGAAGAGGCAAAATATACACAAAAGACTCTTTTGTGGAAATGAAGGAGCGGCGAAGGCTTCACTTCTCATGGTGTCTGTGTCGTTGTGGAGGAGTGTATTCAAGTATGGTGAGAAGGTGCCTTATTATTATGTTGAGTTTGATGAGGACCAATAAATTTGACCATAAGAATCCCGAAATGACTTTTCTCTATGTTTTGTATCTTGGTTGGCAAGATTACATGTCGGACTGCATTTCGGGTTTTTTTTCCGACTGGACCGTCCAATTTTTGACCAAGCAATAAGACGATGGTCCATATATATATTATTAGACAACAGATTTACAAGCGTGAAGGGCGTGATCCACCGGTTAGAGTGAGATTCTGAAATTTCTCTCACAAGACCAACTATGCATATCGGTACATACAGTCGCGCAAACTTTTTTATTGAAAGATACTTTTAAAAAATAGCATAATTTTAAAAATACCACATATACCACCCTCCTATTGGTTTCTAGTCTAATATGTTAGACAGCCGCCATTGCAGCTCTATCGCTTGCAAATCAAAATTTTCTGTAGTACTGTAGAATTGCACCGTGATGAACACTTTTATATTCTTGAGACTATTTTACTTGTTGTTATGAAAATACGTAGTCCAGATCTTGCATTGCTCTATATCTATCTATCTATCTATAGGCATGGGCTCATTCTTATTTACGCCCCTGGATCAAATGTGAAATCTTCTTTAGATTCGTCGGTGGAAACACTGACGACAGTGCCCACCAAACGAGTAGAGCAACAATGGGCTTAAATTCACAGAAACACGAAAGTTCTATAGGACCAGCTCCTGAAATTTGTTTTCCTGGCCTGCGAGATTCGCGGACACCACCAAGAAGAGATTGGAGAAAATTCTGTCTCTTGCCTCCTGCAACTGTATCTTCTCCGATTCCCGGTCCAAAATCTCGCAAAGTCACGGTGAATGTAGAATTGCGACATCGGCAAAACACCACAATACGCCATTCCACTAACTACAGCAGCGTGCAAATTCCAAACACACCAAGCACACCAAGCACCAGCGACAACCGATATCCAGCGTTTCTATCACTAGCTGAAGCCTGGGAAACCACAGAGGACGTAGAAGAAGAGCCTACAGGATTAGGAGTTGAGGAATCTCCTCCAAAGGCCAGAATCAGCAGCGGTTTCCTATTGGTTTCGACCAGTCGAATGTTGACCCCTTCCACGCTGGAACCCATGGCATCTTGAACATATTGCGGTAGCTCCGTGACGGCGGCTTCGGATACTAACAAATTTTCCAAAAAATCCAAGAAAAAGAATTGACGCGGGGCTTGACGGAAATCGGCAAATGAGGTTGACACAATCAGGAGAATTGGCATTTCGTAGTCCGAGAAGGATGTTGCGACCAAGTCTCGCCGAGTTGGTTGCTGAGTACAGACAATGCTGGTCTGAGCGTTGGTGTGAAAGGCCGCTTGAATATGGTCTTTCATAAAGGATTCGAGTCCATTACAAATCAAGTCCAAGTCGTTCAGACCATCAATCCCAACTTCAACCACAATCGTGGCCACCCGTTGGATGGCAATGGGGCCACTAGGAGGGGGAGATCCCAGTGGGTTTGAAATCGGCTTTGGAGTTGGAAGAGAACCACTGAATGGGGCGCTGGTGGGCAGTTTGGAAGGCTGCGAAGATGGCTGCAAACTGGCCGTGAGACTGGTGACCAATGCAATTGATGGTGAAATTGATGGTGAAATCGATGGTGATAGTGATGGTGACAGCGATGGTGAAATCGAAGGCAAAAGCGACGGTGCTTGAGATGGCTGCATGGAAGGGTACATGGAAGGCTCCATGGGAGGCGCAAGACTGCTGGATGGTCTTTCACTTGCACTTGGATTCGAGGATGGCTGAATACTGAAAGAGGTGAAACTCTTCGCAGTGGGCTGGTTGCTTGGAAGCATGCTTGGAGCATTACTTGGAAGCATGCTTGGAGCATTACTTGGAAGCATGCTTGGAGCATTACTTGGAGCTCTGCTTGGAAGCATGCTTGGAACATTACTTGGAGCTCTGCTTGGAAGCATGCTTGGAGTCTTGCTTGGAGCTCTGCTTGGGGCGTTGCTTGGGGCTAGACTTGGAGCCTTGCTTGGAGCCAGACTTGGGGTGATAGTTGGACTAGTTCCTGAAAATCCTGTCAGCACAATGTCCACGTTCGCTTCATTGTTCGCCAACGAGGTAAAGGTGATAGTCAGAATCTCTCCACTATTTCCATTGAAGTTGGAAATGGCGAATGAATTCCCAGAAGATAGAATCGCTTGTGCTATGGATACGTTGCTATCAACGGCCGTATCTTTCGACACGACCAAGACACGGTTGGCTCCTTCCTGGGTTCCAACATTTATTCCTTTGGCGCGGTTATAATTGATGTAGTAAAACGTCGTACTAGACGTCTGCTGGATTTCAATCAACACCTTGTTACTGGTGGTATCAAAGTCGACAACGCCAGCAAGTTTTGTGGAGTAAGTGGGGCTACTCGAAGAAGGAGTAAAGGAGTCGGCTTTGGAAGTGTACCATCCGAGTTGCCAACTTTTCGCGGCATTGAAACACATGAATGGGATCTCAGTGTACTTGTACGAGAAACCCATCTAGAAACAAATCAAGCGTAAAAGAGAAAACAGGTCCATGAATATTCAACAATAAGAGTAGACAAATACAACAAGATATTCCAATCGCTTACGAGTCCACTCTTGTCACCATATTCTTGTGCACTATCAGAAGAATGGCCCATGTTGTAGTTGTGACTTTCATCATATTAGCATTGTGAAAGAAACAAATGTTAGCGTTTCTGATACAGCGTGTTCAGATGTTCGGTCAAATTTGATACACTCACCCAATTTCATGAATCTGTGCCGATGGATAAGAGCATGCCTCGTCGTTATAGAATGAGATGAACCCGCCAAGAATGGCATATGCAACAGTTGAAGCAGCTGTCGTTCCTGGGGGAAAGCAGTACATGACATGATCGGCGAGGTCCCGAAGTGTGGAAACGCTAAACTCTGTTTGGAGTGCAGCCGTGATAGCATTGATCATTTTTGTTTCACCATCGGTAGTAGCCACACTGACAGGGATAGTTACAACCCCGTTGGCAATGCTGGTGGTTGCACCATCGCGAGCGCCCGCCTTGTTGATCTTCAACGCATTGAAGGAACAAGCTTCAGTCTGTGCTTTCAGATTCAATTTCGACCCATCGTCTCCAAAGACATAGTCTCCAATCGCAGTGTCGGTAAGCGTCGACGTCTTATCAGTAGCCTTGACGCGAACCACAAGCACAGTCTTGGTTCCAGTCGTTGCCAATCGACGCAATCTTCTTCGTCGTTCCCGTTCTTCCATTTCATGATTCCAAAGGGTAGGTGGTTCTGTCGTGTGAATCTCATCAGTGTATTGATTCAGAATGGCATCCGCTGGCAGTTTCATCACCGTTTCATCACTGATCAGCTCTCCCGATTCGATTTGTTGCTTGATCCACGATTCCCCGACGGAAGGAATCAGGAACGACAGGCCATTCACGGTACACAGGAGTTGTGTTCGAGAACCATCATCGGCAATCATGTGCGTGACATGAGCTACGCATTCGTCGTCAAAAGGAACCAGATGATCTGCCGATGAGTCTGATGCTGTCGTTTGTGTGACAATCAATGGTGAAGGTGATGAGGCTGAGGCCGAGGCCGGCGATTCGGTTTCAGGCGATGGCAGTCCTGTCAATAAGTTATTTATCGTCGCCTGAGCCAAATTTAGGTTCCAGAAGAGGCAAAATATACACAAAAGACTCTTTTGTGGAAATGAAGGAGCGGCGAAGGCTTCACTTCTCATGGTGTCGGTTTCGTTGTATTGTTGATAGCTCCTTTGTTCAGGTCGATGATATGAAAAAGACACGATCTGCTTTTTAAAAATTGACTTCATTTGTGCAGATATTGTAGTTTTTCTGTGCCGGTATTGTGTGAAGTGTCCCAGATATTTTATAGTCACTTAATTGGAGAATACTGAAATGACTCTCTCTAAGTCATTTGGTAACATTGCATGTCGGATTGCCTTTTTAGATTTTCTTCGTCCCATTTGACCTGTCCTATTTTTGACTCGAGCATTCATTAACAGTACGCGATGGTCAACATATATGGCAGAAACCAGATTCACAAGCGTGAAGGGCGTGATCCACCGGGTTGGGATAAGATCCGAAATTTCTCTCACTGCGGCGTCCAATGAAAAAACTCCTTGATACCCCTACTTGATACCCTACTTGATACCCCTACTTGATACCCGCCCTACTTGTACATTTTTGTTCTAGCTAGTCTAATAGGTATCCTATAAGTTTTACAATAGATGCACTCATTTACATGAACATGAGGATAGCCCCAGTGACCAAGCAATGCAAGAACACTGGCACAAGATTATAGCATGAACAACCCCTCGTGCTTTATTTATACAGTAAGGGTACCCTGTTAAAAGTTTTTTTTAAAGAGAAACACCCCCTTAAAACCGTTTTCTGATCAGAGGCTGCCTGATTCGAGGCTGATTTTTTAAAAGACGTAGGATATATAATACTAGCTGCTTAGGAAGCATTGGATGTATAAAGCGGCCAGCGCAGCACCAGATCTAAAATGTACCTTAAAGATTATGGTAGTTTTCTTATCAAACTTGGTTCTATTGTTACCTGAAACTGCAAACTTTCTTCTCCAAGGGGGCTCTGCCCACCTAGATACCCTGCAAGGCTCCAATACACTGGGGGCGAAGCCCCCTTTAATAAGAGGGGAACCGCCTTAAGATACATTTTGCGTTACAGTATCGCACTGTAATATACTGTATATTCAATATGCCCGATATCGGGCACAGAAGCAGTAGCAGTTTTTGTACCTGCGGTTTTATTGTGAAGCGGAGCCAGAATACCGTGGTGAAATGACTTTATTATATATTCTCCGTCTTTTTTGGCAAGATTGCTTCTTTGTCATACCTGATCGGATCGGGCCAGCAAGCAAGACGCGCCAATGCACCTGTGTATAAAATATTAGAAGTCACAAGCGCGAAGGGCGTGATCCATACCCGATCCCATCATCCTTCATTATTGTATTTATAAATACACAGGACGCAGTCATCGCCTTATTTTGTAATTGCAGCCCTCCTTTGCTTCAAAATCCAATTTCTTGTACACTGTACAGCACCGCCGTACAAAACAACAGTAACTTACATCTCATCTACAAAAAAATGTGCTGCGTGATGATGAATTCTTGGCACTCTAGATTACTTGCTATGGAAATACGTAGTTGAGAACGTGCGTTTTGCTCAATCGAGACATGTGGGCTCATCCTTCATTACACTTGAGGATCAACTCTGATTGTGATCTCTTCATTAGATTCAGTGGAAACAATGACAGTGCCCACCAAACGCGAAGAACAACCAGTGGCACTGGTTGGATTGATTGGAAAAGAGAAAGTTCTAGGACCAGCTGCAACGGAGCCATCAGGGAGCTCCTTTTCAGTGAAAACTGTAACGGTTGCCGGGCCGCTTCCGCGATTACTATACCAATGAGCATGGAGCTCCACGGGGATTTGATCAGTCCACTCATTTTCTTCGAAGGATTGTCCAAGGTCGATGCGTGCAGTTTCAGTACCGCCAGCGCCGGTGTTATCACCGCTATAAGACATGTGTTGTCCGCCACCAACGCAACCATATCCAACTTTCCGATTGAGAAAGGAGGTACCAGAATCCAAGTCTCTTTGGTCCAGTGGCCAGCTGTACTGGATGACGAGCTGCAATCCATCGACAGAACCAACTTGCCAGAAATTCTCAGTGTCTACGACGATGCCCCCAATTCCAGATTGTTGCGAATAGCCTTGGACAGCATTGAGTGCTGTGAATACAAATGGGGAACCAAAGACCAAGGACCCTGCAATTCTAGGCACTGCCTGAAAGCTATATTCCTGACCTGCGAAATTCGCGGACACAGCCAACAGATTGGAGAAAATTTTGTCGCCTGCAAATGTATCTTCTCCGACTCCAGATCCAACATCTCGCAATGTCACAGTGAATGTGGAATTACGCTCAAAGGTTTGACCATTGAACCCATAGACTGCAAATTCCTCAATGTTGCTGATGTCGGCCTCAGAGGATGCTGTAAGATTGACTGTCAGGGCAATGTTTGCAGCGATACCGACAGTGACGTTGGAAGGGGCAGCTCGGAAGCTGGTGTTGATGGATGAACCTCCCAGTTCTACTTCGGTTTCTAGAAGTTGTTGAGCAGCTTCTAAACCAAACTCGATTCCTTCGACGAGACAGGCTTCGTCGGCCCCACAGAGTTCGCGTAGCTCTTGGCTTGCTGTGCTTGTATCGACTACTCCAGGATACGGGTCATCACACCCGCTGTAGAAGCCAAAGTCATTTTCTTCGGTGTATGAGAATAACGACTGCGATACCTGACGAATGCACCACTCCGTGGTGCCGTATGCATAAATTGCCTCGCCACTAAGATCGATGGGCAAGGTCGTTCCGTTGGCAGCGACCCATTCGTTGGTAGGATTGCCATCGGGAGAGCCATAGAGCCCCACGACATCCGTCCGGGGGAATGAGGGTGGAAGACGAACTTCAATATCAAAGTGGCGGAAGCTTGATCGTCTGTAGCGCGCAATAATCGACATCTTGGAGGCCTTAAAGAAGACTGTATACACATCATTTGAAACAGTGACAACCGTGTATTGGTCCACATAAAGATTATCGGAAACTGCAACGATGAATCTGTCCACCAAGACGAGAACCTTGGCATTGTCAGTTGGGTCGATCGATATCTCCACAGATGGTCCGAAGGATCCTGCAGTGGCTGCGAATCCGGTGGCAACGGACACTCTCTCTCCTGATTTTTCAAAGCGACCTTGCACTTGAGCACCGATCGAAGCAGAGCTAAAGAGCACATACTCGCCCTTTCCTTGAAATGCGTAGCGGAGGTTGTCAAAGGTCCTGATGTTCGGATCTCCAAATTCACCAGCACGATCGCAATTTAAAACGTTCTGGCAGCACGGGTTCAAAAGACAGGCGGCGGCGGCATCGAATTCAGCCTGGTGGTCAAATTCGGTGGGTGAAAAGCTTGGCTCCAGGCTTGGTGTGATTGAGGGGGTGCTTGAGGGCTTCTCTTGGCATTTTCTTTTTGCGTCGATGGCGGAAGAGCCTACAGAAGCGCCTGCAAACAACCGAGAGACTGTTTTAATTAGGTTCAAGTACCCCGCTGGAGTGAACAGTGCAACGAGTTCCACGATAATTGATCCACCCAGAAGTATTCTCCCCCAAAAGGTCAAGTTTTCAAGGGCATCGACAAGTATTTCTTTCACCCCAACATTGGCTGCAAGCAATGCTAGCCCTTCTGTCATTATCTTTGTATATGCCCCGATGTTCAGGACTTCCCCAAGGTCGATCACTGTAACATACAGATTAGCGAGAGCACCAGAGCCACTTCTTTGAAGTGCTTTGCGAACAAGCGCTTGAGCGACGATTCTTGTTGCGGCCGAACGAGGTAACCCAACAAATGCGAGTATGAGAAAGACAATATCAACAAAGAGAACGATCATCGCATCTTCGCACTCGTCAGACCACTCGAGGAGCTCTCGACGGGTGTCCACATCAGTTCTATTCGAAATGATGATGGTAGGACCTGTCATAACATCCAGAATAGTACTATCCGATACGTAATCATCTAGTTTCGATCGCACAGCTTCCATGAACTCTGCAAGTTCCGGAATGGCGTTGGTTCCGTCAACAAGGAACTGGCTAACATCACTCGTGTTGGTGTTGAGAACCTGATCGAGGATGTCAAATTCCCCGTTGGGAGGTCTGCAGTATTCCAATGAGCTGTCCTGCATTGCACGTTGGCGCGACTGGGTGTTCTCAAAATTGGACAGTGCTCCGTTTCGAAACCCATTGTCTACGCCAAAGTTGACCTCTCCTTCATCTTGCAGGACAAAGCTCTTGGGACGACGCAGACCATCTCCGCAGACAAGCTCGGGGAAAGCGAGGAGGAGGAAGCTCAATGTATGCAAATATTTCAATGGCATCGTGTTGTTGTTTCAAACTATCGAAATTTGAATTTATGAAGCATGGAAGGAAACTTTATGATCCTCATGGTGTTCGATTGTGTAAAATACAAAACAAAAGAAACGCGACTGGGTTCACGAACACGTACTCACCCTATATATAAAAATGTATCCAAAGATAAATAATATTTATTATATAATATATAAAATAACACGCGTAATAATACTTTCTCTGTGCTGGAACACCCGCAACTCTGAACTGCTCGCGCACCTGCCAGTTAGGGCCGGCCAGCACCAAGTTTTCCACAGAAAGGGGGAGCACAATTTTTAGGGGTGATATTTCTTGCCAGTAGAATAGAAGTCTTCGCATGGTCGAAAGCGCGTTAAATCGAAAAGTACGCAAAGCCTTAAAGTGACGTCCCGAATCCTTAAAATGACTTCCATTTGTTAGATGTTACTTCCAATTATTATCTCCATATTTAAATTGTGCTCCCCCTTTCTGTGGAAAACTTGGTGCTGGCCGGCTCTGACTGGCAGGTGCGCGAACAGCTCAGAGTTGCGGGTGTTCCGCAGACTCAGCAGAAACTATTATACATTCACCGCATAATAAGCGTCAAGGGAGTGATTCACCAAACAGTTACATTCTTCTTCTATCGTGTAGTCGTGGCTTCCAAGGTCCTGGACCCTAAATTGGACTTTGAAACTCCACGACCTTCAGAACTTAGCTACCAATGCCTTCACTTATGAATTGTAGTACGAAGTCCAATATAAGTTTTTAAAAAATAATCTCTCAACCCCTATTTTTGGAATAAACTATTATTATATAAGTACTCATTTACATCACCAAGATACTATACCCCCAATAATGGAGCAAAGCAACCATGACAAATGTGACTGATGAAGAACCCCACGTGCCCCGGACGGAGATCCTGGTGTTTGCGTTCCGTTGGAGACTGTTGGACTTGCAGTCGGAGCATCCTCTCCAAATGCCACAATCAATATCGGTTTCTTGGGTGTGTACACCAGGGTCACATGAACCCCTTCAATATCAGAGCCCAAGGCTTGTTGAATATACTGTGGCAGTTCGGTAATGGCGCGATCGGATACCACCAATTGTTCCAAAAATTCCAAGAATCCAAATTGCCTTGGGGCCGTTCGAAAATTGGGAAATGTCGTCGACACGGTGATCAATACTGGTTTTTCGTAGTCCAAAACGGTATTGGTGGGCGTAAAAATATTGTCATTTTGTAGCTTTCGTCGTTCGAGTTCTTGCTCTTTGGTGCAGGTAATTGTAGACCTTGCGCCGGTGCCATAGGCATCTTGAATCCCTTGCGAAAGAAACTCGTCAAACCCGCTGCAAATGGCATCCAAAGAATTGAGACCATCAATTCCAATTTCCACCGAAATTGTCGCTTCTCGATCAATGGCCACCACAGGAGTCGGAACCGCCGTCACATCGGCCTTCGATGGTGCGTTGGAGGCCGACGGTAAAAGGGACGGAAGCACGGAAGGCAGATTCGATGGTTTTACCGAAGGGATTGTGGATGGCCGATTGGAAGGATTGGACGATGCTGCGGCGCTTGGCCTGGCACTCGCACCCGGGATCGTTGGGAGTTGCGAAGGCGCCGCACTTGGAACTTTGGAAGGGGCGCCGGAAGGAGCAAGGGACGGTGCATCACTGGCACTTGGTACGTTACTCGGATTCAAGGATTTGGATGGGGATAAGCTCGGCTGCCTGGAAGGTACTGTGGATGGACCATTGGATGGCTTGATCGATGGCTGGTTGCTTGGTTGGATGGATGGCCGGACAGAAGGCAAATTGGATGGCCGTATCGATGGCAGCGAACTTGGTTGTTTTGACGGGGAAACTGATGGCACTGTAGATGGCTGCAAAGATGGAGCCTTACTGAGAGATGGCTGGGAACTTCCGCTCGGATTCGATGATGGCTGTATACTCGCGCTTGGGACATCCGAAAGAGAAGGGTTTGATGATGGAGCAAGGCTTGGAGCTTTACTGGGAGAAAGACTCGGCGTGCGACTTGGCATTGCACTTGCCTGCTTGGAGGGCTTATTGCTCGGAGCGAGACTGGGCATCCTGCTTGGGACATTGCTTGGGGCATTGCTTGGAAGTTTGCTGGGAGCCACGCTTGGACTCCTACTCGGAGTCCTGCTTGGAGACAGGCTTGGAGATTTGCTAGGTGCTTGACTCGGAACCATACTGGGAGTCTTACTTGGTGCTTGACTTGGAATCATACTGGGAGTCTTACTTGGTGCCTGACTTGGAATCATACTGGGAGCCTTACTAGGCGCTCGACTTGGAACCAAACTGACCGTGGGAGTGTTTAATCTTCGATGGTCTTGTAGTTCCTGTGAGCTTTGGCCCACCATCTCATTGTTCCAAAGTTTGGGTAATTCAGTCAGGCAGATCTCATTTGTGTTTTGATTCAGTAGAGAGCCTGCTGGAAGTGTCATTATGGTCTCATCACTGATTAGGTTACCTGTTATTGTCATTTCCATAATCCACTCAGCACCGATCGAAGGAATCAGGTACGACATACCGCCCACTGCACACAGGAGATCTAATCGAATACCCTCATCCACCTTTGCGAAGCTGACACGAGCGATACAATCCTCTTGAAACGGAACCAGATTATCTGACGATGACGATGATGGTTCGTCATATCTCACTTTGGATGGTTCAAAGAAATTGGAAGTCGATTGAACGAATCTGGCATTCGACAAGAGATAGAGGATGCAAAACAGGCTCTTCTTTTGCATTGAATAAGCGATGAATACTTTAATTCTTTTGCTGGTTATCATGTAGGGACTGGACGATGTTTTGTGGAAGGTTAACATATGACAAGAGAGGGTGCTGACGATTCAACATGAATAATGGGACGCAACGGTGAAAATTCTCCTGAAATTTGACCCCGCGGAGCAT